TATACTTTAAATACAGTACCCTAGAAATTCTACTGGCATAAAATATTTTTAGAGAAAATTGCATTTCCCAGAATCACAGATGTACTCAGCCAAAATAGAGCTAAGAGATTCCAGCCTGTCTCTGATTTGGGGTGGATCATACTTCACCCAACCCAAACAGAGATGTTACCATGTTTCAAATACTTCCAGAGAGAAGAGTCCACAGACTACCTCTTCAGACATGTGAGATTTGATGATTTCTGCTGTTTTCCAGAAGAATTCTAAACACATTATTTGAAACTTCAACCTCTTACCTTTTTCTTGGGTATGTATTTTTTTTTCTGGTGCTTTATGATTAAAATCTTCAGGGACCCATCTGCCTTCTATACTCTACATTTGGCACCTATGGCTGCCAGGCACAGGGATCTGCCCTGTCTGTATGTGCATGCCAGCATCACACCACTTTTAAAATGCCAAAGTAAATTCCTCGGAGAGGTTTACTTCTGATTTACTGATTACGCCCCACTGTTGTCTACCTGAAGAGTCCTTCACATTCTTTAATTTATATCAGGCTTTGGGAAAAGAAAACTCTCAAAGTCTTCATCGTGGAAGCAGATGTTATCATGGGGACCCCATTCAGGTATGATCATGAGAAATTCATCTCACCTGGTAGCAGGTTTATTGAGAAAAGGGGAAAGACATGGGTGCTCTGTCTTTTCTCCTGGGAGGCTCCTTTTAAAACCTTATGGCTTCTGACAATACCTGTGTTACCAACTGGCCTCATCACCATCACACATCACAAAATACTTATTGAGGTCCAACTATACAGGGCATCATTACAAAACAAAAGGGTTTTCCCTCAACACCAGGAGCCTGTGTAGACACCTTCATCCACACAGTGTAAAGACCCCACAGAGGACAGGTGATTCCCCAAGGAAGCGCACAGGGATGCTAAACAAGTTAAGTGGGGCTTTTCAAAACCATATTTCCAAGACATCAGGATCCACAAACACTTGCTCTCCAAAACTCGTTTTCTCCACCCAGCTGTAATTACATATTATACAGAGCACATAATCTACATGGCGCTCCAATTATCTCCAAATGCTGTGGGGCAAAAAAAAAAAAAAAAAAAAAAAAAATCACTCAGCTCAGCAATTAAACAAATTCCAGGTTATCACAAAGTGCTTTAAGGAGGGGAAGCATTCTGAAGATGGCAGAGAGACCAAAGGAGCAGGAATTGCAGAGCTAAGCCTTCCAGGCCTCACCATTCGGCTTACCCTCCAGCTCTAAGTAACCTCAATTTGACACAGTCCCTGTTCTCAAGAGCAACACCAGCATTTCAATGCTAGGAAACATCTCACGTGGAATACACAGGGGCTGAAGTCAAATGAGAAGCCCTGGCCTACCCACAGCCTCATCACAACTCTCTAGCCAGACACAGTAGATGGAATGCCTGCTCTCATACACACGATATAGTATTGTTTTCAAGAAGTTGGCAAGACACCAACCATATCATGAGACAAACAGATACATACAAGTTTAGTGGCTAATACAACACTGTCAACACATTGGGTACACACCCTGAAGAAGCTACCAAATACTGTTAGAACATTGTTAGGTCACATGAATATGCCTTTCTACACCTTCTGGATGGGCCAATCTCGCTGCAAGAATGAGAGCCACTGTCTTAATGAAGATAAGGATAAGGTCAGTGCATAGAGACAAAGAATGTGTTTGCTTTCCAAACCAGCAGTATGAGCCCATCAGTAGACTGCAATGTTAACCAAGCATTTCCAGGAGGGGGGGGGGAGGAAGGAAGAAAGGAGAGAGGGAGGAAAAGAGGAAAGGAAGAAGGAATAGAGGGAGGGAGGGAGAGAGAGATATGCAAGCTCCTGGCCTTTTAAAAGACATGCCTTCAAAGGAAGATTTCTTTTTTACTTCAGCTAACACTCTGACATTGCCTGAATGTGAAATGCCCCCTGTGTGGGGACCTGTGTTTGGACCTGTGGTCCCCAGCTGGTGGGAAATTTGGAAACTTTGAGACATAAAGACTGGTTGGCTGAAGTAGGCTGCCAGAGCCTCCAGTTTCAAGGGACATCCCGTCACTGTTCTGCCTGGAGCTCTTTGCTGCCCACTTGCCATGTGATGTGACCGACTATCAGCCCCAGATGTTACAGCTGTCATTTTCTCCAGCATGATGAACTATACCTCCTGAACCATGAGCCCAAATAAAACTCTCATCCCTTAAGTTGCTTCTATCTGGTATTCTGTCGTATTATCAATGCCAAAATTGTTGCTAATATAGGTTCTTTGAGGACCTTAAAAGGAGAGAGCCCAAATCATCAAGTCATTTATTTCAGATGACCGGGGGAAAATCATGCTCATTAGAACACTAAATCCTCCAATTGCATGTATCAGCTTATCTTTTAAACATGTGGTGATGGCTCTGAACTGAGAATGCTCCAGAATGTGCTCACCACCCATATTTTATTTGAACATGGAAATGACCTTAAGCCTAGTGTGCACTACATATGGTGATGTCTATCCATATGAATAGGTTTTACCAATAAAAGCCATTGCTTTCTTTGTTCAGAAGATACTGCTTTGCTAATTAACTCCAAGTGGTCTTGTCTCCTCACTGGAACAGTACTAAGCCCCTCTCCACTCTGTTGTCTCTTGGTTACCTCATGTTCATCATGAAGCAAACCCTTAGAGTTTCAGCACAGAATTTCTTCAGTTCCAAAGGTCTACCCCAATCCAGAGATGGCTGGGTAGATGGGGGCTACTGAAAATGACACTGGAGACCAAGCATAGAATACTCTGACCAAGAAGTTGCTATATGGGAGGAAGGCAAGGTTGATAGCTTTTCCACAGAAGGAAAGCAAACAGAGAGGTAGAGGTCAGGCCTGAAGATAGGGCTACCTTCTGGAAAATAATTCTTGTTTGTCTACTCCTAGGTTCCTAGCATGGAGTGTCTACACCTTTGGCATTTCCCAAGTGACAAAAAAAGTCTTTATCATGCTCATGAAGTGACTTCTGGTGACCTTTGGTTAGGGTTGGGCACAGAAGACCAAGAATGTGACTAAAGTGTTGGAACCTTATCCAATATGTTTGCTGTCTTCTCAGTGCTGAGACAAAAACCAGAAATAAACAGTTTAAAGGAAGAAAGGCTTATTTTGACCCTCAATATAAAAAATTTCAGATCATGGTCAGTTGGCTGTTGCTTTGGGCCTGTAATCTGGTAGAAGGGTGTGGCATAGAATAGTTGGTTACCTCATAGAGACCAGGAAGCAGAAGGTGAGAAAGAAAGACATTGAGGACAAGTTACCCTTTATACTCTTAGTTGACCATCTCCCACTAGTCAAGCCTTATGTACCATCAGCTCCCAATAATGTCATTATATGGACCCATCAATGGATTAATACATTGATGAATTAAAAGCCCTCATGGTACAATGACCTCTCAATGGACTGGATCCACCAACTAGGGACCAAGTCTTTAATGCACAGGCTTTTGGAGGAATATATCACACTCAAACTATAACATCCAGACTAACCTCCCCAGGGGCCAAAGAGCTTGGAGACTGAGCTTAGCCAACTGGCCAGCGGTTTCATCAATTTTGTCCACTTAATGAAGCTCTAATGAATACCCTGACCACTGAAGGTCAGTGGACTTCCTGTGTGGTAGGAGATAGAGACACCTTTAATCTAAAAGGAGATGTGGGGGAAGTCCGCTTCTCCTCACGTGACTCACATACATTGTCATGAAACTAGAGCTGCAGGAGTATTTTCCTAAGTTCTGTGAGCCACTCTAGTAAAGTACTGAAACCAAAGAGATCACAGAAACCTCTAAGCCAATCAGGAAAAGGCATGGGGGCCCTTGGGTCTCTCAAATTGTGGCCGGTATCTGAAGTTATGGGCAATCTTGTTTGGAATTGTACCCCTGATCTTGTCAGGTCTGTGGCAGCACTGAACTTGCTGCTGGGACTGAAATGAGATATTGTCCCTTCAGGGTCAAAACTTTAGGTAAGGGCTGGAGAGATGGCTCAACGTCTAAGAGTGCTTGTTGCATAATCATGAAGCATAGAGTTCATATCCTAGCACCAGTGTAGCAAAGTGGGCATCCCTTATTTATTATGTAATTCTAGTTCCAAGGGATCTGACACCCTTTTCTAGCCTCCAAATTTTACACATGGCTGTACATCCACACATATGTGTGCACATCTACTCATCACAGGTAAACACATAAATAGATGAAATAAGTCTTCAGAAAACAACAAAATTCTTCAATGTGATGGAGATGGAGAGGTATGCTCAGAGTTATTTTCACCAGGAAGCTAAGGAGGCTTGACCTTCAGGCCTCATAGAAGCTTCCTCTAGAACAGTCTCTCACTATGTCTTTCATATGGTCATAAGCTTCTACAAAAATCTGTAAATGTCAGACATTCCATACTGATTTCGTTAAAAAGCTCCAACCATCCTATCCTAGACACTTGAGGCTTCACAACCCCTCTGTGGCAACTCGGCAACTCTTGAGGAAGGGGGTCCAGTAGTGATCCCACATATTCCAACACAGTGTTCAAGAAGTAGCCAAGACACAGAAGGGCTAGGAGCGCTTTGAGATTAAGGAAACCAGAGGCTTAATGAAACAGAAGTACATCGAAGAGCTTCTGGCTGGAGCTGGTGGCCAGGACCAGACACCAGAAGTGCAAATCATCAAAGTCTCCAAGGTCACCAAAAGAAAGCAGGTGTACATCAAGACCTCCAAGGACAGCGGTAGACCATCAGCCTTTTGCCAACTCTCATAAAGACCCATGGGGAGGGAAGAACAAGCTGCATGCCCCCAAGGTCATGCTTAAACAACAGCTTCTTCATCCAGACACCATCTTGGGAAAACAATATGATGTCTCCAGGATGTCTCACTGGGTAATGGGACATTAAACTGACCACTACCAAAAGATGAAGTTAATCTGAGACTGGGAAACTGCCTACTACGAAAAGCATTGAAGTTTGAATGGAAACAGATTTTAAACCAACTTAAAATTACTTTATTTTAAAAAACCAAGCTGTGTTTGAAATTGTGATTCTCCTCATTTAAAACATTATGAATCAAGAAAGAAAAATGCTTAAAAAAATCCTCCAGCTAAACAGACTCTCTCCAGGATTCTGTGGGAATTTTTAGCATATCCCAATTATAGAATAAAACCTGTTTGCGAGGAAACTGCATTTGTCAGGAAAGCAGCAGTACGATTTACATTTATCCTGAGTATGCTGAGGCAGAGAGAATGCTAGGTGTTCATCAAAACTTTGCTTGCTCTCCTGGGCTCATAGCCGCAAATGATTCTCTGTCCTCTAGGCAGCTGGGGTGGCCACAGGAAGGAGGCCTGCACAGCTGGATGCAAGTGGAGGAATGTAGAACAGGTAAGGCAAACAGATGGGCTCCTGCACCCCAGCACCACCATGCTGTTTCCCCCTCTTACAGCACATGTGGGCAGAGGCTGTCCATGCTGGCATATGCTCCAGGCTGATATCTTCAGCCTGGCTACCTGAAGATATGGAGAACAAGGACTCTCGCCCAGGAACCATCACCATGGGCTTTCATGCCTAAGAAAAAAAAAAAAAAAACCCCAACTTACGTTTTGGATAAGTTCACAGATGGTTAAGTACTTCTGCTATAGCAAGGATTAGAACCCGTAACTGTACTCTATCGTATAGTCTGTTTCACTGTGGCGAGCGGTGGCATTTCCTAGCTGCACATGGAAATCCTACATTCTAACAAGGTACTGCTCCAGTTCCAGCTTACCAACCAGCCAGGAAATCGGACAAGGATGGAGAATGCTGGAAACCGGGATGGTGCTGTAACAGAAGGGCGAACAAAGAAACCTGAAAGCACACTGGGATGTGCAATTAGTGTTTATCTTCCAAGACAACTGATGAATTGAGCCTTGAAGGATGAGGAAAAGCTCAAAAGAGGAGGGCTGGGATGTTCATGCTGGACTAAACCTGAGTCCTCTAATATTTTACCCGTGGGGGTGTGTTGTGAAGACAGAAAAAGCATTGTTCTGTTCTTTCCAGGGCATAGAATCAAGGCCAGGGAGGAACTATAGGGAAAGAAAATTCTGTCCAAAGGGAGGAAGAACCAACCATCAAGGCTGACCTTGAACTTCAGGGGCTCTGAAGACAAAAAGACAGTGTACTGCCTTTGAGGGCCAGCCAGCCTCTTGGCATGGGCACTACAGAGTGTGGGCCGAGCATGGGATGGCTGCAGCTCCATTCAGCTGCCTTCCAACTCTGGGATTCTATGCATCTTCCAGGCCTTGGCCAAGCAGGTTTTATACAGGTTTTATATACTGCCAGGAAAAAGGATGATTTCAGCCCTGTTGGAGCCTATCTTATTCTGTAGTACTTGCCAGTCCCCCTCAGGGCCACACTAGCTGTGAGCAACCAACATGCCTAGCAGTACAGAACATGTCTACACACCCAGGCCCCCAGGAGCCCCTTCAGTTTCATTTTGTTGCAGCAAATGCTTAATGGCCATATATTAAACAGGATTGCTTCTGGATCAACAACAGCAACAATGGACAGCCAAGTCTCCATTTTTTTTTTTTTCCAAGGGGGTCAGGTGTCTTAACAGCAAGCTGACCATCCAGAGAATGAAATAGTTTTCAGAAAGATTGGCAACAAGGCACATTCCACTAACGCTGTAGTGGCAACAGCTTCAGTCCTCTCGGATGGCTGGGCACACAGCTGGGCACCTTAGGGATAAAATCATAAATGTCGGTTTCCAAAAAGGAGCTGGTTCTATAAAACAAACTGGTTTTCTGTTTTTGAAATGTGCCTGTGGTGGAGAATATGGAGGCCTGCTGTACACACTAGGAATGCTCTCCAGGCACGGCTGGGGAGCCACAAACTTTCACCTTTGTAAGATTTTAGTTCGTTGCCACAATCACTCACCTTTACACTCATGTAAAGCAACATGTAAAGTTGCTTTCCATGTGTGGGGTACTGTGAGGGACAGAGGAAATGATGGTAAGCCATCTTAACATGAAGGCTTCCAAGACTGATGCTGCCGCTCTTAAGAGTAATTCTCTACGATTATAAATCACAAGATAAGTTCAGCTGCAATCTTGACCAATAAACAGGTTTACTTTGCCCATCACATGTGGAGATTATTCATATCATAAAAGTTGATTTTCAAGTGGGGGTCTAGATTATATTTGTTTCATCTCCAGTAATATACTCCAGATGATTAATACATTGGTTAGATAAAGAGAAAGGAAACCCAATTTTCCCAAGCTCAGAAATGAATATTAAACAAAACCCTCTTACGTTATAGGACAAGTCTTAATTATACCACTACAACCTAGCAGTCAAAAAAAGGGGGGGGGGGAGAGGTGGAATTCATAGAGTTGTATTCTGAGACCATTGGAATCCTTGACTGGGTCTGGCAGGGAAACAATCACACACCACTTATATTTTATATTCAATTGTTCAACCATAAACATGAGTGATGTCTTCTTAGATTCTCTTTGCAGAATCCCACAGACACCATCTTCTCAAAATTCAAGTCACATCCTTGTCGTTACACAACACACTGAGAGAATCATCCCTCAAGTGGTACACCAAGACCATCTGCCTCGGAAATCCAATCTCAAAATCCTTCCGAGTCCCCCTCTCCCTACCTACCCTCTTACGACCCAGGCCTTCAAATCCTTGGCTCACAAAGCCTGGGAATTATATTCCCGTTGAGAAAATGGATGGTGCCCAATACTGGCTTCTGTTTACTTTGGTTTTTACCCAACTGTGAGTACTATTTCCAGCGCTTGCTGGCTGGCCCTGTCTGGAAAGCATGTACCAGGCTGTTCTGCCTGTTAGGTACTAAGTCTGTTCAAAAGACTTGAAAGGACAGCTATACCTTTGAATGAAAGAACCCTACTGGCCATGACATTCCTATACATGGCTGTTATGAGCAAGTTGGTATTTCTGGGTTCCTAAAGAAACACTGTGTGATTTTAGTCCCCAGTCAAAATGAGAAATTACCACTTTCTGAAGAGGAAAAAAAAAATCCTCAAAAACTTTAGAATAACATTTTTTTTCATCCAACCATCACTATCCCTAGCCTAGATATCATCAGTGTTTAAAACAGATACATTGCACCAAGCCAATATTGTACACACAAACACACCAGTAGCCACTGATTCAGTATTTCTGTCCAGCTCTATAGTCACATGCACTTCCTGGGTCTCAATTTCTTCATCAAAACCAATGGCACAAAGGACCTTCCATATCTAAATGTGCTATAGCCATGAAATCACACAGCTAGAAAACAATGTTCCCCCTGAACTCTCTGTGCAGGCCATGCAGAATTAAATCCACGATTAAAGACCATGAAATAAGAGTGAGCAATTAAAAAGATCTCCAAGGCCCCCTTGTCCATTTTGAGAAAGTGAGGCGTGGCCAGACAATTGACCATAAAACATTGATGTGTCTCACAGCCCTAATAATCCTTACTTCTTATGGCCAATTCTCCTCTAACAAAAAAAAAAAAAAAAAAAAAAGCCTCACTCTGCTTTTTCCCCAATGCACTGCCTGCAAACAGAATGGCCACTGCCTTCAGTGTTCAGGAGCCCAGGCCCTGCTGTCAGCGACTCTGCCACAGCAGAGAATTCCAGCCAAGTCGCCGAAAACACTCCAGTAAGTTTAAAAGGCCGCACCTACCCTGAGCCATTGCTTCTCAGTGAGGGCGTCACTGTAGTCCACGTCGCGGCGCTGTCGAGAACCCCTCCCAAATATCTTCTCCTCCTCCTCTTCACAGGTGAGCCTCTCCACTTCGGCATCATCCTTAATAATCCAGGAGGGCAGCTCATCTTCCTCCATCAAGCGAGGTTTGCGCTTAGGGTTCCTGGCATCCTCCCTCCGCCTGTCCATGTCCATGCGCTGGGGACAGGGATAACAGTGTCACAGAGGGGAGAGGATTCTGTGGGGCAGAATGCAGATTCTCCAGACGTGGTCCCCCCACTCCCAAGGTACCCCTTTCTGTCCCCGTAATGCTAGTCGGCTTGTTCTAGTTCATCCTCAAAGCACAGCGTCTACACGAATGATCTCATTGTGTAGAATCTTTCTTCATTTATACTCATCATTTGAATTTACTTTTGCATTAAAAAAAAAAAAACTCCTTAAAGTCTCTTCTTCTTAGCCTATGCATGTGCAAAACTCCCCCTTAAGTAACACGTGGAGAAAATTCAAAAAAGAAGAATGCATTTGAAAATGTGAGCCCTGGGCCAGTAAGATGCTTGCTGCCAATGCCAAGCCTGACAACCTGAGTTCAGTCTCTGGGACCTAACGGAGGGAAGGGAAGAATCAATTCCAGCAAGTTGTCCTCTGACCTCCACACATGTGCTGTGGCACGCATGTGCCACGTGCGAAATAAATAAATGGTGAAAAAGTTCAAGTATGAGCACCAGCTGTTTAATTCGTTACTTTCCCAAAACAAGCGAACACGTTACGCACATACAAAAAGAAAGTCCACTAAGGATGTTGACCTTTATCAAGAGGATCTGCGATTTTGGTGGATCAGGGAGAAACATTTAAGGGGAGCTATTCGTGACCACCCACAATTACAGGCAGAGGGGACAAAGATGGCCACATTGGACAACTGTCACCAATGCACCAACTTCTAAGTACATCATCTTCTCTTACCTAGAAAGGACTGCAATCAATTCTTCACTTTTTAAAAGTTTGGCTCTTAGGGAATTATTTTAATGCAGCAGACCTCAAAGCCAGTATCTTCTCAAGTGGCCAAGACACTGGGGAAATGGCTTCCCTTCGAGGTCCTCAAAAGCCTGGGTCTCCACCACTCCCTTTCTGTTCTAGAAATCCTGTCTGGTTCTAAATAAACTAAACGGTGTGTCACACACATGGCTTTACGTTTTGGCCAAGCAATCTGATGAGGTGTAAAAGAATAAGCCAAAGCTTGTCTACTAGTTACTTATACACAGACCATCCCCACAATGAAATAAGCCATTAATCATTAGTCATTTACTTTTCCCTCTTCCTCTGGTTCTACTGTATCAAAGCCCAGATTCAATAAAATGATTTTTTTCCTTAAAAGCTAAAACTGCTAAAATGTGAAAGAAATATTTGCTACTTGAACCCAAATGTGACTTAAAAATTAAAGACCAATGCTCCTTAGACTGTGCTTCAAACATTTCTGGAAATCATTCTGTCTGCGGGACAGGGTAAGCTTGAGGCATGGCAGCATCCTGTTGGCAGATAAATGCGGCTGTCCTGCTCTCTCATGGGCTAAACTTAGCTTGCGGTCCTTGGCTTAATCCAGCTGTCCCATGCTAGACTCAGAAACAGGATCTACCCATGGAAGCTTGGCAAGGAACAAGAGGGTGTTTTCTTTAAGGCAGAGCCTAGACAGAGGTTGTACCAGGCAATCTCCAGAGCTATCTGGTGGCTAGTAAGAACACAATCTCCCCATGACCTAGTCTGTGACAAATTGTTACCACTTCAAGCTCTAGCTAGACAATTCCTGATTCCTAGACCAAAGCTTGTAATGATGGCTACAGTTCATCATTTCACAACTAAAGAATAATAGGACAACTGGAATAAGTATTTTTTTTTAATTTTAATGAAAATAAGCCATGTATGTGATTTTTTTTAAAAAAAAGAAAGGTAGATTTGATTAAATGTGATAAGTAAGGTGAAAGTCTTGATGACTGAATCTCTCTGAAGAGATTCTATCCCATAATACCTCTATATAACATTTTAAGCCAGTGTTGGATAAGAGGACTGCTTTTTTATTTAATTACTACCTGGATACATTTGCCTTACATAAATCTTACCATTTGCAATTTTAGCCTTTGAAGCAAACACAGCCTCTTAAAGCTTACTGTTTATATACTGGCCAAAGATATTTATGTTAAGTATGTTGCTATCAAATAAAATTTTTAGGTAAAACTCATAGGTTATCAATATACAAAGGTGAATTATTTGATGCCTTGATTTTAGAAGGGGAAAGCCATACCGCTGTTTAAGAGAAAGATTATTATTTTAAAGAAACTATTTTAGGATGTTTATCCTATATTGTATGTCTAATATCCACTTATAAGTGAGCATATACCATGTGTGTCTTTCTGCTTCTGGGTTACTTTACTTGGGATGATCTTTTCCAGTTCCCACCATTTGCCTGCAAATTTCATGATTTCCTTGTTTTTTTTCTATTGCTGAGTGGTCTTCCGTTGTGTAAATGCACCACAATTTCTGTATCCAATCCTCAGTTGAGGGGCATCTGGGTTGTTTCCAGCTTCTGGCTATTACGAATAAAGCTGCTACGCACATGGTTGAGCAAATGTCCTTGTTGTGTACTAGAGCATATTTTGGATATATGCCTAGCATTGATATATCTGGATCTTGAGGTAGCACTATTCCTAATTGTCTGAGAAAGCGCCAGATTGATTTCCAAAGTGGTTGTACAAGTTTACATTCCCACCAGCAGTGGAGGAGGGTTCCCCTTTCTCCACATTCTCTCCAGCACGTGCTGTCACTTGAATTTTTGATCTTAGCCATTCTGATGGGTGTAAGGTAAAATATCAGGTCGTCTTGATTTGCATTTCCCTGATGACTAAGGATGTTGAGCATTTCTTTAAGTGTTTCTCTGCCATTTGATATTCCTCTGTTGAGAATTCTCTGTTTAGCTCTATACCCCATTTTTTAATTGAATTACCTGGGATAAATATACTAAAATCTGTACACCTAAAGAAGCTTAGCAAGAAGGAGGACCCTGAGTAAGATGCTCAATTCTTATTCAGAAAGGCAAATGGGATAGACATCAGCAGAGGGAGAAAACAGGGAACAGGACAGGAGCCTACCACAGAGGGTCTCTGAAAGACTCTACTCAGCAGGGTATCAAAGCAGATGCTGAGGCTCATAGCAGTGCAGGGAATCTTATGAAGGAAGAGGGAAACACAAAGACATGTAGGGGACAGGAGCTCCAAAAGGAGAGCAACAGAACCAAAAAAATCTGGGCCCAGGTGTCTTTTCTAAGCACCATGCATGGAGATTACCTAGAACCCCTGCACAGATGTAGCTCATGGCAGCTCAGTCTCCAAGTGGGTTCCTTACCAGGCCACAGAGGAAGACAATGCAGCCAGTCCTGATGAGACCTGATAGGCTAGGGTCAGATGGAAGGGAAGGACTATCAGTGGACTGGGGGAGGGGCATGGGAAGAGAAGAGGGAGGGAGGGCAGGATTGGAAGGGGATGAGGGAGGGGGCTACAGCTGGGATACAAAGTGAATAAATTGTAATAAATAAAAAATTAAATTAAAAAAGAAAAGAAAACAAAAAAAAAAGAAACTGTTTACAGCCTCTCTACATTGAAATAATAAGACTATATTAATTCGATGCACAGGATGAATTCTTAATAATGGATGAAGTCTCTTAGATATATGAGATCCAGAGACTTAACCAGCTCACATTCCATTCTTGATCCTCACTAAACTCTTTAATCAGAGTAGCTGGCATGGATTCAAATTCTATTTCCTGTCCCCTGGTGGAGGTGCTAATGAACAGAGAAGCAGCCAAAGGTATCCAGAGAGTGAAGTTTTAAAAATTAAGCCAAACAAAAACCTTACAGCTCCCCTCCTCCAAATAGACGCTAACACTTAAGAAACAGGCATGAGAGCTCACAAAGTTAAGGTGCCCACACAAAGACATTCATTCCTTAGCCAGTCTGGCCTGTTACTAGCCTATTAGCCTATTTGGGGTCACATACTCGTTCCCTTGAACAGAATCTCCCCCCTTTTTTTGGGGGGGGATCTGAGGTTTTCAGTTTCTACAAAAGTCTGGCCTCAAAGAAGAAAGGAGAAGCACTATTCCCCCTTATTACCTCCCCCCTCACACAGACTTTCAGGGCTCCCAGGGAATGCCTCCTTCTGAGCCGAATCTAATTTGGGAGTATTGGAGGCTAGACCGGTGTTGAGTCACTGCCAGGAAGGCCTTTTGCCTCGTGGCTCCCCAGTCACCTACATCTTAGTAAGTTCCTCAAAGACAGACATTTGTGTCTGATGTGTGTCCCCAATCTCCCTGTTTGAAAATTTAATCTGTAAGTGTGGAGAGTGACAGCAGAACCGTGCTACTGTCCTGTCTCTCTAAAAATGGGCTCCACCTCGGTAGGGAAGAAACAGTTCCTGTGCTGAGAGTTATTGCTATGGCTGCCTGCATTTTTTTCTCAGAAAGAGTTAATGATCTTTCATGGCGAATCATCACGTGTGGGCACAACCTGTGTTTAGAGATAGACAAAAGCCACACAAGCAAATGAAACGCCCCAGGAAAATGGCATAGGCATCCCTACAGCTTGAGCTCCATTCTCACACCCTCCTAAGCTAAAAGGGCAGAGGTGACAAACCCACTGGGCCATATTTGACTGAGCTGTGTTTTCTTTGGCCTGCAGTGTTATAGAATAGTATTAATTAAAAAGTCCTGAACTTAGTTGTAAACCTTAATGCCGAGACTGCACGTCACAGTGTAGATTCCTAGCTTCTTTTAAAGACTCGTCATTTTTAGTTAAATGGGTCTCACGTCTCTACTTCATAGCCCCAGCACCAAGGATCCTACCTTTAATACACCTCTCTTCTCCTGTGTGCTGTGCTCACACAGGGAGCATGAACCAAGCCCTCAGGGCTTTTCAACTGGTGTGTCTGTGACTGGGTTCTTCATAGTTCCTACACCACGGCTACAGGGCACACATGTCCCTTCCTTCCACAATCCAGCCAGTGCCTGAGACGATGATCAAAAATGACTGAACGCATTGGAGGAAGCCTTACACTGCATCCATCTGGATCTATCTCGCCATCTGAACAAAGCCTGCAATGGCCAACACCACCACTCATCCAATAATCGGTTATGTAACCACAATATGCCCAGGACTGGTTTGGTCATTCAAGGCAGAGTGCAAAAACCTGAAGAAGGCAGTACCCATAATTCTGCAGCTGCTGAGCAGCCTCCCCCACAGACTGGTTTGTTCCCCAACCCCCATGGCATGTGGCACACCTCACATGTAAATCAAATTGGGGTTTCAGAAAATTTATAGGTGCTATGTACCATGGAACTTCAAGGTTAAAGCCACCCACAATAAATTGTAAAACACCAAGGTCCCCTCTAACATGAAGCAGGTTTTGCTCTTTGAGCCAAGGTCATATCTTTCTATTCACACACGTCAAAGGTTCTATTTGTTTCTCTATTTTCCCTGTAGCAATTTTAAGGGCTGTTGTCTTTCACCGGCTCCTATTCAGGAGGAAGCCAGCTAGGCCACAGTTGCAAGCTGAATGCTATAAGGACGGGCAGTTGTCCAGTCTGACATTGGACTGGCCTTAGTAGTGGGTCCCTGGTGAACTATGAACCACATAGCCTGTGCAGAGGGTGAGGCCGAAACTTGGCTCTGGTCAACTGCTTCCACACAGAGCAGTGGGCCCAATACCACCCCCCATCTCACTTTCCAAAGGAAGCTAGAAATCAGGATTCTTTTCATGTTGGCAACAAATGGAAAATTTGAAGAACTGCTACGTGGGCCAAACACAATATGTCTGCAGGCTAAATCCAGCCAGCTTGCAGACTCTGAACCAAAAGCAATGCACAGGCTTCAGGGCCCAGGCTCTACCCAGGATGCAGGCTGAAGGCATACTGGATACCAAAGGGGGTGGGGGTGGGAGAGAAGCAGGGGTTTCCCATGATTCCTGTGACATTACCATAAAGAGATCAAACTCCTCTTCCCGTCGAGCAATCATCTGGTTCAAGGTCTCGTCGTCTGGTACCTCATCTTCTTCCTGGGTTCAAAACAGAATGATTGAAGAGGCTTTAAGGACAGAGGCTAAACAGTATGTGTTGGGTGGGGGTGGGGGGAGGCATTCTGTCCCATTTCTCAAGACAGAAAGAGAAGGGAGGGGCCCTTGTAGTACCTGCCATTTGTATTTTTCGAGCTTTTCAAAGTCTTTTTCGAGCAGGAAATCTCTCTAGGGCAGGAAATCTGCTCTCTAAGAAACACCAGCCCTCCTTCCTGGGTGTGGATCTTTTCTGTTACTTTTAAAGCAAGCTACTTAAATGTCTCCCCGCCTCCATGACCTCATCTGTAATATAGGCGTGACATCTACTTCACGGCAGGATGCCAGCCTAACACACGGAAATCCCCAGGAACAACTACTCAATATTAATTCCACTGACTGCAAACATGAAGGTTTATTTCCAAAGATTTACCCACTAAGCACCAGGACAAGAAAAAGAAAATCACATACAGGTACCGAATACAAAGACCTTTAAGATACATTGAATTGATGCCTTTCAGTAGGCACTATTATTGCTGACCGCTAAAGCTACAGTTAGGACACACTTAAAAACTATCAATACAAAAATACTTCAAAACTGTACCTAATTAAAACAATTAAAATGGAATAACAAAAGCGATTACGTAAAGACAAAAAGTTACTAGATTTTACATCCTGTTAAATCTGCTAATTTCTCAGAAACCAACAGTTCCCAAGGTTTTAGGAACTAACAGTATGCTGTGGCTTCTATGGTTGAGAGGAAAAAAAAAAAAAAGACAATATCAACAGCCTAAGCTAGATGTCAGCTCGAAAGGCACCTTGCACACTGCAGGGACTTAATCAGCCTTAGAAATGAATGCAACCCGGTAAGGTATGATTCATGATAATAATGACTACTGAAAACCCTTCCAATTTAATTCACCTCCACGTTGATTAAAGTCAATCTGTCTAAATTCTACATTTCATCTGCCAAGGAAGCAGGCTAGCTGGAGAGCGGGCTCAGAACTTAGAAGGTCTTGTACCTGGCTGAAGCCCTGGTCCACAGAGGTCTTCATTTGCCCTTGCTCTCCCTGCAGCCACCTGAATATCTTTTCCCCCCACACAATGAGGCCCTGGGTGTCCCTGGGGTAAGATGCAGGTTCTCCTAGAAGACGGCAGGACAGCTGCTCACAGACACCTCCGACCCCAGAGCACTAAGTAGCTGGGAAGTTTGCAGGAAACCTTGCTGTGTTCTTTGTACCCCCATACTTCATGACAGCTGGGATCACGGTACCCTGCGCTGCCGTGGACTGTTGGAACAGAAGCCTTTCACTGGAGTCTTCAAAGGTCCCTAGTTGGCTTCACATGAGGGCATAGACTACCAGAGCCTGGTAATAGTTGCCTGACACAGACATCGGCAGGAGGGAATGAGGAGTCCCAGCGGGCTGCTAGCAGTGAGGTATGGTTAGTATGGAACTGCCCTGCAGGCCCTTTGTGATGGGCCTGAGAGAGAGCCCGTGGTTCCCTGTGGTGGACCTGCAGTTCAGGAAGGCTAGAAAACTCCAGGCTTCCTTGCACACCATCTCACCTACTCAGGTCACATTTTTACAAGGCCTTTAAATAAATAGAAAATAAATAAACAAGAATGCAGTGGAGACTCCTGGCTGAGGACAGCTCTTCCTATGTCATGATTTGCCACTTAAAAAGTAGTGGTCTAAAAATTATTACAGCATTATTTGAAATATATTTAATATAGGTATATTTATTCAATATTAAATATTACAAGAATCCACACATGTGCTATGGTGTGTGTGTGTGTGAACAGCAAAAGACACCGTGGGGAGTCAGTTGTCTCCTTCCAACCCTTGTGCCCTGAGGACCAAACTCACTTCAGCAGGCTCGGGGGCAAGCACCTTTACCAGCTGAGCCATCCCACCAGCGCTCAGTGTTTTGGGGAAATGGCCAAATGTATAAACCAAAGCAAAAGGAACCTGACAATCTAATTCCTAAGTCTGCATCAAATCTTCAATTTTAAAAGCCCAGAAATAGTGAATTATTTGAGAGTTTTAAGGTTTTTAGATGTGTTCAGGTGTTTGAGTGCATATGACCAATTTTACTTCTCATCGTTTCCTGAAATTCAATAGGTAACTAATCAGATATATACGAGGCAGACAAATTAGGAGACACAATACCGAAGCACTTTGCAAAAAGATTCATTTCAGGATTCTTTTACGTATCAGTCTCTCCTTCACATGCAGCCTCATTTCCGAAATGAAGACTACATAAGAAAGACTTTAAAGCTTTGCCTCACCCACCAACACCTAAGTCAGTCTCTCCCTGCAAACCTGCTGACCACCCTGGCCAGGGAATCAGACAAATGGATGGAGCTAGAAAAAAAAAATCATCCCAAGTGAGGTAACCCAGATCCCAAAAGACAAATATGTATTCACACATTGGTGGATGTTAGCTCCTAAGTCTTTGATAGGCATGCTACAATCTGCATAGCCACAGAGGTTAGGAATAAAGTAAGGGACTATGGGAGAGGTGTTATCAACCTAGGAAGGGGAAATAAAATAGTTATGGATAGATGGGGCAGCAATGGGAGGATCAAATGAGCAGGGGGAGGGAAAAGGGGTGAGGGAGGGAATACATAGAGAGATATTAAGACTAGGGGCTATTTGAGGGGTAGTATGGAAACTTAATACAGTGGCAGCTTCCTAAAATGCAAACATATATGAAGGTGAGCCAAATGGAATCGCCAAATAATGGGGGAGAAGCGGCTCCATGTGAACATCCCTCGACACCAAACGAAGACTCCAGCTCTGGGAATGGGTTCTATCTAGTCACACTGTTGGCCAGGGGTGCCCCATGGGAACCCCCAAACACTTAGAATAATTTCCAAGCTGTTGGTTGCTCTTCACAAGCTGATGGTAAAGCCCTACTGCTCAACACACCACCTACACAACTCACTGGACATGGAGAAGTCGAGTCGGGGGCGCCTAGGTAAGCCTTCACCCTTACTGACTCATGTTTAGAGGTACACTGCAGAAAGGTAAGCACCGACCCAGCTACAAACCGTCTGATCTACAGTGGTGACCTGCATGGAAGTCGTGCTAGTGCAAGAGCGGCACAAAGCTGGTAGGGCCTACCAAGCAGTGTCTGACTGAATTTAAGGCCCACTCCGTAAGATGGAACCCTTCCCCAGCACTGCTTGGGTGGCTGTGAACCTGAGGCTAGACAGGCCAGCAACCCTGGTGGAAAACTAAATATTTCCGCTAAAAGAATATAGCAACAAAATCACTCTGAATGACATTCTGCTACACTTATAGATCAGTGTCTTACTCAGCCATCATCAGAGAAGCTTCCTCCTGCTGTAGACAGGGGTAAATACAGAGAGCCACAGTGGACAATGTGCAGAGAGTGAGAGACGTTGGTACACTCAGTCTCCATCAACTCCCTCCCCTTAAGGCTCAGGGAACCCTACAGAAGAGGAGGCAGAAAGACTCTAAGAGTCAGAGGGAAGAGAAGACTCCATGGAAACAAGGCCTTCTGAACGAACACAGCAGGCCAGAAACACATGCGAACTCACAGAAACTAGAGCGCAATGAACAGGTCCTATATGGGTCTGGGCCTGATGGGATTCCGGTTCTGAGAGTAAGTGGACACAGACCCACATCCCTAATCGAGAAGCTGCCTCCAATTGATAACCACTCACATGAAAGCAAGCAAGAGAGGGTGTGGATTTGGGTGGGTGGGGAGGTGGGAGGAACGTAGGAGGAGCTCGAGGAGGGGGAACCATAAGTAGAATATTATATTAAAAAATATATATTTTCAATGAAAAAGTACTTTTAAGAGAATTTAAAATTTAAATTATGGAGGATTTCAAAAACAAAAAAAAAATCTACGCTTATGCAATAAGAATCATATTCTATATAAAAATGTAAAATAATCTAATGCTCTAACTTTTTAAACACCAGTAAACAAAAGCAAATGCATCTATCGCTGGAAAGTTTTATAGTAAAGACTGGTGTTTGTATTTTGCTTTCTGGATGATATAGATATGTTTTTGAATATACTTCGAGTTCATTTTAGGCGGATAATTTGTGTGTATTTATGTGTCCCGAGTCCTAGAATGAATATTGAGAATAAAATGACTGAAACTGGTCATCTAAAAAAAAAAACACAACAACAACAACAAAGAAACAATGACTTGATCAAAGAAACATGATCAAAACACTGCACAACTTTGGCAATTTTCGTAAGTAGAATCACTGGGACTCAGATGAGTTTTCTCTGCCTCTATTCAGTTCTTTAAGAGATCCTTTTTGTCGTGATTAAAGTCAGGGTTTCCAAACTTATGAGCTAAAGATGGTCCTGTGAGGGAGCATCCTTTAATTGTTGAAGTATTCCGTCCCCAAAACCAGGGGCTATAGAGTATGAGAGACAAAAAAAAAAAAAAAAAAAGGCAGGACCTAAACAGCTTATCAGAGCGCTACAAAGTAAAACTCCTGTAGTTCCATATCTTGCCTACAGGAGGCAGCACTCACAATGCAATAAAATATACTTGGTGGTGCCCAAGCCCCAGAGAAGAGGCTAAGCTTTGAAGGGTTTCTGGCAATAGCTCTTAAGACACTCATATGAATAACTTTCCTGGTCTGTCTGTGCTTGGGATACAAGATAGCAGCTAATGTAGTCATTTTAATTACCGCCAGCCCGGGAAATTCTTTAAGGAACAAAGGCGTTATTCTTAATCCTTTTGAGACAAAAGGTCACTGTTAAGAGTTCATAAATTTGGCTTTCTGTAATACCTCATTCTCCTCCTCATGCTCCAAAATGGCCTGCAGGAATGCTCTCCGCTCGTGGCTGGATGACTTCTGATCAAACATGCCCGCCTGGATGACCTTCTGGTCCACGTTCAGCTTGTACTTTGCAGCTGCGAGGATCTTTTCCTCCACGCTGTTGACCGTGCAGAGCCTTAGCACCCGGACCTCATTTTGTTGGCCAATGCGGTGAGCTCGGTCTTGGGCCTGCAGATCCTGTTGTTGAGAACAATATGCTGTGAGGGTCCAGGTGCCTGGATGAACCCAGCAAATGTAATAGCGAGATGTGGGAGGGTTCCTTAAACTAGCCTTTACGAAAGTTAAAAAAAAAAAAAAAATTCAAGGTCATTTCCTCTTGAGGAAGTCTGGGCTGAAATTAACTCATGCCAAGTGAAATATTATCTCAGGATTAGAAATCCAGCTCTTAAAATATTTTTCTCCACTTGTAGTTTTGCCATGAAAATTAGCCCTTCATCAAAACAAAAACCAATACATCTGATGTCAGGAGTAAGACTTAGATATTATCTACAAAAACATGTTCAAATAGAAAGATACACAGTCTCTTCACTGCAATGTGCTAATGGCACCATTACATCACCGAATTATATTTTCGTACAACATATATATATATATATATATATATTATATATAATACATACATACATTATACCGATAGCTACTGGCCACACACGTACCCACTTCTAGATCTAGCCCTCTCAAAAATTCAGCATTTCATTTGTTTTACAAGTACATCCTAGTATTGGAAATGCTGGATATCTATCTAAAAATGATCACTAGTAGGATAATAAATTAGAGAATGGGGGGGGGGGAATTGGCATGGTATGCCAAAATGTGAACATTGGCTACGGCTCTGCCTCAGAATTCACCTTTGGAAGTTTACCCTGGAGACGCCACCATGGGTCTGCATAAACACTGATGAATAAAAATGGGCTCTTTCCCTTTTTAGCACTACCTATTCTTTCTGCTTTCAAAGGAGGAAGGTCTTCAATAACTGCCGCAGCATGCACCAGCACAGGCGCACACATTCACAAGAATGACACAGAGCTCCAAGTGGGAAGCGGAGGTTGTGAACGAGCGTGGACATTCGGCCCCACGTGTGCACTTCTCCCTACGGTGAGAGCACGGAACACCGGCATGCCAACAAGGTTGACGTTGCCAACAAAGTGACGTTTTCGTCTGGTTTATTCACATTTTAACTTTCCTCTGCCTTAAGAGTGTCAGTCTTATAATACGAAAAAGGCTTTAGTGAAATCCTTAAGTAACGGCTTCCACAGACTTCTGAAGCCATCACCCTAACGTTATAGTTACTCAAATGAACACGTCTTGGCAAGGCCCTCTTAGTCACATGGTCCACGTGATGTGGCCAGGCCTGATGCGGATGCGGTTGTTTACATGTACATGCCATTAGACCAAGAATGTTTTCAGGACAAAGGTCTATGCTCTGTTTCTTGCATTCCTAGAATTACACCTTTAACACAGCTGACACTCAGCTATTATAAGCTTGTGCTTACACCTAGCCCAGGTTCCTGTTGCCTGTGCAACACAGAGGCAGTGGACAAAAGAGTGTATAGGAGATTTGCTTTTGCTGCAGGGACCTTCGAGTGATTAACTAAGGCAGAAGTTCGTCCTCGGAAGATGTGAACAAATTCATGTAAATATCATGTGCTGAAACCTTGAGCATAATGGGTTATATTATTTCCTAAAGAAGACAATGTAAGATAGGTAACTAAAATGCTTCCTTGGGGAGAGCTTGAACCAATCATCTCTTCCAACACATCTTCACAGGATACCTAAGTTGTCACTTAGGTGACAACTTAGTGAAAAGCTCTGTGTCATCAACCTTTCTGTTAGAACTAGGGTGAACCCATCATTTCTGTAACAGTTTCATTTTACAGATTTGGGCTCCATGAGCCAGACGCAGAAAGGAGTAGTACCTTCACCAACCACCAGCCTCCTATTTATACTCCAAACATGAAAACTAGCCCCCTCTTTGCCACAGTAGTAGACCAGGCTTGCCCCAAAGCATAGCCTTCTGACCTACATTGGAAAAGAGGCTGATAAAAGCGGAAAGCTAAAATGCAAGTAGCAGGAGAGAACAGGGGCAACAGAGAGACAGGGTGGAGAGTTCCGGAGTCCTTGAGGACATGGTGCAGCAGCTTTGGTGGCAGAGGTAGCAGTGTTCCTTTGTGTCTAGATCACTTGTGCATTTGGAAAGTGGCCAAAGCTAGCATTCCTGGGATGGAGAGAGTCAAAGAAGGAGAGTCCTCCTTAGGTCAAAACAAAACAAAAACAAAAACAAGGGCTGCATGTTATAAACAATAAAGAGATCATTATAAACAATAATGATCGAATGGATAAACATCTCTGAAGTTTCTCTATACATTTTTTTGTTTAACTTTGGGTTTGTTGTTGTTTGTTTGTGGCAGAACTGGAGGTTCAATCCCAACCCCGTACATAAACATTTTGTCAAACTTTCTACTACTGAACCATATGCCATGCCTTGCTTTTACTTTTTGGGACAAAGCATCACTAAGTTGCCCAGGCTGGCCCTGAAGTCACTCCACAACCCTGAACAGGATGAACTTTCAATCTTCCTGCTTCTGCTTCCCTCATAGCTGAGGTTACAGACTTCTGCTACTAGATTCTGTTTATGTCTAGGGTCTCAGTAAGCAGTCTCAAACTTCATCACCCTCATTTACGTATGGCAATATGTCACGGCTTGAATAAAAGTGGCCCCCGTAGGCCATAGAGAATGGTGCTATTAGGAAGTGTGGCTTTGTTGGAGTAGGTGTAGCCTCGGACGAAGTGTGTTACCTGGGAATGGCGGTGAAGTTTCAGAAACTCAAGCCAGGCCCAGTGTTTCCCCTCTCCCTGCTGCCTTCAGATCCAGATCCAGAACTCTTAGCTACCTCTCCAGGACCATGTCTGCCTGTGTGTGGCCATGCTTCCCTCCGTGATGGTAAAGGACTAAAACCTCTAAACTAATAAGCCAGCCTCTATTAAATGTTTTTTTCTTTATAAGTGTTGCTGTATGGTGTCTCTTCACAGCAGTAGGACACTGAACTGAGGTGTAAGATATGAGGCCTGAACTCAAGAGCCTAGCAGAGAGGAGGGCCTCTTGGGAGCCTTTTACGGTTGACTGTTTTGTTACAAAGTTATGGAGCTTGTAGTTAATAATAGAAATACCAAGCCAGCCATGCTTCTGGTCAAGTGTGAAGAGTCTGATAAATACGGGATTTTGATGGTAATTCCAAATTCATGCATTTTCCCTTTGCTTCTAGGTAGGTCAGACATTTTAAGCAAAGAGGTAGGAACAAAGCCACAGATTTGTTACCCTGGTAGGAATCTTGCCTGCTGCAGAATGCAATCGGGGATATTGAAATAAATACATAAAAACTGTTTCTGAACTTGAAGCAAGCAGACTGTCCTGGAGGCCCCCAAGCCCTAGTTCTGCTTTAATCTTTTCTTCCACAGAGGAGGACTGGGATCAAGGCTCAAAACAGAGGTATCCAGACTCAGTGAATGAGATGCCTGGGGCTGGGGCAGCAGGGAACAGGAATCTGGTCTGTGCTTCTTTAAGAGCTGTCTTTCAATTCTAAGGTACCCCTGTACTCTACTTCCTGGGAGCAGCACTTCCCGGAAGTCCCTCCCACTCAACCTTCCCACTCTCCATGAGATGGGCATGCTGTTCCTGAGGATGGCCAATTGCCGAGGAGGAGCCTGGGTGAGATGGACACAGAACTCCTGCTCATATGTGAGAAGCGCAGGTCCCTTCTTTTAGCAGTTGGAATTCAGGGGCGGTGACTATATGAATGAAACTGCGCTGCCATCATTCTCCCCAGTAGCTCATACATAGATGTCCCATGTCCTAACGACAGTTAAGAGACCCTTGGCATAAAAAACACAGTCAACATTTATTGTGGAACCACCAAAATATTTCTTTAGAAGAATATCTCTAAAATTATCTAGGAAAAAAATAAAACCTGACAACAGATACTCGATGGGATGTGTGTGTGTGTGTGTGTGTGTGTGTGTGTGTGTGTGATTTTAAATGACATACAAAACAAAAGGGAAGGTTAACAGGCCTGTACTAAGTGTCCTTGGAGAAGTTATTTAACTTGCCTGGACTCAATCTCCGTAACGGCAAAAATGTGAATGGTAACATGCATGACCTTTCAGAGTGGTTGTGAAGACTGAGTGAGGAAATGCACACCAGGAGGCTGGTGCGGAGGGACTGCTCAGTGAGAGCTGGCTGCCATGTTCTTCAGTTTGTAGTTATTACTACTGGTCCGGGAGGCCAAACCCGGGGCCTCATAAAAACTGAGCTCACTGCCGGCCCCCTGAGCTATACCCCAGTGCCTGGAACATTTTTTATTTATCCTCCACCAGATGTAATTTGCTCAATGGCAATCCCAAGAGACGGGATTAAGACAGAACAAAGTAAGTTTTCCAGCCCACACTTGGGCGTAACAGGGAAATAGCTGCACTCCAAGGGAGATAAGGAAACAGCCATAATAATTGGCTGGGCTATTTCTCCTTTGGAGAAATTGCCCAGTCATTTAGAAATGTGCTCTGTCTTATAAACGTGAGTGATGAAACTGATAATCTTTCCCCTCCTCTCTGGAGGGAAGCCGTGGCGCCCAAGTGGATACACACACCTGATGAGGATTCCAGTCGCTGTCAAAGATGACCACCGTGTCCGCGGCCTGAAGATTTAAGCCCAGGCCCCCAGCTCGCGTGCTCAGCAAGAAGATGAAATACTGGGACCCAGGTTCATTGAATTTCTTCAGCAAGGCAGCACGATCTTCAGACTTGGTGGTGCCTGAGGGGGTAAGAAAAATAAATTTGCCAATTAATTCCTGTCTGAAAAAAAAAAGGGGGGGGGGAACTAGACAAAAATGCCTACTTCCTTGAAAAATACATCCACACTCCTGTTTGCACTGGTGACATAATGGTCGGGGTTTCTGTAGTTTTGGAAGGAGCTTGAAGCATTTTGCCATTACAAAGAAGAAAGACAAGAGTGTTTATACTCTTCTGAACATTTATACTATTCTAGAACATTCTTACTCTAAGACGTAATGAACACATTTCCTGGACTTATTTCTGAGCCTAAAAATAACAAATAATTTTTAAAAGCCATATATATGTGTGTGTGTGTGTGTGTGTGTGTGTGTGTGTGTGTGTACACTCACATGATTAAAAACAGTGATTATAGTGGTTTAAAGCAACTTTCCTGAGAGGCATTAGAACAAGGTCTTATTTATCCCAGGAGAATTAAAAGAAAAAGCTGCTTTCCTGCCTTAGCAGTTAGACTGCTACTAAGGATAGGATGTTAAAGCCATCAACGTGAAGGGGGCAGTTTCCATCTTGAAGACCTGAAGTCACAATACCTGAAAGCAAACCTCAGTGTTTCTGAGCCTAACTGGCAGCTCTTTTGGGTTAAAAGATGCTCAAACAAACAGCAAGCCACAGAGCAGGCTGGCTGATGCCTGGGCAGTCATTATACTAGAGAGCTTGGAAGAGTACAGACACAGAGCGATCATTAGTCCCGGAATGTGACGCTCACTTGTGGGCACACCTGTGTTCCACTCTGGCCATCTGGAGCACATTTAGCCGGCCTCCTCCTAGAATGTACCGTGGAGGGACAACACGAAAATCCACCAGCACTCCACCTGAATGTACTCTGCTAGGGAAGTGGATGCTGGATTCCGAACAGGCTGATGGGGAAAAATCTAAGTATGTTACATGATACTCCTTGGCTGGCTGCTGTACAAATGTTATTCCTACGAGTTGCTCTTTTTCTTTCTTTCTTTCTTTCTTTCTTTCTTTCTTTCTTTCTTTCTTTCCTCCCTCCCTCCCTCCCTCCCTCCTTCCTTCCTTCCTTCCTTCCTTCCTTTCTTTTTTTAGGATGAAAATATAGCACAATTTATTTCAGAGGATTAAAACATTTAACTGACTCCAGCTAAAGGAATCAGGTTACACACTAGGGTCAAGTTCCCAAACTTGGGGGATCTGTTTTCCACATTTAGTAAAAAATAATGAGCATCCTCAGGAGGAAAGAGAATCAATCTCCCCAATGTAGCAAGTGGGGATTAGGAGCGAGGGTCTGGTGCTCTCCTCCTATAAAAAGGCAATGTTCTTCAGACTTGTCTTACTTTCTAAATGAGATTTTTTTTTTTTTTTAAGTGAAATGCTCAAATCCTTCCAGGGGGACCTCCAGGAATCCAGACTTGGGGCTGGGGTGGTTTACTGATGGGTCTGAAACATGTAAATCTTTTTTTAATCATTATTTTCAGAACTGGCTTGCTGAGGTTAGAGCAGACCGTTTGTCCACGATGCTAACAGGGGGCACGTTTTGTTTTGCAGAAGACCTTCTCTATACAGCCTTTGCAGGTGCAATCTTCTACGCAGGGGAAAAAAATGTTGACATTTGTCTCACAGGTCTCTTTAGAGGCTCCTGTCCATTAAATGAGTCACACAGTGAGTAACAAAACAGCATCATACAGAAGTGTGTGGCAGAGCAAAGCTGCCTGCCTTGTGACTAGGACACACAAAAAGCATAAGGGAAGGGCATGTCCCCAGTGACCCAGCGACTTCCCACTAGGCCCCATGTCTTACAGGTTCAGCTACCTCCCAGGACTGACAGGTTCAGCTACCTCCCAGGGACCAAGCATTTAAACACACAGGACTTTGGAGGAAACAGAAGATCTAAACTATAGCACTTATTCCTCCATAAATGTTAAATTCTCTATGAAAATCACACCCACCTTTTAGTTAGTGATAGAGGGGATTGAACCCAGGACCTTGCACATGGTAGGTAAGCACTCTATGACTGAGCTACAACCCAAGTCCTGAAGAACTCCCTAACCTTGTGCTTGATCTGCAGCTTAAGCTTGCTCCAGGTACACTCTGTCTTTCAATATACTTGTATGTAAGTAATGCCTGTTGCAGTATTAACAACCACTCACAAGGTTTGATCATTCACATGTTTATACTCTGCCTTAAAAGGAAGAGCCAAAAATCCAAGAAAAATCCTTCTAAAATAGGGAGAGGAAGAATAATGGCATTGGTTCATTTCACAGCCCAGCACAGCAACTGGGCTCCTAGGTACTCCGAGGATATGGCCTTCAACAGTTTCAATCACTGAAAAATAATCTGGTAAGATGAGACTAGAAGCAACTGGGAAATATGCCTATCTAGCATGAAATAACCTCAAGTGCAAAACAGAGCACCGAAAAATAACCGTATCAACATTACTTAGTTAAAGGAGTCCTGGGGCTCTCCACCAGAGACTTCAGGCAAACGGATCAACTATGGTTCTTGGGGGTACTTAAACTATTAGGAGGAAGAGAGAAAGGGAGAGAGAGAGAGAGAGAGAGAGCTAGAGATCTGACATATTTTAAAAATGAACAAATGACAATATCCCATCACTTTCCATGCAGAGTTACAGCACTTCCTGTGAGAGGATTCAGAATTTCCTGGCTTGTCAATTCCATTGGCAGACACTAGCACAGGGTCTCTGATGCTCGTCAGCAACCTCTTCAGCACGGCTGGAGGAGACCCAGACTGGCCAGTAAGAGTTCATCCGAAGGCAAGTGCTCCTCACTGCAGGTGCCGCGGCATGGGATTTAACATGCTCGGCACCGGCGTCAAATCTGATGGTGTGTCAGACTCTGATGGAGGACATAACCCGTTCCGGGAACACAACAGCAAGGAGCACTTGTGTTGAAAACTACGGAGTCTGCCAGAAGGAACACATGGAACACATTGCTAGGCTGCCACGGCTGCTAATTTTTCACTGAGTTTTGGCTGTCTTAGGAAATTTCATCTTCTGGATGAAACTTCATCATTTGCTCTCACCGAAGTGGGGCGGGGAGCAAAAGCATATCCCGTGACAACAATGGGATAGTAGCTAAACCTATCCGTGCACTTCCAGTCTTTGTAGAAAAATATTTGCTTAGCTTCTAGCAAGAGACTTTTCTTCCTGATGCCAAAGTTGAGATGTCAAACTTGGCAACGAAAATCTGAGGACATTTTGTGGCCTGGATGATGGGCGTGTGGGTGCGGATGGAAGGGTGTGTGCCAGCACGGCCGCGTGTACAACGCTCTCCCCTCGCAAACGAGTGGCTGCTGCTTACAGACAGCAGGGAAAGCCTGTCCGGGCACCACAGTCCCTATGGCCCACTTTCACACAACTTTGTTTCTCCTGAAAGCAGAACAGTGCGCTGCCCAGTTGTGTGGCTAAGCTCACCGCCTCCATCGGCATGCTCTGATGGACGAGGCGACTAGATTTCAAAGATGGAGTCATTTCCCTGGCCGTGCTCAAACCAAGCATTTCTGGCACTAGATAGTCCAAGTTAGAGCCTGATTTCACACACAGCTCAGCTCTGCGTCTGGTTCTTCTAAATGGAGGTTGTGCAGACAGGGACAAAAGGCATTTGTTGAGAAAATTAACAATGCCCAGGAAGTTTTTCCCTTTCCCCTTTATCCTGCATGTAGGAGTTGCCCCCTTACCTAAATTAGCTGTCATGGCTGTTATCATATATAGACAATAAGAACAGCAACAAAGATTTAAAAATAACTCTTTGGTGTTGGCAAGCAAATACACGAGAGATTGGAGATCACTTCTTGGCATTTTTTTTTTAAATGTTAAATGTTGTAAGTGCGCACTGTGCCCCAGTGTGTGCATATCACGTGTGTATACTCCCCATGAACAGGCACTGGAATCCTCAACACTGGAGTTACAGGTGGTTGTAAGCTGCCCTGTGAGTGCTGGGAACTCAATCCAGCAAGCTCTCTTAATTGAGGAGCCATCTTTCCAGCTCTTTGTCAGTTTCATAGTTTGAAATATTCCCAGGGTATAAAAAAAAAAAAAGTGACAGGAAGTAGCAAAAGTGGTCAGGCTAGCAAGGTGGCTAGCAACCTGCAACCCAGAGAAATTAGGGGAGGCACCGACAGTGGGAGAAAGGGTGCCACTCCAAGAGAAAAGAAAAACACTCAGATTTGACAACAGAGAGAGACTGTATGGTTAAGACTACCAGGACCATGCATTCATGTCGACTTGACCATTCATCAATTGACAACTTTGGAAGGGTGAAGAGGCTTAAAATCATCAGGTATCTGATGTCACAACTAGCTTTAAATAAGACTAGAAAGCTAAGGTTAAGACTTCAAGAAGGAGGCCGTACAGAAAATGAACCTAAACACTAAAGTAAAGAAATACTTGCCAACTGCATTTGGTTTATTTCTAATTAACCATGTATAAAGGGGAGGTGGGGTACATCGGATTGAAAATAGCCCCAAACCTTCTAATGGAGTATAAATTTTAATTTCCCTCTCATTTAATAATGACATTATACTGCATCAGATAACGTAATAGTTATCAGGAAGACTGGGCTCTCTGCACCCAAGGTCAAGTACATCCTGCACCTATGCCTACTCTTATCCCTTCACAACACTTCTTAACCACATTATCCATCATCAGACTTTGAAAATCTGAAATACTATTGCTAGTATCTAACTTATCCATGTAATTTAGGGACTACCCCTAAAGGCATATTTGCTTTTACTAATATTTGCTTATTAAAGTGATATCCTAATTTCATTCCTTTTTTTTTTCTCTCTCTCTCCTTTTTCTTCTTTTGGAGACGGGGTCTCACTATGGGTGCCTGGCTAGCCTGCAACAGGCAGGCCTTGAACTCACAGAGATCCACCAGTCTCTGTCTCCTGAGTGCTGGCATGAAAGGTACGCTCTACCAGGCCCAGTCAATTTCATTCTTAAGTTTAGCCAACTTCCTTAAATAGTTTTTGTGTTGCTAGTTTGTGTCAACTTGACAAGAGCTAGAGGCATTTGGGAAGAGGTAACCTCCACTGAGAAAATGTCCCTACCTGACTGGCCTGTGGGCAAGCCTGTGAGGCATTTTCTTGATCGCTGAGTTAAGTAGAAGGAGCCAGCTCAGTGTGGGCACTGCCAACCCTGAGGACGCGTGGTCCTGAGACTGAGCAGAAAGCAAACTGAGCAAGCCAGTGAGAAGTGTTCCTCCGTGTGTTCCACGAGAGTTATAAGATGAAATAAACCCTTTCCTCTCTGAGTTGCTTTTGGTTATAGTGATTTATCACAGCAATGGAAACCATGACTGAGACAGTTTGCAGCACTCAGGAAGCAATGAAGTCTCATCTCTTAACAAGGTGGCCTGAACCTATGACACAGGCTTCAATGACAAACTCGTAAATGAACTACTACTACTTTGTCACTGAATAAAGGAGTCACCGAGTGTGTCCCTTAAGATATGTCTTCTCTGAAAAGGAGACAAAGGCTGGTCAGCAGACTCCATGGCACAAGAAGTTGAGACTAAAAGCCAGGGGTCAAGCACTTCTGCTCTGTTCAACCACGGTGCTCATACAGGACTCTGAATCTGTGTTGATACGTACACAGGATAAACAACTGTGAAAATCATGTCAATGAGGTGAACGGCGTCAGAAGACATAAACTTGCCATCCAGTAGACCCACAGCCAGCAGCCTGAAGGCCAAACTTCTCAGTGTTATTTCTCCTTTTTGACAGAGATTGGGGCTCAGGGCCCATGGCCCCTTTGCTTTTGGTAGTGTGGTGTGAGTCCAGTGCCTCCCGCACTTACCATCAAGGCGCAGGTAAAGGAAGTTCCGAAAAGCAAAGTAATCCTCCATGATGGTCATGAGTGACGTCATCTGGCAGAAAAGCAGCACGCGGTGGTTAGTTGCTCTCAATTTGGGCAGAATACGATCAAGTAGCTCAAACTTTCCTGAGGCCCGATACAGCTCAGCCCTGAACCCAAAAACGCAAAACAAGAAGACAGTATTACTGCTGTCTTCTTGAAAGATCCAGAAGAGCTTAGCTTTTCAGATAGAGCCTTTATATAGTAAGCATTCAATAAGGAACTGTGGATGAATGAATGAAGGGATATCAGCTCCTAAGCCATGCCTGTGTTAAATGAGGGGGAAAAAAGCCATCCATACAAAACCCATGTATATATAATAAACACACACACCCATATATATCATGAGCATGCTATATATGTATATGCCAGATGCCCAGAAGAAAAGGGAACCCATCCACACCCCTAAGATGCATTATGATGTGCCATCAAATTAACAGTACACTGGCGATCCACTCAAATACTTTTTGAGCCCCTACTGTGTACCAACACAGTGTGGGCAGGCATATAAAGTCTATAAAGTAAAGCAGAAAGTGACAGCGAGAATTCAGAGTGCGTCAACACTGACAGATCCTTTCAGAAATGAGGTCTTACTGAAGCACAGCCATGCCCATGCATTTCTGTCTGTCTGATACCATCCTACACTAACCATGTCGACCAGGTATCTGTGATCTTCAAAAGTGAAAATGTTTCCTATCTGGCTCTTTACCAATAAAGCTTGCCAATCATTGACTTAAGTGTGTGTGTGGTCAGTGACTTCCCTGGAGAGTGAACACTCTAGTTAAAACCTGAAACATTGAGTGAAAAGACACTTAGGTGAGAAATGAGGGCATGCACATAGAGAGAAGAAGATTGCCAAGGAAAGGAAAACACATGTGCACGGGCCCTGCAGAGTTCAGGAAGCCTGGAACCCCTCACAAATTGGGGCCAAGTCATGGTGAGTGTAGTGTAACCTAAGCACCAGTGAGGGGAGAGCAGGCCCGGAGGGCAGACTGGAGAGGTGAGGGAAGGAAGCAGGTATTGGGGAGCTCTCTACTGACTGTTCTGGATTTCAATGCAATGGGCAGCCACTGATGTGTTGTAAACAGTGGTGTGACCTTGAGTGACCTGTTTCACTGGGTTGCCATGGGCACCATGGGAGAGTCAGGGAAGAATAAGGTCCTGGTTTGCTGCAGGCGCATGAGACAAAACATGACGGGAGAAGAGGGCCAATTCCTTGGTAAGGAGGAAGGATGAAGTAGGGCCTTCTGCCACAGGAAACCTTTTGTTTTCAAATTCAACAGTGTTGCATAATACTGAAATTTACTTCCAGGGTTGAAACGGTTTGAAATAATCACCCATGTGCACGTGTTCAACAACAGTGAAAATACATCAAGGGGTAGCAGAACTTGTGCCATGGTGCATTTTGTTCGTAACATCCATTTTCACGTTTGATTTCCTGTTGTTGATCACTTACACTGAGACCTGTCCTTCAGTGGCTCACCCTGTACCCCTGACCATGCTGGAGGAAGCAGGAGCTGCCTTAACGCCCAGGGGACAATTGAAGCAAGGACTGAAAAGAGGCAATTAGCCCTAATCCTGATCCTGAGGACCCTGCCTGCCTCTGGGATCCAGCAAGGATCCCACATATTCTAATAATTCATCTCTCCTGGGGTGAGACACAAGATGTTCTGCATAGAATAAGCTCCATTGTTTCTCTGCAGCAAGGTGTGGCTCCATCCTATGTCCATGCTAACAACAAAAGCTTTCTTGGATCATATTTCAGAAACTGACTGTAAAACTGAACGTTCACTTACGGCACATGAGACATTTTCTTTCAGGCATTTGAATGCTAAACATCCATAGGAAATTAGTAAGAAAAACTATACTTTCGGTTAGCAGTCACCCCACTCAGTGACTGAAACATTTTTAGAATGTGAAACCACTGGTAAGTCCCTTAAACGAGATCTGTGTCCTTTGAATAGACGTTTGCTAAGGGCACGCTTAAATTTATGCCAGGAAAGTACAAAGGGATGCTGCTATCATTTCATTTAGCAACTTCTGTCCCTCTGCAGGGGAGCAAGGAGGCTTAAAGGAGGCTGACAGTGTGTAGTTGCAGGATAGAAAGAATTTAGGCCAATAACAATGCATCTTGAAAGAGAGGGGAAAAAAAAAAGGAGATTTACCCATTGATGACCCCATTCGAATAGCCCAGGTGTTCAGCAAAGGATTCCTTTAAGAGAGCAGAAAGTGATTTTAATATGTAATCATTAACTGCCTGTTTTCTCTAGTATTTCTAGAACATAGTCAAAGCGAATCAAGTGGTCACCGAAGAGGCGAGCACTCATTGCAGAGCAAATCAGAAACTCATGTCTCTGAGGTCACCTTTTGTCCCATCGTAAAGACATCCCTGGCATAGCAGTCTTTGCTTTGGACTCCCTGATATCAGGTCAGCTCACTGGCCCAGCACAACTCAAGATTAGCTCAGCGCCTGAGCATGCATTGGCCAGGAGCTGAACCTCGAACTCTTTCTGGGGACCCACCCACAAGCTCACAGTCCAAGGTACAGGCAGGGTTTAATATAAGCTGGCCCACAATCATCATGTAAGCACAAACGTAACCTAACAATTGGAAATAATAGAAATAATGGCAATATAGCATTCACTGAGCCTGTAGGCCTCCCTTTTCTCTTGACAAGTAAAACACCTTGAACCAACTAGATCTTCAAGGTCCAGCTTCCGCCCTTAGAGCACAGAACTTAATTACTTAATTCCCTTTTTACTGAAAAAGAGGAAGACATACTTGACTGTTTTTGTGCTTTCCCTTCGTCCTCTTGATAGAAAGGGAAACTACCTGGGGGGTGCAGGGCAAGTCACTCCTCCCATTCAGTCGCCCCTAGGCTCCTTACTCCCCTCTACATCCAGTCACCGGAAGCTTTTCCTCCAGAGAGAAAAGTTCATGCCCTCACAAGTCAGGGTGGGTCCCAGCCCCTCCGAGCACTGTCCTATGGTAAAAAAATGACTTAGCTGAACAATGAACAAAACTGTACTCTACCTGCTAGCACGCCAATGACCCTCTCACAGATGGCATCCCTTTCTAGTTTTTTCAGCTCCCATTCCTGGCTCCAAGCAAGGAAGGAACTACTAAAGCAGTTGCATATATCTATAGACTGGTGAGATTAGGCATCATGCCATCCTTTAAAACACCCAGCTTTGGGGCATGGCGGTATGCTCCTCTAGTCTCAGGTATTTGGGAGGCTGAGGTATACACACACACACACACACACACACACACACACACACACAAAGACTGAGAATATTTGACCAATGTGGGCCACACAGAGAGGCCCCTGCTCAAAATAAAACACAGCTTTCATTTCTCAGGTATGAAGGTCCCCAAGGAGATGACAAGCCCTGTCTCAACACTGGGGTTGCGAAATTATTTGGTATCAATACACGGTTGTGTGGAAGACAACACAAAACAGAACACAGACAAACATACACAGCATCTTGGACCCATTGCAGCCAAAGACTCAGTAACAGCTGCAGGCTCTGGATTCTAGAAGCTTCCTCAAAACTGTTACATTAAAAAGCCCCAGTATACCCTATCTGTCTACTGACATCGGCCTAAAGTCCAAACAAACAGATGCCAGTGAGCATCCACCACCCCACCACCCCATTCTTCTCTCTGAAGCTGCAGATACTGAGAGAGAGGGACAAACCCCAATTCTTCCTCAAGCAGCTCGTAAGATGCAACTTCATAATTGCTACATCCCCACAATCCTTTATGAGTAAGAGTAACATTTCTCAAAATGGTTTTCAGGAATAGGTGACCAGTCACGCTGTCACAACCCAAGCATTTCAGCATTAGAAATTATTTCCTATGCTGTCCCACGCCCTATCCCAGCACACTCGCAGCAGTAGCAAAATGCACCTTCCATCTATTTGACGTGATTTGTTTTTATTTTTGTTTTTTACGAGCTGCTCCATGTGTTCTATCCTTAGTGTTGATCCAAGAGGCTAGAGAAAAGGCCCACAGTTAAGAGCACTGGGTGCTCCTCCAGAGGATTCCCAGAATCCACAGAGAAGCTTATAACCATCTGTATCACCAGGTCCAGGGCATCTATGATGACCTCCATGAGCACCAGGAATACAAGTGATGCACACACAGACAGGCCAGAAAAAACACTCACAAACACACATGTAATTTAAAAAAATGTAAAGGTTGATTCATCTGCCAGGCCTATAATCTATTTCTCTCTCAGTTCAGAGGCAGGAGGGAGACAGCTTTAACGGGTCAAGACTCTCCCCACCCAGACACCGTGACAAAGAAGCTTGTGACAGGTTCTCACTACTGCTCAAAGGATTCTTCTTCATCTGTATATGTACATGGCCATGGCTTACTGGTAGGACTTTTATAAGTACTTGTAAAGTTCAAATTTTGCTTAGCTCTATAAACACATCCTCTCCTTGTCCTGTAGCTCTGTCTCAGCTGTGCTGTGTAATGCTTGATGGACCAGGTCTCCTATGCCCAGACACCCTCCAACTGCCTATGGATGCTCTAGGGATACTATCCCTTACGTCCATAAATACTCTCATCTGCATTCTGGGATGTCCTCTCGCCTCGTTGTCACAGATCCCCAGCCCTGCATCCACATCATTGTCGTTGTTACTATCGCTGTGACAAGACACCATGACCAACAGCAGCTTGGGGAAGAGAGGGTTTATTTGGCTTACATATCCTGAATCACAGTCCACTGAGAGAACGCAAGACAAGACCTCACACAGGGAGGGAACTCAGGGGAGCTGACTTGGAGGCCATGGAGGGGTGCTGCTCACTGGCTTGCTCCTCATGGCTTTATCAATCTGTTCTCTTACAGTACCCAGGGATGTCCCCACATACAATAGTCTGGAACCTCTCCCATCAATCATTAATTAAGAAAATGCTCTACAGGCTTGCCTGTAACCAGATATTCAAGAGGCATTTTCTCAGTTGGGGCTCCCTCCGCTCAGGTGACTACACCTTGTGACAGGTAAATACAAAAGTAGTGAGCACAGTCTATACATGCTCTACGGAGCAATCAGAGAGCCTTCTGTCTATGGACAGTCTCTGAATGTATGGGAGGATATTCTCCCTCCTGTCACACCCTCCCTTAGATCCCGAATGTATGCTCTCCCTGTCTGTGAATGCTGGGCCTATATCCAAGGACAACTCCCCTAGGATTATGGATAAGCTCCTTACACTTATGAATAACAACACCCTCTGTCCACAGATGTTCTGCCGCTATCTATAGGGAGACAGAGCCCATCTGTGTGGGGATCTTCTTCCCTACCTATGGATTTTCCCACTTACATCTATGCTCTTTCCTAAGGACTTGAGGACCATAGTGGTGCCAGGCCTCACTCACTCGGCCAGATGAGATGGACCTCTAATACAGGAAGGGGTGGTAATAAAATATTAACTGATCAAACATGCATAATTACCAAAATAAACTGGGATGGGATGGGGGCTCAAAGCTAAGGCTATTTCAACTCATTCTGTGTTGTCATTAAGCTTTAATTTTCTGGAAGGTTCTGCCAGTTGCTTAAATAGAGCAGAGCCCTGCATTGATTTTCCTTGAAGCCATTCCTCCTGTTTTGTTTGTAGCAGGCAGCGGCCCTTGTGGCGTCAGCTGCTTCAGTCCCATGTGGTTCTGCAGATGGTGAAGGTGGCTTCTTGATACTTCTGCTCAAGCCAACTGCCCCACCAGAGTGAACCTTGTCAACAAAGGCATCTCATTCGCAGGAAACAAACAGGGAAGAAAATGTCCAGTGGTCAAAAACAGGGTTCTAGAGACCTTAGCAACAGAGTGTGCATCATCACATGGAAAACCAAGCAGGAAAAAAAAAAGACCAATCCATGTCACAGGCTAGTGCCAGCCTCTCTCATGAAAAGAGACCAATCCATGTCACAGGCTAAAGCCAGCCTCTCTCACAAAGATAATATTTCAAGGACACATTTCTCTTCCATATCTATAAACACATTATTGGAGTATTTCTCTTAGCACCTTTCTGAGGAAGCTGGCTGCACCTGTCATTATCTTCAATTTCAGAGCTCCAGCGGTAACAAGGTAATTCACAGCATTTACCCAAATCCACATAAAGACCCGATGCTCCCAACATTTCCTCACTACTTTAAACTCTTAATGAATTCCAGATGCTCAGGCAGTCAGTGCCAACACGAATGCACACCCAGGAAACAGGTCTGTTGATTCTGCCTGAAAAGACAGGGGCCGTGCCAGCTGAACACCCCACACATGCTGGACACATATTTGAGGTTTTCCCTTTCTAACTAACACAGTAAGGATCAGAGAACAAGATACAGACTCACCTCAATGTGCTGAAACATATATGGGTGGTTGCATATTTTTCTCAGCTGCATGATAGTGTTCATAAGCGTCTTGGCACCTCCTTTGCCCTGAAAGTACAATGAGGAATTAATTATTCACTGATCAAATATTTCCAATTTTTAAAAACTAGGCATCAAGAGGAAGGTTTAGCTTACTGGTGGAGCCTGTGCACAGCTTATGAGAGGCCTGGGTACAAGTCTAGCACTGGAGACACACACACACACACACACACACACACACACACACACACACACAGAGAGAGAGAGAGAGAGAGAGAGAGAGAGAGAGACAGACTAGATAGCTCACAGAGAGAACATAAGTCCCTGCATCTTCTTAGTACCTACACACTAGAGTTCCAGCTGATATGTAGCCTTTTCCATGTTGGATATAGCATTGTTCTTGTGATTAACTTATCCTACAAAAAACTCTTACAAAATTATGTCAAGCCGATGGCTTTGTGTCACATCTGTCCTTAGGATTCTGGCAGACCACACACAAAAGATACTAGGGAGAGAAACTGGACCTTCAGGTGTCCTAAAGCACTGGGTAGCTTGTGCTGTCTGCAGAGCTATCATGAGCAGTACTGAGGGTTTGATAAAAGAAACACTATCAGAGGCACAGACCCTCCTTTCTCCCCCCACTCCCCACCCAACGCAGTTAACAGGGTAATGATGGTGCTGGCAGCTACTGTAGCCACAGGAAGGCTTTCTGGAAATGCTCAAGGCCCTGGCCACGAGAAGAGGAGAAGACACGTTGCAGTACCTGAGTCTCCTGGATTTCACCACATACCTTCTTGTCCTTCTCAGAACCGTCAGTGAGGAGGATCCCCTTGGCTTGCATGTGACGATACAGAATCTTCTGCAGGGCTGACATGTCACACTTGATCACATACTCAACCTGAGGACAGAGAGCAGGATATGGGTAAGCATAGGAGAGAAAGAGGCTATCGGAAGATGGCAGCAGAGAAGGGCCTGCTGGGGCCAGTCCTGGAAGCACAGAGGAGGCATCTATTTCCCTTTCCAGGACTCCTGAGATGGGACAGGGCCATGGAGCAGATCAGAGTCCTCATCAAACGTGTCATGATAATGGTAAGATCTTTAAAGGGCGGCCTGTTGAAAATGTCAAGGTCACAAATTCCTAGAATTTCTTGATCCCATATTTAAGAGAGAGCAGCTTGTGTATTACAAAAATGTTCACTACAGTGTATTTTTAATATTTCTCCTGTTTTTTGGCCCTGTTTATTTCCATATGAACCAAACATTACTATTAAGAAAGAAAGACCAGTGACTGCCCCCAATCCTACGAATTTCTTTGTAAAACATCTTTAAATGGCTACATGTGGCCACCCTAAGCACTAATCTTACTGTAAGATTGCTAAAAAACCTAGGTTGACTGTCATTAACTTCTACTCTCGAGAAATGAGAGGACACACCACTGTGAAGACAAGAAGCTAAAACGAATTAACTCACAGCAGGACACAACTCCTGAAACCTCCTCAGGGCTGCCTGAAGCCGGACATGGCCTCCTGTGTGTCCAGCTGAGAGAAGACAAAGCCCAATTTCAAAAACACTTAAATGGGATTCACATGCCCATGACTTATCACACACTTGCAAGGCTTTAGCATCCTTTGTGCACAGAGAACAAGACTTATTTATATTGCTGGTTTTCCTCAGTCCCAAGAATACAAATGGGCAAATTTCAAAGTAAATGCCAGATTGCCACCTGGATATCTAGGAACACCATTAAAGAAAATCAGGCAACTGCCTGGTGTTCAATCAACTGTTTAAAAATGATCAGGCTGTTTTCAGCTCCGAGGGCTAGAGAGAGGAGGTCACAGATGAAGAGAAGTTGAATATTCATTTGGCTGTTCACTTTTAGAAGGAGGCGGAGCCCTTGGAGGCACAACTGGTTGTCTCCTCACACTGGCAATTACAGGAAGGCTGGCTCTTATGCCGGAGAGTTACCTAAATTGAGTTGGTTAGTAACTTTCCAGGTCAGAGAGGAAACACAAATCTTTAAATTTAACAAATCAGTACACAGTTAACGCCGGCTTTGTGTTTCACCTATCTGATTGTGTCTTCCCTTTATTCTTCTTTTCTTTAAAAAAAATAAAATTCCTATGTTGTATGGTTTTCCTCAGGTATGACTGACACAGGTGACTCAAAGTTTCCATGGTGTGATAGTTTCCACTACACATTCACAGCGAAAGAATTACCACTATCCTAGTTTTTCAAGAGCTCTAAACTTACAATGAAATTTGATTGTGGGGAAGAAAAATTTTAAGTTTGGACTTTAACAAGTTTAATAATGATGGCATCACGGGCTGATATTGAGCTCTATGTAAAATGCTGGGTGTGTCTTTTCTCACTTAATTCCTACAAACTTATCACAAGATAGAACACTTAATCTCATTTCATAGACAAGAATCTGAGCAGCCAGGAGGTCACGCTCCTAGCTCAGTATGTCTACTCTTTCAGACTACCCCTAAGGATGACCAAAGAGACCATTTCAGAGTCTCAGCCTGATGACCACTTTTACTTGGTACCGCCTTGCTGCTGGCTCCTCCACACCTTCCTGAGCGTAGAAGACATGACTGATTCTTTTGTCAAGGCGTGTCAGGAGATGGAAGAGGAGGGAACCCTCACTTTCTATGTGTCAGTCAGCTACTGCTAAGGGCTGGAGGTGGAGGAGTTCTGGAAGAAGAGTCAGCCTGCTGATACCATGGAGACAGGATGCTGACCATCTGAAGAGAGGCAAGAGCCTCCAGAGCAGCGGCTCTCAGCCTTCCCAGTGCTGCGACCCTTAAATACAGTGTCTCCTGTTGTGGTGACCCCCAGCCATCACTTCATTTTGTTGCTACTTCGTAACTGTAGTTTTGCCACTGCATGAATCAGCATGCATGTGGACCCACACATTGAGAACCGTTCCTCTAGAGGGCTACATAGCTGTTCTAGAAGGAAGGCCCGAGGCTCCCCCGTCCCTTGCATCAATAACGGTAGAAGGAGCTGGTGGGATAAAGGACCAAATCTGTTGTTATACGCTCCACAAGCACATTTTACCTTCGCTCCTGGAGTGGTCAGGAACGACTGCAGATGATTTTATCTGCTCCCACACTTTTCTCCAAGCCTAGGTGGTCCTTAATGTTAGGGACCCTTTCTAAATACTACTGTACCCAAGACCTTCTCCTGGGACCAATGAGATGGCACAATGGGAAAGGTGCTTGCCTCTAAGCCTCGTGACCTAAAGGCAATCCCTGAGACCTACACAGGAGAGAAAACTCCTAAAAGTTATCTTTTGACCTCCAACATGCACCACGACATGTGTGGACACAGTTCCATCATATCACATGTGTGCACACGTGTGTACCATGTAAATATATGGAATTTTTAAAAAATTCCCTCAAGAGCCCTATTAATCAAAAACCATTTCTTCCTCCATGTCCCTCAGAGAAAATGGTCCTGGACCTTGTCTGATGACAAAACTCATCTTTCCAATATATTGCTATAGCTTTTCTTAATAATTATTACATACATGTGTTAACATTAGCATTTCAAGGCATGGGCTGAGGCCTATAGGACAGTGGGACAATGTTAAAGATAGATGCTTTACATCCTTATATAATGATGCCAGTGTGATGATGCCTGATATTTTGTATCAGTTCCAACCTGAATACTCTATGTGCAGCTAATGGAAGCTGCCAGGAGGAGAAACAGCATGGCTTTCTTCTCATTGTTCTGTGTTCACACTGTTCCACATTCCCACCTCTATTCTTTGGCAGAGTCTCTTCAATCTTCCTGGGTCCTAGGAGATTAGCCTAGTTAAATAGGTCCTGCTTTCAAACCCAAACACTTTGAACCAAAACATCAGATCATATGAAGTCTACTTTTGTAGACACAGGAAAACCCAGTTACAACATACAGAATCTGAATACACAGACAAGTAAAAATGGATGGACATTGAGATGCCCTAGTGGGAGAATCCAACCCAAGCCTCCCCTACGACCACCCAGGTACATGAGTGACCTTGGGACAGACAGACAGACCACACCTGGCATCAGTGTTACCCTGCATGTTACAGATCTACAGAGCGTATCTACAGAGACACATAAATATGCACAGCTCCGCTAGCATCGGTCTGCATTTGCAGGGGGTTATAACTGAGCTCCTTCTGCACAGCCTGCTGCCACACCCACGTGTGAGCACTGGGAACCCCCCCCACTAAGGCATCTGAAAGACTGTATAATTCATTTTGCTGGCTGGGTGACGCCACCTCCCACTGCTACACCAGCACTCAGCGCGAACAGACCTCACGTCAAAGGTCAAGGCTGTCAACCATTTACAACACACCTCCCATTATATATTTTCTACCTGCTCTGAGTGCAAGGAAATGCACAGATGAACCAACTGATAGCTACAGACAGAGTAAAGAACCCTACAAATTATGACAATCTCAACTGGGTTGGGTCTGAGCTCACCCTCCCCAAATGCAGCGGCACCTTAGGAAGACAAGTATGTGAGAATGCCTCTGAACACACAGGTGGTCCAGAGAGTGACATTGGTGACTTCTGAAATCAGATGTCCCCTATAAGGGATAGTCTTGACAGCTACTGGGACTCCGTTGATCCCAGTTCTAAGAACAACGGAGGCACTGACTTCACACACATGATAACTGTCCCCTAGGAACTCTGAGTTAGTAAAAGACTGAATCAATCCCCACAAGCAGGTGAATACATTGGTTATACTGCCTAAGAATCCTAACCTCCATTTAGTTTGGTAGAACTTGAGCTTTCCTCAAAGCTCCTGCCTTTGAGATTATCATTCCAAAAGGATTCATTCAAGATTATCATTCCAAAAGGATTCATCATCGGAACAGTGAACCACAGGCCAGTGTGGGAAATAGGCTCATGTGGTGAACTGAGATTTTTTTCAATAAACAATTCAACCTACAAAGGCCTCAGGTCCTGGAATCTATGGCACAAGAGGAGAATAATGTTCATGATTAATTCTAGTAAGCATTCCCAGCTTTTATACAAATACACAAGTGTTCCATCTAAATAATGCTTTTTTTCCTGTATGCATTAAAAAAAAAAAATCAGGATTGACCTTAGGTAGTCCAAGATCTTGTTAACTTCAGACACAGCGCTCATGAACATATGCACACATGCATATACATAGCAGGCACATGCCACACATGCACTGAGATGCCCCTGTACATGCAACCAGCTGCACCACTGGTTCTTAAGACTACCAATCCACAAAGGAAAAAAGTCAGGCCAGATAGCTTCCACGGGAGCTCAACTGAAAAATTAAATTTTCATCTAGTCTAAGTTGCCTTGTATAATCCCTTTTCTATGAACTGGTGTTATTTCCTGAATGTAAGAAATGGGCTTTGTGGCCATAGGTAGGGGCACAGTATCTCCCCTGCTCAGTAGGTGTCCCATTAGCCTACTATGAGAGCTGGCTTTCCTCAGTGTACAGCCCAAGTGTAGGCAAAGATACTCAACACTGCTCAATATCAAACAAATGGAATTGAAGACACAACTTCATACCTACTAAAATTTGGAAACAAAGAGCAACAACAATAAAAACATACCTGACAACACCGAGCATTGATGCACATGAGAAACTAGAATGCTCACATCTTGCCAGTAGGACTACAAAGCATTTCAGAAAGGTGCAGAGAACACTGAGATCGCATGATTTTATAAGACCATTTTACTTTATAATAATTTTATCTCATAAAATTTATAATCCATTTATTAATCATGTGTCTCAGAGATAATACTCCTGGCCATTTACACAAGAGAAACAAAAACTACATCACACAAAAGCCTGTATCCAGATGCCTACAGCAGTTCTGCTCAGACTGTCAGGGACTGGAAAGATAGCTCAGCTGTTAGTTATACTGACTGCTTTCACAGAGGACTCACATCAGTTCCTGGCACACACTGGGCAGGTCACAAACATATAACTCTAGCTTCAGAAAATCTAGAACACTCTTCGGGCCTCCAAGTACCTGCCTTATGTGGTGTATATAAACTCAGGTAGACAGACAAACACACACACACACACACACACACACACTGAACAAACCAAACAACCCAATGTCCCTCAACAAAGCTAATCTACTGTGGGTGAGCAAAACCACCTGGATGACTTCCAAACACATTACACAGACTCAAAGAACCCACATGCAGACAGCAACTAGTTCATCTGGCATTCTTTAGGGATGGAGAACAGCTTAGAGGTCACATGAAGCTAAGCGTGGAAGGGGGAAATAGGGGAAGGTGGTGAACACGTGGGTATTGCACTTGGAGTGTAGGCATAGGTATGCAAAGGAGAACAGCTTAGTTAGGCGAGGGACAGTTGTGTAGTTTGGTTCTGAACAGAGTGACACAGACATTTGTTAGGACCACAGAGCTGTGAAATAAAAGGAGTATGGTTCTGTACAGACATTTTACTTGCTGTAAACTAAAATTAAAATTAAAATGCATTTTCTTATTCTTCTTCATGGAAACATTTAAGAATAAAATAATATAGATGGCTTTAGTTTTAAAAAAAATTTGTTTCTGTCAACAGTTATTACTCTTTTATGGTTCCTTTTACTCCAGCCATGTAAGATATACAGTCTGTACTTATAAACAGCAGGTATTAAAGAAAAGACTCCTCACCCCCCAAGGATGACAGCTGCATTTCCAACTTTCCCCAGGTTAGAAGAAAAATATGAACAAGGTAATGAAGATAGAGAATAGATATTGATTGAATCAAGTCAACAACACATGCTCTAGCTGGTTCACAGGCAGAGATGCAAGAGATGCAAGATACAAAAAAAACACAGTAAAGACAAGAGAACAGTGATAAAAACTTCAAGTGGACAAGAGAGTAGAGCTTCTATTAACAACTGAAACAGAAGAGACACAGGAGGAGACACACACACACACACACACACACGCACCAAGACAACAGAAATTGTGCCACGTGTATGTTCACGCATCTAGCACTGAGACCGTATAGCAGTCCTGATACGGCACATATTTTCCAGGTCACTGGTGAGATCACTAAGGCTACCCTGGGCTATATGATTTGCCAACATTCATACCATAAGTAACCAAGAATGTAGGGTTTCCTGTGCCCACTTATGGGCAGAGTCAACAGTTTCGACCCCACCAAGCCGCCTCCAGGACAGTGGTTGCCTTTAAAGATCTGGATGCCTAGAAAGAGATCCACAAAAGATACAGCATATAGAGTGTCGTTCTTACCAATATAGGTCAAGACCACAGGAAGCCAAAGGGTATAGAAACAGTACCTGGTCCCCAAGTTGTATTCACTAACAAAGTAAAATACATACATAAGCTTTTACTAGGACAAGCATGGGATAAGATTTTTTTTTTTAATGTGTGTGACTATCGATGAATAAGGGATGAAGACATAAAATGCTCTCATGGCAAAATGATTATATCTGTCTAACCACCTGCCAACTCTTACAACAGATGGAATACACCAATCTGTCTAGTAGTTTTTAACAAAAAATTCACAATCATGAAAAAAGACAGCTTAGCTCCAACCTATCAAATAAAAGGCAAATAAAAATACATCATGCATGCCAGGTGGTGGTGGTGCACTCCTTTAATCCTGGCACTTGGGAGGCAGAGGCAGGTGGAACTCTATGAGTTCGAGGTCAGCCTGGTCTACAGAGCAAAAAAAATTCCAGGACAGCCAGTGCTGTTACAGGGAGAAAACCTTGTCTCGAAAAACAACAACAACTACAACCAAACCAAGCCAAACAAACAAACAAACAAACAAACAAAAAACAGTATTTCATACCAAGCAAGCCACCCTTTAGAGGACAGAACTTCAGGTGTAGACGGTTCTAGAAGAGGACCGGGGACAGTGATCGAAGTTCAAAGCCCAATACTAACCCAGGCCCAAAGGATCTCTACAGAATAAAAACCATTTCCAAAGAAAAAAAACTATGTGCCTAGAAGTTCCCAGGTGTGTCTACAGGAACTCAGTTACATCATACAAACCCACACCCCAGCCTGTGGTTTATACAGTAACTCTGTTCCTATCAAAACGATAATATCACAAATACTAAACACTGAATGAACTTTCAGGAAACCTGGCACAAGTAGCAAATGCCAATCTTTATTTGCCTTAGAGTACGATATACGCTCAGAAACTTAGGATATATAAATTCAAAATACAATGAGAGTCCATGAATTTGGTTATTTTATTTAGCCTGTCCCAAAGTTAGAGAGACCAGACTGAGAGAGACCAGCACTACCCCTCCGGATGGATCAAACTCAGAAAGTCTTTGAGGGTATTTTCAACATTCCACTTGCTGCTGAACTCTTGGCCTGTTACTTTAGACAGGCAGCCTCAAAGGCAGGTACTGAAAAAACACATAAGAGAGAGAGAAAAAACCCACAGCTCGAATCTACAACTGACCTTCTCTGGAAGCTGAGATTCAACCTCTTTCTTCAGTCTCCTCAGCAAAAAGGGTCTCAACACCTTGTGTAGACGCCTGATGATCAAAATCGTTTCTTCTTCATTCAAGTCCACCTACAAAACGAACTTAGGTGAGTTCCTGGAGGAAGTTTCACAGAGTAAAATTCTGGCACACCCATTAGGTGTTTCAATGTATACTGAAATTTCACGTGCTGTTATAAAGCCAGGTTTATGCCAGCCATCTATACCTCCAAATTTCTCTTCCTACCTCCAGATAGGCATCTTTGCCTTCAAGCCTATTTCTGTGGGAAACTGCCCTAGAACAAATTTCATGCTGGTAGTATGAAGAGCCCCAAACTTCAGAGAAAACGCATGGCAAGAACGACTGACTTATGATGGACACAGAACAGGAAAAGGGGGCAACAGTTCACATGCTCCTACTTCTGTTGAAGCCCTTGACTTTTGTTGTGTCCAGTGCAGAAACATATAAAAGGTTGGGGGCTTGAATATGAAAATGGGAAGAACAAGAGTGAGTGCTCTTCATGCTCCTCCATCATAGTGCTATGGTGTTTTGTTTCTTTGTTTGTTTTGTTTTTGCAGTGCTATGGTGTTTTGAATGAAAATGGGCCCGCATTGGCTCATGGGTAGTGGCAGAATTAGGAGGTGTGACCTTGTTGGAGTAGGTGTAGGGGAGGAAGTGTGCCACAGGGGGTGAGCTTTGGGGTTTCAGATGCTCAAGCTAGGCCCAGCACCACTCACTCTCCTTTCCTGCTGCCTGTGGATCTAGACGTAGAACTCTCAGCTACCTTTCCAGGACCATGTCTGCCTATGTGCTGTCATGATTCCCACTATGATGACCATGAACTATAAGCCAGCCCTAATGAAATGTTTTTCTTCATAAGAGTTACTGGGGTCATAATGCCTCATCACAGCAATAAAACCTTCACTAAGATACCTCCTTTCCCTTTCTTTGCCCAAATTTAGTTATATTTAATGAAACACTCTTTTTTTTGTTCACCTTCCTTTGTTAGCGTCTAGGGTACTGGATTAATTGATCTGCTTTCTCTAAATAGGCAAGTCAGTTAATGAACAGCAAACAAACATATTAGGTACCTTAAGATTAAAGGGCTAACAATTCAAACATAAGTATGTCTAAAGCATTTTAGTGGTTTTTCATTCTTACAGTCAAGGACCCAGTAATCAAAATGGTATGTGCCTATCTAAGAGGGTTTTTTGTTGTTGTTGGTTGGTTGGTTGGTGTTTTGTTTGTTTGTTTGTTTCCTTGCAATAGCCCAAGCTTGCCTCTCATGAGCTCAAAGAAAAGATAGTTAAAGAAATAATAATAATAACAATAATAATAATAAATGTGAGAATACTGACTCTAGGATTAAGGAGTATTTGTGTACAGATAAAGTGGAGGTTTACACTTAAACCTGAAAGAAATGTGGAAAATTAATGTTTCCATTCAAACTCTATGTGGAGGTATGTAAAAGAAGAGTCTTGAGTTTATAACAAAGCCTCACCCTCCCTGTGGCATGCTCTGGTTGAAAATTCTACCAGTCAAGAAGTTGGCAAAAGGCAAAGAGGCTAGGATGCCCTGTATGAATCTAGATTTAGAGGGGAAACCTAATCCCAAATGAGACCAGATCCCACCCACTGATCAAACAATACTGTAAACCACCCTATAGGGTTTCTGTGGCTCTTATATACTAAGCTTTAGGCCCTCTGCGTTCTCTTCACCATCACACAGTGGCAAATACACACACTACACACACATACACACACGTCTGACCATTACCCTTTCGCCAGTCATGGCAAATGGAGCATTAAACCACTGCTCAAATGTGCTGCAACTCTTGAAGATTGTAGGGAGGAGGAAGTTGAGAAGGGCCCAGAGTTCGGGGAGCTTGTTCTGTAGCGGGGTCCCAGTCAAAAGTATCCTTCTAGGGGCTACATAGTGGGTGTTCAAGACCTGAGTCAGCTTGCAGTGGTGATTCTTCATCCGGTGGCCTTCGTCCACTATCATGTATTTCCACCGAATCTGCAAGACCAAAGGAAGGGCCAATGTGTGTTTAGTAAACAAAAATGCAGTGGCTTCCAAGAGGCTGGTGTGTGTGTGTGTGAAAACAAAAAATCCAACTTGGCACAAGATGTAGAATGGTACTCTTAAAGAGAAAGGAATACAACTGATGGAGCACTGGCCCCGCTTGGCTAACTGTTAAAGCAACAGCGTTACTCCCAGGACAAGTGATTCTAATTCACCTTCTAGAAACAAGAAAATAGACCCAGAGTGAAATGGCCGCTCCCAAGACTGGATCAGGCTTTTTTCTACCCAACGGGCCATCCTATTGGTTAATGTGTCATGATCAGACTTTGGTGGTCAAGGTATCTCTGCTCACAAAGATGAATAGACTACTCACAGCCTCTAGAAGCAGATATTAATGACTGGCTAGCTTCTGTAAGATGCCTTAGCAGGGAAACTATTTCCTAGGCCCTCCTGCCTTCCTGTCTTCTTTCTTACATAACAGTTATCTACTACCTCTATGGTATGTCTCAGTGTTGGGTTCCTAACACTGCAAAGTTGGAATGTTACACCCAAAAATCTAAACATTCAGTTTCTTTAAAAAGAAGGAAAGAAGGAAGGAAGGAAGGAAGGAAGGAAGGAAGGAAGGAAGGAAGGAAGGAAAAAGAATCATACTAACAGGTCCCTTCAGTTCAAGCAAATTCTTCACCTGCCAGGCTGTGGAACCCTTTTCTACTCAAAATGATCACAGGTTCATTGGCAGAGATGCAATGCAAATACCACTCATCCTCCACTTGGGCCAAGCTGCAGAATTAAATACAGCAAACTCCTTAACACAAAAAAATACTTATGAGCATGGCATAATATTTTTCCCAAAGGCATTCCTCTTTCATATCCTACCTTTAAGCCTCTCTAAGTTTACTGCTGAGGGGAGAACAGGCGGGCATCCCACTAAGTCTATCCTTTACCTACACCAGTGGTTCTCCACCTTGCTAATGCTGCAACCCTTTATTACAGTCCCTCATGTTGTGGTGACCCCAACCATTGAATTATTTTCCTTGCTACCTTATAACTATTAATTTTGCTGTTATAAATTATAATGTAGTTGTCTGTCTTCTGATTGTCTTAGATGACCCCTATGAAAAGGTAGACCCCAAAGGAGTCATGATCTACAAGTTGAGAATCACAAAAGTGGCATTGGTTAAAAAACATAACAAAAGTTCTGCTGCTCCAATGTCTCTGCCTCTGGGAAAGTCAGAGCCTGGAGAGTCAGAGGAAGCAGACAAGTAAGTATGGCATAATCCTCACCTCTCCATTAGAAGTTCCCGTGAAACCAGGAAAGAGAAAGAAAATCAGCAGCCAAGCTAGGATATCCAGATAAAAGAAACTACCAGCATCCCCTGCTCCCTTTTCTCTACCACTGCCAAGTGTGTAGGAATGACCAAAGTCCTACAGTCAGCTTCCCCACAGTAGCAAAGAGGCCCACAGATAAAAATGCATCTTAATAGATATTCTAAATGTACTTTTTTCCTCAGTTGAGCTTATGAAGCATCAAGGAACCAGAGATCACTGATTCTGCCACTGAGTAAGTATTAATTAGGTCTTCTGCTTGGAAAAATTACCACCCCTTTTTGGAGGGCCATTTCTCCAGTAACAAATAAAAAGCACTGCATCTCGTTACCAGGAGTCTCAAGATGATTTTCTTGGGGATCTCAAAGGTACAAACGCATTCCCACAGTAATATTGGAGACACGTCATTTTTTGACACTGCCGCATTCATTTCCAAGCATGAGGAACTGGAAGGCGGCATTGCTGTCGGTGTCATCTCAATTATTAAACCTCCCCTGGGCATGACTTTCCTTTATGTTATTTCCCATCATACCACGAAGGGAATGCACAGTTCTCAGAGCAAAGGCTTAATGCAGAGATGGAACAAACCCCAGAAATACGGACTCTGTTCAATTCTGACCATAACTTAGTTTAAGGTTAGACTGATTTCCAAACCCCATGGTGTAAAAGAAATTACCACAGGGGGAAAAATGAAGTCTTCATGATTGGTGACAGGAAAGGTAGTACTTCCATCCTTCTACAGGAACATATTAGGAGACAACATGATACAGATGGGAAGAAACCCTTCTCATTTGTGACTAAAGGACAACTTCAGGCCTACAAATGAGGAGCCGCGTGGGTCGCAGAGACAACTCCCTCTCTGCTCCAAACAAATAACCCCAGGAACAGCCCTGAGTAATTTAAATCAGTAGCTCCCCATTATTTTACCAGGAAAAACTGAAAACAGATAAAGCACACAAGCCTCGGCTTGGGTAAGTGCTCTGATGGAGGACGCCATCTGGAGGGGTGCCTACTGCCTTCAGAGAGAGAGAGGCACAAGAGGAATGAAGCTGTGCTGACAGTAACCCAGGGCAACAAAAACAATTATTTCTTTCCAAGCACACTCAGGGCTGCTGGAGAGAAAAGTTCCAGAAGAAAGCCAGGTGGATTTTCTTAATAGATGTGAAACTGGGGCTGGAGAGATGGCTGCTTTTCCAGGGAACCTGGGTTCTATTCCCAGCACTCACAGAGAGGCTCACACCCCTCTGTGACCCTGGTCACAGAGGATCTAAGGGTCCTGCCTTTGGCCTCCATGGGCACTGCGCATGTATGTCTGCAGGCAATACACCATCCACATAAAATAAAAAAATAAAATAAAAATTTTAAAAAAGATGTGAACTCACTACAAGTGGGCAGGAAAGCGCCCAGGAGAAATCAATCAGTTTTTTCCACTCCCTCTCTCACACACACAAATGCATATAATATTGAATACTATGACTAGCTTTCAGAAAAGAAAGAAAGAAAGAAAGAAAGAAAGAAAGAAAGAAAGAAAGAAAGAGAAACCAGCCATCCAATGATCAAATTATACTATTGAGTATAATTTGAGGGATACTTTACACTTCAGAGAGATGATCCAAATTAGAGATAAAAGAATTTAAAAAAAAAAAAAAAAACATACCTTTGCAAGAATGTGCTTGTCTTTTATAATGTACTCATAAGTAGTCAGGAGGACATTGAATTTGCCACTCCGTAGCTGGGGAACAAGGGAGCGTCGCATGGCAGGGGTACCCTGAATGGAAAGAAAAATACATCGATTACCCACTGGAAGTACATAGGTGCTATTCCTTGCTGTTCAGAGCTTAATGGAACCTAGACAGGTGATGGGCACATAAATGCATTATCATATACTGATCTATTATCTGTGGAGAAAGCAGGAGCTAAACCACACGTATTTTGACCCTTTCCAGATCCGTACAGGAAGGTTTCCCACTTACAACTGAGGAAGGAAAAGAGAGAAGGAAATTGCAGTGAGCTTGCAGTAGTAGGGAACCTGCTGCTTGGCTGAAAGGCTTTCTTTCTGTGGGAGCGTGCAGCAGGCAGCCCCAGCGCCCCGGTAATTGCCTGCAAAGGCAGGAGCATTCGCCACAGCAGCAGCCCGCAGCAAGCCAGTCAGGAGCACACAGAAAGTGCAGTATTTGTCATTTGTATTACTCTCATCAGAAACCTCGCAATATGATAATTAACAATTTTCTTCTGCATTTCACTATCTGAAAGTAATTATGGTTTATTACAGTAATCTTCTTGGGATGATTAACTCTCACTGTTTAGTACATGATGTACATGACAAAACTTTACAACCAAATACAGTTCACGGATGTGCATATGGAATGAAGAAAATAGGGCCCTTTTATTTTCATTTTTATTTTTTTGGTTTTCAACATTTATATATAAATACAATGCTCCAAACCTTGTAAGAAATTTTCACCACAGAAGGAGCCCATTTGTCAAATTCATATGTCCAGTTAGACAGAGTCCTACAAAACAACAAAAACACAGTAAAAAAAAAATCATACACACATATTTATATGAAAGTCATTTACTAGAAAACTGTTACCTATTTTCAGTCCTTGCCTTAAAAGGGGCTAGAGAATATAAAATAGCCCACATACATATTTATTTTAAAGGTATGGAGAGAAGAGGTAAGTTAGAAATAAGCTGCCAGAAAGCATGTCAATTTTACAGTTCATTTAAAAAAAAAAATCTCACAAGAAACAATTTGAAAGTGTAGAAACACATGAAGGAAAAAATCAGAACCTTCCTATGGTTCTGAAAACCAACAATTGCCTGATGATTTGGGATCTTTACAACTAGCCATGTAAGCTTGGAGAAAACCTGAACCAGGGAAGATAAATTACAAAAATCACATGAAAACAGTAAATAGGCCTGTCAAAGGGAAGCAAGGAAGAAATGCTGAATGATTCTTTCTTAATCCCCAAAGTGTAACCATAATAACCAAGTCAGACCAGGCAAATACAGATCGAATGCAAAAGGCATGTACACACTATGGAGAAAGATAACTCAGCCTTGCTCAGGGGAAAATAAAAAAAAGAACTGAAGGAAATATAAAATGAAAAGCTTTGTTCCTCCTGCAGGTCTGTGAAATCCATGGCGAGATCTCAGTGTCTAAAGTGTCGACCTGACAGGCGTGCACCGAAGCACTGCCCTCAAGAGGGGGAATGTGAACAGTTATTTCTTAGCTCACAGAGTGTTGGCTAAGGACCAGGGGCAGCCATCCAGAGGGTGAAGAAGTGGGGCCGCAATGGAAGCAGTAAAGACTGGTCCTTCTGGCACAGCAAGACACTGAAACACAAAGTGCACAGACCGAGTTTACTTAAGATGCAGAATTTGTTTGTAGCAAAGATTTTGATTTCAACTCTGCTTTAAAAGGCGCAATGAAGAAGATGTGCACAGCTGTGATCTTTTTGGAGGTATGCATCGTGTGTGCATAAGTGTGAACACAACAAGGAAAGTACTTCTAGAACAATTAATCAATGCTTCCACCTTTCTCTTTAGCAGGCTACTTGAGGGACAAGGGATTGAACCTGCTCTGCAGCAGGGGGTTCTTAACCTGTGATCCCTTTAGGGTCACCCAGCAGATATCTGCACCATGAGTCATAACAGTAACGAAATCATTCTTACGGTCACCACAACATGAAGGACTGTATTAAAGGGTGGCAGCATTAGGACGGTTGGGGACCACTGCTCTACACAGTGTGGGCTATCCTGACCACAAAATGTCAAAATGTCAATGGCTGATCAGAGTCACTGTGTACTTTACTAGCTAGTCAAAAGTCGACAGTGGGGTGGGCTGGGGTGGGTGAAAAATTAAATCCAATGTTCATTCATTCAGATTATGTGCTCATGGTATTCCAACTTCGTGCTGCTGTTCTATCTGAAGTGAGAGACAAGGACAAGCCACTGACGGGGTAATCTCCAACAACACAGGACGATGGCTGCGGAATAAATGACTCTACTTACGAGAGGGGAACAATGATGAGATAGGGGCCATTGAGTCTTTTGTGCTCCATCAGATACGTGATGAGTGCGATGGTCTGGATGGTCTTGCCGAGCCCCATTTCGTCAGCTAAGATTCCGTTCAAATTGTTATTATACAGGGAAACCATCCATTCCAGGCCCTGGAGCTGAAATGAAGAGTAATTGTTTCAATTATCCGAGATCTGCACAGGTAATTAATACTAATACAACTCAAGTGAGGCTGTGACTTCCTGCACTTCTCGGTGCTGTATGCCGAGTTCCCCACAGTAGCAAAGTGGGGCGAGGAAGCACCAACGCAAGAGGAATTTAAAAGATGAGCCCCTAATCGCCCCTGCTGCCTGCCAGGTGCTAAGTGTTAATCAGATTTAGAAAGGATGGGCTAGAGCTTGCTGGTGGGATTTGAAGCAGCTTTGCTGCTCATCCATACTTAGCATTTCACAGTAGATGACATTCTAGAATTATTATAAATGAAGAAAACCCAAACCAGCGTCTGTTCCAACCACTCCAAGAACAAAAAGCCAATTCGAGGATTAAAGACAAACCAGAGGGCCAAGCCTGCGCACAGACCACTTATCATCAGAAACTGTTTTCTGGATCATGATCAGCCTGCCCCAGGGTGCCATCCCTGCTGTGAGGAAGCCTGTGACCAGGGATCCAGGGCCACTCTGCTGGCCTCCAGAAGGACATTTATTTCTTTTCCTGGTAGAGAAAGTCCCCAGGCAGCACACGGAAACTCTGCGCTGTGGGCAGCTCCCTGGGAGCTGGCTGCCTGGAAGGTGCACATATTTCCAGAGCATGGAAAGCAGTGGGCACAAGGCCCAGCTTTACATTTCCATTTAAGCACAAGAGAAAGGTGGGGTGGAAGTTCAGACTATTCGCACTATCACGAAGCTCTGCTGGGTTTAAATGACAGCATCGATTAGATGAAATATATATACATATATACAGATATACATACACATGTATATGTTGATATGCATGTTACTGCCAGGTTAACTTGCTAATTAAGTTATGTTTAGAACACATGGTGATCTCGTACTTAAAATACTCATGAGCAACTCTTCTTTATGAGGGATCACACACGGAACTACAGCAGATGGCCACCAAGGTAGACGCGCACCCCCTTCGGAAGCTGGAACGCACGGACCATGAAGTATCCCACCTTGGTGAATGTGTCTAAGTGTGTACTGGCTACAGTAACCATCTGAAGACTTTCATAAGCCAAATGGGGTTGGGGAGGGCATTGCAAGACCTAAGTCATCTTAAAGGTTTGCAAAGCAGCAACAAAAAGAGATAAGGAGAGAAATGCAAAAGCCCTGAGAGAGAAGAAGTAAAGAGGAAGAGGAGGGGGATGGCCTCAGGTGATGGCCAAGGCCCGACCCAGCACTTGGGAGTTGGAGGCAGGAGAATCAGGAGTTCACAAGGTTATCCTTGACTATGCAACAACTGTCCAACCTGGGCTATATAAGAACCTGTCATATAAACAAAACAGAAAACGCCAATGTGTGTACAAAAATGCCATAATATAACCCATGACTTGGTAAGGTAAATTTAAAAAACAAGTTTAAAAAAGAGGGAGGAAAAGGGGACAAGAATGGAAACAGCAGGAGCTGCTTGTGAGCTGACTACCAGCTTTGGGGAAGTTAACTGTATGGCAGAAATATTGAGAGAGAGGGATGGATGGAGGCAGGGAGGGAGGGACAGAAGGACGGAGGAAGGAAGGGACAGAGGCAGGGATAGAAAGAGAGAAGGAAGAGGAGGAGAGAGAGGGAGGAAGAGAAGAGGGAGAAAGAGAAGAGAGGGAGAGAGGAAAGGAGAGGGAGAAAAAGAGAGGGAGAGACTGAGTCCATATAAAATAAAAGCAAAGCCTGAGGAAGGGGAGGAGCCTAGAAACTCACAAACCTCTGGATGGGGAAGGAGACTTGAATCAACAAGCACGGCTCTCTAAGAGGCAGCAGGAAGGCTGTGTCTAGCGCTGCCAGGGTTAACCAGGTCGAGGAGCCACTGAAGGCTGACCTGTGAACCACCTGTGAACTCGTTTGTGAGAAACAGAACTCACTGAACAGATAGGGATGCTCAGACTGCAGGATGGGCACCTTTACTGTTGAAAGCCCAGGAGGCGAGGGAGCGCTTCATACTGAGGAGTGGACAGAGTCCAGTGGGGAGTGGGGTGGGTGCAAGAGTTCACGTTTGGAAGTAGGAAAATGGAGAAAGGAAGAGCGCTTACAAAGGTGCAGGCAGAATGCAAGAGGAAACCAGTGTGGCACTTAAGTCTTATCTGTGAGGGCCATCAGTGGCTGATTGCTGCCAACACCGAGTTCAGTCCCTGGAGCCCATGTGGTAAAAGGAGAGCACCAGGTGCTGCAGGTTGCCCTCTGACCTCCATGGGCAGGACAGCACAGAACACACAGACACATGCACACACAATTATGTGAAGTAGTAGAAGTTTTTTTTTTTTTTTTTTTTTTTTTTTTTTTTTTAAATAAGTAATTCAGAAAACGCTGGTGGTAGTGGTGCATGCCTTTAATCCTAGCTCTATGGAGGCAAAAGTAGATGGATCTCTCTGAGCTCAAGGACAGCTTGGTCTACAGAGCAAGTTCCAGGAGAGCCAGGGCTACACAGAGAAACCTTGTGTTGAAAAAGCAAAACAAACAAATAATAATAATAATAATTCATAAATGGCTCTCCCATGTCAAATATAGCAAAGAACACATTGAATTGACAAGCTATCAAGTAGGCCAAATAAAATTCAAAAGAATACTCTGACCTCATGATGGGGGCGTGGCATTATAGGGGCAGAGATCGTCAATGTAGCTCCAGGGAAATTCTAGACTTTCCCAAGACAATCCACAAGGTCTAAACAGTTTTAGAAATGCTACCCAGGTATTGCTAGTCATTCTTCCCATGTTGCCATCAGTACAGATAGGGCCCAAGCAATGGTGGGCGGCAGGGGCTGACCCCAGGAACTCTGGGATGATTGTTCACAAGCACACACTTCCATAAGTGCATTCCAGATGACACTGTTTTACAGGATATTAGGAAGCAATAATATAACTGTGACCCAGGTCTTAGTAGAGAAGGGTGTTTAAGAACTGTGGAAGGCAGCCGTGTTTACAAAGTCACTTTTCTGCGGTAGGCTGGTATGCATGATGAAGTACAGTTATTTCCCCGGTCCTCAGTTAGCAGGTAGGCACTGTGGATGAACGGAGAGGGAGTCACTGCCACGGTGATGATGTGCGTGGCCTGGGACAGCGCAGGGTTAGCCTATTGTGAGCAGCCAGGACTTCCGCTCCCCCTAGCAGCATCCACATTTGGAGTATTAGATTATAATAGTTTAGTCCTACTACACAGTACCCACCTACATTTATTTGACCACAAAAACCTCATTATTTTATTTTAGTGCTTAATTCTAATTATTATTTTAATTTTGCCTTTAATTTACATTTGCAGAGTAATTCATGGAACAAATCACCGAGGAACTCACTCCAGGTAACCCGGTAGAGGAGTTAAGAGCTAGAAAACAGGAGACGCCCTCAAATTAAACATGTCACATTTACATGTTACATTTACAGCCTACTTGCTAACTGTAGCACAGGCGCCAGCAACTTTATCGGAAAAAGAGGTATAAATGCAGGAGCTGGCACTCTGAACTCTGTGAGGCAAGTACGCCCTGGGACCAGGGGAACCAGCCTGGAGCAAGAGAGGTCGAGCTGTGTCCAAACCCCAAAAGTCTCATCTTGAGACTGGCAGCCTTAAGGATCTCTTCCCCTCCCTGCTCTAGGCCTACATGCCTTGGCACACATAACCTTGTGACTGCTTCCTCCCCCACCCCCCACCCCCTGTCACCCTTGAGGTAGTCATGCAGACTGGTGGCCAAGTTGCAGGACATGTCCAGCTAAGACCTGGAATTCCTCTCCGTGCAAATAAATTATTCCCAGCACCTCGGTCCCCGCCAATGATGTACTTTGACCCTGAAAATCCCTACACATTTCCTCAAGATTTATATAGCTCCTATTACCGCAAGAAAGGGTAACTGTTTCACTGAAAACTGTCTTGGAGGAGGCTCCCCACCCTTACTGGCACTCCTCATTGGACCAACTAACCCACCTGCCAGGTTAAGCTTCATTCCTTCCAGCACCCGGTGCTCAACATGTCTGGATACACCAAGGCCAGAAGCAAAACCGGGATGGCAGAACCCCTAGCATCCAACTATTACTACAACGAAAACTGAAGCAATACTTTGTTTACTTCCGGTCCCCAGCCTAATGGATGGAGCTGGTTTTTCTCTCTTTTGCAGAGAACCACAGTAAAACTGTTCCAAACGTTAAGCCAATATTTCTTAGAAAATCCATTCCAGGATGACAAAAACAAACCCAGTGTGGTACAGCAATATTGAGCACAAAGCTCTGAAGGAAGCCAACCGCCCCCCACACACACACACCCTAGGTGGGGAGCAGTGGCCCTAGATAACGTAAGGCACTCAGCCTGTCTTCAAAGCCTCCTGAGTTGACTGAGGTTCATAAAGTGGGGCACACATACTTGGGGGTGATGTGTAGGCAAGGCTTGGTATGGGGCGTTAACACCCCCGTTACCTGGTAATGCTTTAGGGTGCCATTAATGAGGAGGGCAGACTGCTTCTCCACCCTCTCGGAGATGGCGTGGGCCACCGTGTAGTAGGACTGTGAGCCTCTGGCACTGTACTGCATGCTGTATTCGTCGTCCACGTCCTGTTTCGCCGTCCTGAAAAAGCCAAGAAGCGGAAAGTCCACGAAGAGGTTTGAGTCTGTGTGTGTTACTTCGTCCGAAGTGACTTGAGAGCCTAAAACTGCTGCTGCAGGAATGAGCTGCCTGATGGTTAGAAATGTTCTCTGTGAAGTTCACAAAGCCCAAGCGGGCTGAGCATCAGCCTGTCAACTCCACATTATGCTCATGAGGAATGTGAGCCTCAGGCAGGTTACTCTGAAGGTTCTAAAAGGCCCCCGACCTTCAGAAACCAACGGGGTCCTGACCTGCATAGCTGTCCATCAGCACTTTGCCAAGGAAGCTGTACTGGGTTCTTTGGATGCAAGATAAATTCCATCCCTAGGACTCTAGTAAAGCTTTACAGGGCAAATAGGAAGGGAATGAAGAGGCCATCAGAGGGGAAGGCGGGGATAAAAGGGTTCTTCCTTCCACTACGCCTTGGGGGAGGAGGGGCTTTTATCCAATGCATATGGAAGAGCAACTATGCATTCTTAAAAAATCTTCATTGAATAAGCAGGGGTGCACTGGAAAACAAAGGCTCCTAAAGTAGGAGCCTACAGCCTGGGAAGGGAAAACCACATTAGAACATCCACTTCTTTCTGTAAAGTCTCGTCTTTTCGGTGTCCTTTTTTGTCTGCTCTTTCAGAACAGCACTCCCATAATGGTCATACAAGCAGCACAGTGGAGAATGAGAGAATGGCTGAACTGAGGCACAAAGTGGCACCCCGCACCCAGGCCGGGGGGTCTGAAGCTAAAAGTTTGGACCTGGGCAGAGGCGGCAGCTGATGAAGCTGTGACAGTCAGGATGACTCAAGAATGGGATTCACCCTTGGGCTTCTGGGGATGTTGTCGGCCTTGAGGGTGGCAGAGAAGGCAGACAAGCAGTGCCCTCCTCCCACCATGGGGTGGAAGTTTGATTGGTCTAATCTGGGAGAGAGGCACTGATGGCAGGTGTGAAGTCTGGAGAAGAGCCTAAGCAGAACACGGGATTCTTGAGTTAAGAAAAGGGGGGTGGAAGGGAGCAACACAAAGGCCTTGGCCAGAGCTCAGAAGTGACCTGTAAGGGGCTGAAGGAACTTTCTCTATTGAAGTGTGAGTATGAAGTCTGTTCCTGTCTTTAAACAGTATTTGCAAACAGAAAAACCACACCATGTGAACCTCAAACACTGCACTTGTAATGACAACCCCGAGGGCCACGTACTCAATGATCTGTTTGGCGTCCTTTTCGGAAACTTCTTCGCTGTTTGGATCCAGCAGTATCTTCTCTTCCGTTTCCTGCCTACTGGACTCTTCTTCTTCATCCTGGAGGAAGAACAGAAATACAGTAAGGCCTATGTTTTAACAAGCAAGTTCTATAATTAGCACTTTTTATAAAGAGATTAAATAGTATTTTGCTTCACAAATGAAGCAAGCAAGTTTAATTAAGGGAGGAGGCAAATTTAACATCTGCTTAAACCAAGTGATTCACCATTTCCCTGCTAAATGAGAGAAACGGATGCTCCAGGGGTTTCCAAGACCCATACTCCCAAGAATAAGTGTATGAAAAAAAAAATCACACCAGAAAGACACATAATTATATGATCATTCAAAGCAGATATACAGAGCATACCTGCTCTTTTAAAATTCTATATTCCTTGCTCCAAAAGCAGATATTAGAGACCTAACATCCTCCTGAGAATGACATAGAGACTCACTGATCCCTGTGTATTGCAGAGGATCTAAACTGGTGAGCACGCCACTTTCTGGGGCTCCTTTGCATCACACATTTCTGAGTATTCAGAAGAAAAGCATCGCATCGTTACCTCTGTAAAGGATGTGACTACCTCCCTACCTCTTGGAGGTATTACTAAATATTCATTATGTCCACCATCAACCTGACAGTCAAAACCGCCTAAAGATGAATACGTTTCCTAACTCTTGACTGAAAAAAGGACACACATGACAGAGTATCAATGGTGGCATCGAGACAATGACATCAGGTCATTGCAAGGTGCCTCCCAGAAATGAGGTGCTACAAGTCACTCACTGGCTGGTGGCCTGGGGCTCCTGTCACTTGGTCTGAGTGCATCTCTTACCAGCTGTCAGGGGATGTCTACAGCTGCCAACATCTGGGTGGCATGGACTATGTAAACTTCCCACTTCGTCTTATCTTTAAACTCCCAGGCTCTTCCTCAGAGAGAAAAATCTTATAGCAGATCAATTATGGACCCGTTCACTCAAGCAAGCACATGAGAGAAGCTGGGAGATATTATCATGCCACGAAGTATTTGCTTTTTAATGGTTATGTTTTTCTAAATGAAATTTTTATTGTTTTCTAAAAGCAGTAAATGTTCATGGTATATTAATTTAGAAAGCAAAGATCCAAAATACAGAAGGAAAATGACCATCGCCTTAAAATCCTTGTCAGTTATTAGGCGAGGCTGTGCTCAGAGGCTGCACAGCATCCATCTGTGGCATGCTGCATTAGGGTCCTGTATTCTGGTCCAAACCAGGCTTAATGACTGCGCCAGCCAGATTCAAGCAAACGCTATAAAATCACTTAATCTTGTTATTTGTACTAACCAATCATTTCATAATTAACCTATCAAATACCTTTAATCCCTATTGAAAATACCCAAGATTCTCATTTTATGCTCTAAATGCATTAAGTATTCCTCCCAGGAAACAAGAGAAATACATTTCATTTTGGGTAACCAGAATATACAAGGGTTAAAAATTAAGTCATGTTTAAAGAGAAGTCCAGGAGATCACTAAAAGTCTTTAGGCCTTTTTTTTTTTTCTTTTAAAATCTCAGGTCCCAAAGACATAACTTGTAATGGACTCCAGGGCTCAGAAGACCACAAAAGTTCTTGGGCAGTTAGCTCTCACTCCTGACCACTTGGGGATAGGAAAATGTCTTTCCCAGAGCAAGCCATCTTCAAAATTCTCCCCTAAAGATCTCCATGCTACCTCTAGTCTGTCTCTTTTCTTGGTTGCAAATGAATTTAGGATTTGTTGAGATTTCTCATCAGCCAGGAGATGACTGTAGGGTCACTAGGCCCATACCATCAGAGCCTTTCCAAATAGTCCCAGGAAGAAGGAGCAAGAGGCTTTGGGGGCTGAGCCCACCTTCCTGAGACACTTCCTCCTCCATTAACTTTCAAGCCAGGGAAGTCCAAAGACAGACAGACATACACATATACATATACCTCTTCCTCGTAGTCAGACTCACTCTCTTCACTGTCAGATCTGGGTGCAACTTCATACCTAGGGAAAGAAGTGGAGAAGAGGTTTAAAGAAGTGTTTAAGTTATAAACACGGGCATTGGTGACTTCACCGCAACACCCTACTTGCAGATGGCAAATGCAGACAGGAAACTTCCCCATCTCCGCAAAGGCTACCCTGATTTTGTTTGGGAATTTTGTAAGGCACGCCACATCCACTCCTAGTCCAAAAGAAGCTCCAGGAACCGCAGTAACCATTTCAACACCGTACCCAGGATTCATCTCCAGCCAGGCATCCAGCTGACTTGCTTTGGGTGCTTCTGGTCCAAAGAGGACCTTGCCAGTCTCTGTGTGTGTCACTTTGACAGGCAGGTCGCTCATCTGGCTGCTTTCATCGATTGGCTGGAAGGAGCAAAGAGAAATGAAGTCAGCCTAGGTCGTCCGGAGGCTCTCTCGGTTCTATGCTGGACATTTCTCAGGCTTCCTCTGCTTGCCCAGTATATGAAATGTTTTCCTGTGTTTCATACTTCAGTACCTAAGGTGTCTTTGTGGGTAGGGAGAGCTCACCACCCACTGAGAAGCCAGAAGTAGTAGATATGATGGTGGAGGCCTGTGACACTTGCACCCTGGAAGCTGAGGCAGAAGGGTCACAAGTTAAATGCCTAGGTGTCTCAAAACAAAACAAAACAAAACAAACAAAAAACTGGGGCTGTGGCTCAATAGTACAACTTGTGTTTAACATGTGCAAGGTTCTGAACCTGGTCCTCAACAAAAAAACCTGAACCCATTTGTAGTGAGAATTCTGGTTTCTTTAAATACCCAGTTACGCTGGGATCAAACTCAGGTGTGGGGTAGTGGGCTGCTTAGGACTGACTGCAGCAGCTAACTATGACTTGTCTTGTGCTCTAGCTGGGGCATGATCTTGCCAGCTGAACATAGTTTACGTTTGGAATGCCGGGCACTCTTCAGAGGGTATATAATGCTAGAGCCCAAGAGGAGCTATGGAGGCTACTGCTCCCCCTGCTGCTGCTTTTTCCTGGTTGCTGGTTGGAGATATCCTGACAACTAAGATAGGACCTGCCCCTACCTGGCAAGAGGTGGTCTAAAGAGATCTACACCTCCTTTCCCCTCTATTCTTTCTCTCCTACCTAGTGTTGGGGGGTTGGAAGAGATTGGGTTGGGAAAGGTGGTAGGTAAAAGAACCCAGTAAAGTAGCCAAAACTCTGGCTACACACACTGGCGTCCCTGGCACATAGGGTACAGGTGCATGGCCTTGGCTTTTCTAACTGGCTGTACTTGCCAAGACTCCGATTAGAAGATACAAAAGTTCAGGGAAGCTGGGGTGCAGGCATAGAAAGCCACATCACAGTGGCAGCAACGCCAGTGCAACGACAGTGGCTATGCCAAGCTCCTGCCTGCTGCAAATAGAAGCCATGGCTTTACTGGATCAGTTGTATACGATAATATAAAACTAGGTTAGAGCCTTCCAACAGAGTCTCCATATACTTTTTATCCTAAAGCACAATGAACATTCCTAACCCAAAAGTATGACACTTAAAACTTTCTGAGCGCGTACATGATGGAACAGGTGGAAAACTCTGCAACTGGCCCAATGGGAAGGGCCACCCACAGTTAGTCAAAACACAAGTATACTAAAATAATACATAAAATTTCCTTCAGACTATGCATTAAGGTGTATGTGGAAAAAACTGAGATGTATAAGAAGCGTGTGTGTGTGTGTGTGTGTGTGTGTGTGTGTGTGTGTGTGTGTAAATACTCCCAAGTCATAGCCGCAAACCCACACGAAGCGGAAACACTTCTGGCTGCAAGCATTTGGGATAAGGGATACTTGCCCTGTAACATATTCCGTTCTTATTTCAGGCAGGCGGACCTGATTCGGGTCATTTAGAACCCACAGTTCCTCAATCCTTCACCTAACACTCCCCAGGGAACAATTCCTGCAAGCTGCGGGGTTTTTTTGTTTTAGTTTTTGTTTTTTTTTTTTTTGTTTTGTTTTTGTTTTTGTTTTTTGGATAGAACAACAAAATCTAGCTCGTGTCATCTACTACAAACCCACCAGAATGGAGTCTGATTCAACCACTGAAATTGTGAGAATGATAAACAATCAATAACAAAAGCCCTGCTTGTTTGAAACCTGAAGAATTGACCAAGACAAAGATGAAGTTCATTATCAAACTCTACCAAAAAAAAAAAAAATGCTCGCTCAGAAAAATTCAAAGTATGCAAAACTGCCGAGGTTGTAGATACTGTGCCCCAGAGAACAGGCTGTCGTGAAGGAGCTGGAAATGGAGCTGGAAATGGAGCAACCCTATGCAAATGGATATGCCACTAATTGCAGGGTGACCGACTTCTAGGAGCAGGGACGGCCCTGGGTAAGGCACTTGGAAACGCTTCATTTGTGTGAGCATTTCGCTACGTTTTCTGAAGAGTAGTAAAATGGACTGTTTAGGAAATTCATTATTGCAAAGAATTTGCCCTAAATTACTCTTAATTAGTTTTGTGTTCAAATAAATACATGCAACACCATTGGTGTAATTAGGATTGTCATATAATTTATTCCAATTAAGCCAAAAAAACGATAAAGAAAAAGAGTTGGCTGATGATACTTTCTATGTCTTGGAGAAAATAACCAAAAAGAAACGCGAACCCCGGTAGCTCTTTCCTCCTGCTCCCTAACAAAGCACCATCATCAGAACCAATATTAGTGACTATTCACAAAAATAACCTTAAAGGAAAAAGGCTTGCCCCGGCTGTCAGTTCTCTTCACTCTTGTGTGCACTAAAGCAATCATTCTGCGCTTTGCATGGGGACATGATTCTTCCTCATTACGGTAAAAGGTCATCTACACACTTCAGAGAGGAAAGGGAAATCCAGCATTTGCTACCATTTCCCTGGGAAAAAAAAAAAAAAGCCATATCTTGTTATCGTGGACCTGTTTCTTTGCTAATGTCTCACCTCAGAGAAAACTAGAAATCACTGAGGGTGGAATTAGAACTCTGGCAAAAAGCACAAAATGAGCCCAGAAGAGAAATGAGAGCATTATTTCAAAACAAACTGAGCAAGATACCCACTTTCCAAACTTCAGCAAATGGAACTCACATGTGTTAACATTAAAGATGGAAAAATGTGTGTGTGTGTGTGTGTGTGTGTGTGTGTGTGTCACAGGCTCAAGATCAGGAGCTAATTTCTACACAAGATAAGAGATGAGAGGACCTGAAAGCATTCAGTCACCCTGGGTTGGGGGTACCGGGATGCCTTCTGAAAGAAGGCTGGGGTAAGCCATTATCAGTTGTAAATGCTCTGACACAGCGTTCGACCCTGCTTAGAGCCGGTCTAGTGCTTCTCAGACATCAACGTTTATGCTGATTTTCCCCTTCCTTGAGATGGCTTAGGGAGGCTAGTCAATGCGTGTTTCCAAGAGGTTTCCACACAGCAGTGGTTCACTCTTTTTTTCTGCAGCTAGCCATGAGAGCTTACATGGAACCCATGTGCCTGGTGATCCTGAAGGGAACGGGCACATCCCCACGGCCAGAGGCTTCAGGTAGACTTCTCAGGGTCCCCAAGTGAAGGTAGCTTAAACTCTCTGATCTTGCACCAAAAAAAAAAAAAAAAAAAAAAAAAAAAATCCAAGAAATAATTGTCTCCTCAGAGCCCAGGAGAATATCAGAGATTCAAAGATATACAATTAAGGGCAGTTCGTGTGTAGCTCTACATACAATCTATATTATAAGCCTATATATACCCCAAGAAAAATCCGGAATATGTGAGCTGTTTGGCTTATGTAACTTTTCTGATCTGAAGTTAGTAATAAGGTAGGGAAATGGGCCATATTTTACGCTTCTGCATCATTCACTTGCCAACTGTAGCCACAGAATCACTTTAGCCTCTTAGCCCTCTACACAGTCATCTTAAGTTTACCTATATACAGAACGGCATACAAGAAACTCTATCAGCTGATCAGAGATCTTGAAACAAGTGTTACTCTAACTTTTTACTATTAATGGTCTGTGGTTTGAAGGAAGATGCTTTTCATCTCTCGAACCCCCTATTCCCATCTCTCTCTCTCTCTCTGTGTGTGTGTGTGTACACACATATGCTCAACATTCATCCTGATTTTTTTCCACACACAATGTGTGTGAGTGTAAGGCATATGTGTGGAGGACAGAGGACACTCTTGGACGTCGAGCCTTGCGTCACCTTGTTTGAGAAAAGGCCTCATGAGTTTTGTCACTTCGAGTCTCCAGCTAGCTGGTCCTCGAGCTTCCAGGGTCCCTGTGCCTTTGCTTCCCATGTCACTGAAGACACACTGGGGTCATACACACATGCTACCACACGCAGCTTTCCATGGGTTCTGCGGCTCCTAACTTGTCCTCATGCTTGCACAGTGGGAGCTCTAACCACCGTGCCACATCCCAAGCCCCTAATGTACTTTTTTAAAAAAACTTTTAAAAGGATTAGCTGAGGGTCTGGAGAGGCGGCGCAGCAGTGCAGAACACTCGCCGCTCTTGGAAAAGACCCAAGTTTGGTTTCAGGTGTACACATCCAGAGGTTCACAATGGTCTGTACCTCCAGCTCCAGGGGACAGACACCCTCTTCTGGCCTCTGTGGGCACCCGCAGAGCATAAGCATGCAAATAGATACACACACACATACCCATGAGAAGAACTTTTATATATATATATATATATATATATATATATATATATTTGAGTAGCTCAGGGAAAGTAAGGTCAGTGTACACAAAGAATGGTGCCATGGGCTGTGCTGACTTCCCCAGAACACAGGAGCCATGGGAGCCACTGCCCTTACCTCTCCATCTGGTCCTAGGGCAGACTCCCCTCCTTCTGCATTCTCTTCAGCCTTCTGCAAAACAACAAGGTCAAGTGTTATGTATACCTAAGAATACAGGACAGAAATTAATTCATGGCAACTCCCATGAGTGTTGTCCTCACAAAAAGACACAAATGTTAACATCTTTCTCTTTGCTGACACAAAACATGCACCGTATTAGCAACCTGTAGAGAGTCCTTTAAATCCAGATGTGACTCAAGGCCCGCCCACTAGAGATCTGTGGATTGCATCGTTACAGACCCATGGAGCTTGAGACACAGGCACCATCAAGACAGAAGGCAGAATAGGAAACATTTTCTCATGTTTGGCACTGAAGACAAATCCTGACATAATTAGTTCGACTTCTCTATTCCCTAAGCAAGTTTTCATCAGCAATGAAGAGCAGCATTCTAAAACTGTCCATCAACAAAAAGCTCTGAACCGCTCCTCAGTCATAAACACACAAAACAAAACAAAATTCTGTGAGTTCCCTGGGTGATTTCCATTCTATCTAATTGGCTTTCATAATATATAGTATTTCCACAGTATGTATTTGGGGAAATTGATGTGTATCTATTGCATTCTCGTGAAAAATTCCATCATTTTCTGTTGTTTAAATAACCCAGTGCCTTCATCCATTAACCTCTTATGTGCCTCAAAGACAAGGAAATGAGAAACTAGGATGGTGTCACATTACACACAGACCCGAGTTTTACCTGTAACATATACAAAATAGTCAAAATGTCTTCTTTTACAACACCTGTCTGACAAGTAAAATATGTTTTTATATACAGAATCTCTATTTTTAAATTATTACTAAAAGCTATACTACTTCCATGTAACAAAACATGGAAGAGAAAACCACTTATCAAAAAATTTAGAAAACAAACTTTCTATCCTAGGACTCTTTATATAATTGATAAATATAGACAATAATATGGAATCATTATTAACTCTCCTTTTACTTAAGACATTCAATCTATTAATACCCTTATCCTCTTATCTTCTATGTAAATAATTAGTCTTTGTTAAAAAGATACTGTACCGAGAGTGTTTGTTTAACATCCAGCCTTTTGTTACACTGAAGAAGTCCCATAAATGTATAATCTTTTAAAGTCCTTTTCAGTGCTATTTGTAATTTTCTTATCAAATACATTCTCTGTGTCCCTCTCACATGCATGCACAAAAACATGTACACACAGAGAGAGACAGAAAGAGAGGGACAGACAGATAGACAGATGGGCAGTGGAGCGGGTGATGAAGCATAAACAACAGATTTTCTACCAAAGATTAGGAAAATAAAGGCTCCTATGCTTAGACTTGCCCAAGACTTGTATTTTCTGTATTGTTACCCAGAAGAAGTATGTACAGGCTTGGAGGACTGACACATGGAATCACACCCGTGGGCTCCCAACCTAGCCTGGGGAGGCATTCCAACAATGACAGAAACCTTGTTTTCAGAGCAGAAATCAGCCTGCTACCAGTCACTGAAGGTCCTGTTTTTGGAACTCTCAAGCACTATACTCCAGAGATGGCTTTCATTAATGAGAGAAAGTCAATTAATCCCACGATTCTTTCCATACAAACCAGAAATAAGCTACAAATTTGGCCAACAAAGAAAATCAAACGAGACAATGAAAAAGCTAATTTGAAATCACTAGCGAGTGGAACTGGATCACCATTTCAATGAAAAGCACATTAAAAAGCTTGAGGCACCAGAAATGCATAGAATCAAAACTATTCCACAGCATACTCGCTTATGAATATACTATGAGCCAGCCAGAGCATTATCTAAAACCGGCCTCATAATCAGACCCTTTCATTACTTAAAGCTCCCTAAACTATCTACTTTTAATACTATTAGACATCAAGAAGCGAAGAACTATCATGAGTCCACCCACCCCTTGGTTCTGCGACTAGACAAGTTGCATGGGAATCACATCTCCGATTGCACGTGAGGGACAACCCAGAGCAGAGCAGCTTCTCCTTGCCTTATATTCTGCTGCAGGACTGGACCACTGTTTCAACTTGTTCAATCCAGGGCTCACATGGTACAAGGCAAAACCTCTTCCATAGCACTCACCATCCTGAACGGCAGGCCAGGAGCTAGTGCAAAGGCCTACAATGGATTCTGGCCATGGCACTATCTGAAAACTGCCTCCTAAAGGCTACAAGGTCGGGCTTCTGCTTGTTCAAGGAGGATTCATGCCCACAGGGGTGCCTAGCACTTAGGGATCATTAGATGAGCATTTAGCAGGTAAAAGAATGAACAAGGCACCACTGTGGGTGGTGAGTTTCACTTAAGGTCCACTCACTGAATAATTCATGTTGTTTTTGTTGCTATTGTTTGTTACCATTACTATTATTGCTATCATCATTGCAATTGGGAAGCAAAATATTTTATGCTCTTTTAAAAATTTTTTTTTAGTATCATCATTTATTACAATTTATTCAATTTGTATCCCAGCTGTGTCCCCCTCCCTCGTCTCCTCCGCATCCCATCCTCCCTCCCTCTTCTCTCCCTATGCCCCTCCCCTAGTCCACTGTTAGGGGGGAGGACCTCCCTTTCTATTTGACCCTATCCTATTAGGACTGGTTGCATGCAATATATTTTGGAAGTCATAAAATGGTTCCGAACCAACACACAGATTTTACCATTGGACTAGGTAGGGTGCTGTGTCACCTCTGTCAACCCCACCCTGCCCCTGAACCCATTTCTGCCACATGATTATGAGCCATGAAAGCCAGGCGACAGTCTACTCTAAAGAGAGAGCCTCTCCAGTTATCCAGCTTCTCCCATCATAATCTGGGCTTCAGGCATCTGTGATCATTTCTTTCAGAAATCCATGTTCCCCCACCAAACTCAAGTTTTAGTGTCAACAGAGAAAAGAAAACCACAAACTCCTACCCCTTTATACTAATACCCAAGGGCCGGTGACTTGTGTTCCTTTGACATGGACTTTGGACAGTCCCCAGGCCCGGGTGAGACAGCTTGGCACAAATGAGACACAGGTGATAGTATTCTCACTGCCAGAGAAATTTCCTCGTGTAGTTACCTGTGTCATGCAGTCACCAACACATGGTGCCTACACTTACTCACATTGACTGAAACAAACAAACAGAAAATCAAACTAAAATTTTGCAGTCCATTCGTTACTCAAGACTAAGAACACAGTCCTGGATTCTTCCTAAGAAAACACCGCAAACTAGTTATGCTTATGTGGGGCTGACATAATTAACCCATTCATGTCAGGGGACATGTGTAACACAAACTATCTCTAACTAAAGATTACTCCTTACTAAAAATTACTAAGGCTCAAACGGATTTGGGTTCAGAGGCCAATGTCAGTTTACATTTTTCCACTTCAGAATGGGTTCACAAACAAAGCACCAGGCTCATCTTCCACTCTAAAGGCTTATGAAAGGAAGAGTAGAGCTACTGAAGAAAGGACTTCAAGAAAGAGGAAAACCCCATGTCAGCTAAAATCAGGAAGAAATCTGCTTAGATTGCAACATGGAAGTCGCCTTGTTTTGTAAGGAAACAGTTTTATGTCAAATATTTTACGGCCTACATTATAAAAGAATCCATTTTCTCCCCCAGCAGGTATTGCCACAGTGTGCTGGAGCAAAGTCCAAATGTGTGGGTACCCTAAGGGCTCATTCCGCTTTTCTAGAAACGAAGCTTTCAGGAACCACTTGGTTTATTTTTACTGTCGACTAAGTGGGCCTCTGAGCACGAAGACAGGTGCTCAGGCCATAAAAAATGCCCAGAAATATCAAATTAGCAGGCATTTGCACACTGCCTGGGTCTTGTAAGTGCAGAGAAAGCCAATTTGAACATTTGACTCAGGCGACTGGTCAAGCCAGTTAAACAGGACTTGGATTCAAACTGGATTCACCCATTTTTTGACAATGAGCTGATCAGATGAATCTAATCACTGGGGCAGTGAGTTCACTGCTCTCCACACAGTCCTCACATGCACATGTGAAACTGCCTAAGCATTTTCTTTCACCTACGGAGCCTGGGAGGGAAAAGCTGCAATGAACTATTGAATCTTTAGGAAGACAGAAGAGATAAAATAATTGGAAGACGCCAGGGGTAACTTCAATTTACAACAAATGTCTCAACGACACCATTATTTTGTTTCAATGAAAGTCATACCAGCTGGCTTTGGTGGCTGTGTTTAATATCTAAAAAGGTTAGAAATCACATTTCCAATCACTGTATTGAATAATGCACCAAGTCAGCAAAGTTCCCCCTTTGATGTATAAGAGCCTTGAGCTGTACTTAGAAAAGTGGATGGGAGGCAGGTAGAAGGAAAGAAGAATGAATAAAATGACTTTAAGAACTGATGAGAACTGAGGCCAGTCAGACATAGAAAGATGAAAATTGCCCTGTTTTTTCTCCTATTAGGATCCTCACTTTCGAACATAAATGAAGATAATGTAAATACACAGTGTAAGGGCTGGTCTAGGCTATGAAACTACCTAGCCTGAGAGCAGAGAACAAAGGCCCGGAGGACAGGATACATACTGAAAAGGAACCTAAGTCACTTAAGAGCAGAGAGGATGTTCAGTAAGGAATGGGAGGGTACAAGGAAGAGAAGGATGGGAGGAAAGCAGGGGCCAGGAAGAGACAAAGCAAACCTCATGTGAGAAACACCACAATGCAGCTAATGTTTTGTGTGATCATAAACAATAAAATAAGCCAAACCCATGATGAAAAGTACTACCTGCCCATGCTGTCCATGGGCTAAACACATGCCTATCAAAAACATATAACAAGAATGTATTTCCACTAGTTTATATCGCATGGAAGAGATTGAAGGGATAACTTTTTATTTAATTTTTGCTGGGCTCAAATAGTTCTAGATGTAGAACCAAGACAACTGAACTAAGGACTCTGTGCCTCTGGCAAGAGCTCCTAGCTACAGCTTAGCAAAGACTGTGCCTGAAGCACTATGAGAAACAACCTTATCACCAGAAAGCACTCTAAAGTAGAAGCCATGCAAATGAGAAAATCCCCTCTGCAGGAGATGCTTTCGAGCCTTGTCATAAGAAGGGTCTACCAAAATAATAAATCCTCACTTCCTTTCCACATGCCAATAGCCAAAAAGTCAGTCACGGTCCTAAAAGACATCCTCTACTTACATACAACTGATGCTGAAGAAAAAAGGAGAAAAAAAAATTAGCTGGCCATGCTGGTCCCTGCCGGAAATCCTAGCACTAAGGAGGCAGAGGTCAAGGTCAGCCTTGGTTATGTAACTAACACGTTCAAGTCCAGCCTGGGTTACCTTACAGGTTTTGTTTTGTTTTAAAGATAAACAGAAAAAGAAATGAGAGATTTATTTAACATCACAAAACATGCAGTTATATTAAAATATTAAAAGGTCTTTATTTTTAATATTATTATATTAAAATTTTGAGTGTGTGCACATGTGTGTACATGTGTGTTTGTGTCCATGGGTCACAGCAAACATGTGGAGGTCAGCGGACAGTCTGCAGGAATCATGTCTCTCTTTCTACCAAGAAGATGCTGGATGCCAAACTCAAGTCAGTCCTTAGGCTTCGAGACAAGGGCCTTAACCCCCTCAGCCATCTCCCCAGCCTTATTTTCAGAAGCAAAAACAATCAGATGGGAAAACCAAGTGTATTTCAATATCCTTCTACCCCACTTCTCACAAAACGGCTTGGTGTGGCAACCAATGTTTACTGAGCATCACTGTGTGTCAGCAAGTGTTCCAAATGCTTTAAGGTTCCTCCGTGTACCTCACAACAGACCTGGAGAGCAAAAAGCACTTCTCTCCCTTTGTCCTGCTTAGCTTTTATTGTCTAGCTGACACACCTTGAGTAGCAACTGAGGGACTGTCCTGATCAGACTGTGGCTACATCTGTGAGAGACCTCCTTGGTTGATGTGGGAAGGCCTAGCCGGGAGCTGCCATTCCTAAGTAGGTGGCACCACGCTCTGCCAGAAAGCTGAGTGGGAGCCAGGGAGCCTGAGCAAGGCAGCAAGCAGCTTTCCTCCTCTGTCTGTGCTTCTAGTTTCTTGCCTAGAGTTTCCTTTTTTTTTTTTTTTTTCTTCCTTTTTTGCCTAGTTCCCCATGATAGTGGAGCTGTCCCCTGAATGGGTGAGCTGAAATAACCCATCCCTCCCTTAAGCTTATTTTGGTCATGGTGCTTCTCACAGCCACAGAAATCAAACTAGACCCCGCCCCTTCTGTGGCTAAGACACAGAGCACTCTATAATACCTGTTTTAATGGCATAACCTATGAGACACTGAGAGCCAATTGGTATGCAAATATTTTCTTATTCATCTCTGAATTTGAACGGCTCCATGATGTGGAGGGTGGTCCCATGTGCAGCGATGATGTTTGTATATGCTTGTCAGTTTTCTCTAAGCCCACCCCCCTCCAACCCTGTAGCCACCTGTAGATATTTCAGAACACCTTGGTGGAACACAGAGTACCCTCAAGGTCATGCTGAATGCTCACTGCAGCTCGTGCACACGCACACACACACTGAAATGCAGAGCTTGCTCCCCCAAGACACACTAGCTCAATACTTAAAACTTATTTTTCCTCTGACCTGTAAATACAGATACAGAATTGACTTTCTTTTTTTTTTTTTTAACTCTTCCATTTCAAGGCCAATAAAGAAAGGCAAGGCTGAGAATGAAATTTTATGTAATTTATAGACATACACTGCATAGGAAGGCACCAAATGGGAAAGAGAATTGAATTAACAAGGTCAAGACAAGTTATAGGAAGCCAACCCTACTATTCATGAGCAACACTAAACAACAAACTCTCCAAGAACAGCAAAGGCTCTGTTATGCTGGGAGATTAAAATAGAAAGAAAAGAGAAAAACCCAACTACATACTAGTTCAACAGTGAAAGTAGAAAGTAACCCTTATCCAATCAGACTTCAGGGCCAGTGATGCTCTTCCTCAATCTCAGCATCTTAGTTGCCTGCACATTTACTGCAACCAGCTCAGGGCTGTTATTTCACTGAGTAATGCAGGTTTTCTTAAAATAAGAAGTACATCTATGTCTGGTTTAATCTTCAAGATTGTAAGCAGGGACAGCGTATTATCTAAAGCTGTGGAGGAAACACTGGGGGTTGGGGAGCAGGCACAGTTTGCAGCCTACAGTGGGGGGGACAGAGGGGACGGGACCACAGTCTGCAGCATCAGATACTGATGTTCCCTCCACCACAGAGAAGCTGGACCAGACTCCCAACCATTCACTCTGATGGAGGGGGAGGAGGGAACTAGAGGTAGCACCAAGAGTAAAAAAAAAAAAAAAAAAAAAAAAAAAAAAAAAAAAAAAAAAAAAAAATCAGCTTTTAAAGGCATCCCTTTCCCTTGTGTTCCAATAAAGAACTGGCTACTTTAATCTGAGTGGTCTTAAAGCCCAGTGAAAGAAACAGAGTCCAGGAAAGACTAGGAAAAGCCTGCTTGTCTCCATCCTTCCCCTTCTCTTCCTCCCTTCCCTTCCTTCATTCCTTGCCCCCTTATTCATCCCACTTTTCCTGGAGTGATAGTCTGGAGAGGAAACAGAGCCCTGCCTCCTTCCTTAGTCTCAATAAAGGCAAGCAGTGTTCAGGTGCTGGCCTTCTTGACAGCACCCAAGTAGGTGGCTGGAAATAAACATTCTTCACATTGATCAATTGGGACAATCATCAGGAGATGCTCAGAACACCTCCTATCTGTTCTTTTTTTGCTGGGTAACCAGTCTTCATCTCCTCTTTGACTTGCAGTTTTCCTTATCATTCAGCACAGTTAAAGTTATTAATTTGGGTACAGGCTTAATTAATGTCTGTTTCACTTCTTTCTTCTCTATGACACTCCCTAGGCTCCTATCTAAGTGCTGGTAAATGGAAGCATAAAATAGAAAGACAATTTGCAAGGAGCACAGCCACCCATCTACAGATCTGATAGAATAAGCAGAACCATGACAAAAATCGCAACAGATCCCTGCTCTGCCCAAAACAATGCAAAAATACAGGCATAATTGTCAACACTCCATCATTTCTTTCTTTGCCTGCGGTGATGTGACTATCTAATTCCACAGCAGGAATCTATTAATTATAAACTAGAAGCTCAAATGTGGGCCATTAGCTTTTAATCACAAGGAAATATAAAGAACTTCGATGTTGAAAACACTAACAGTGACGACCTCTGCAGAACACATCCCCAGGCCAGGAAAAACCGGAACTAGCCTCGAACGGGGTCTGCTTACAGAATATTACAGCGTGGTATCTGCTTGCCTTTGTGCTCTACTGGTTCTAAAAGTTATCTTTCAAAATCACAAGTTGGGAGCTAGAGTTCTGCAAAGTCTGTAACTGACAAGAAAATGAGGTCCTCCTCAGCAATAAAAATGTCTAAATCTAAGCGCCGAGTCATCCCTCCCCCACATTAACAACAAGGTGTGCCATCATATCTGAAGAAAACGAGGTACAAGAAGGCACCTTCTCAATCATTTATTCCTCCTCCTTAATTATAAAACAGGTATGAGAATTCAGGAGCCATGAAATTAATTATTTTTTTTGAAAAACATTCTGTTCAATTATTCAGTGTAGAGAGTAAATGATTAAATGCCACCAACCCTCCATTTTCACAGTTCTAATGAACATTTTCTGTTGATGTTTGTACCTGGCCTAATCAGAAGTTATTATGAAAGCAAAATTCAGCTGTCTGTGCCTCAGTGCTCACCAGGCAATGGTTCCAGGAGACCAAAGTCTGTGGAGACCAAAATCCGAAGATGCACAAGGTTCCTGGGCAAATGCCACAGTGTCCCCTTGTTACGTCCCCACATCCTCCTGCACACTTTATCCATCTCGTAATTACTTATGACATCTGTGCAACCTAAATGCCACGTTGTAGGGCTGACTGGAAGGCAGTGCCAGGAAAGTGTCTGCACAGTGCAATACAGAGGCCATGTTTTTCCTTTAGGGATGCTGAGCTCTCTGTCTGCGGGATGCTGACCTGACACTCTAATAGCCAAGAAGATCCAGATTTTCTGGTCCCTGCTCAGCAACTTACCAAACTGAGACACAATATCTGCAGAGCAGATACTAAGTGTTGTCCTTCACTTTTTACAATAATTAAGACACTACATTTGACATGAGATTGCTTTTTCTCTGTAACTAGCAAAACTTGTAACAATATACTTACCTTTCTGTGACACCGGGAAGGGAGAACAGAATAAAAACTTGCATCTTTTTCATCTGTACAAACAGACTGAACTGTGTGTCCGGAGCATCCCAAAGAATCCCCAACTGTCTTCCTATGGTTTGTTCCTGTTTGTACACTGAACTTTCTTAATTTATCACTCTGTTTTCTTAACTCAGTTGTCTCTGCCACCCTGGCTTTCAGCCTATACAAATGCTCATTTGTGTCAATATTCTTTCTGCTCTTACAGACTGTGTTTAGTTGATTTGAAATAATACTATATTAAAAAGTAGCAATACAGACTAGGCACGCCCCCATTGCAATAATCTTTTTATACCCTTGTCTCTAATACATCATCTACTTCACACCATACTAACATATGTGATTGCTACAAGTCAGCAATCTAAACCTCCCACTAGTTAGGAAGGGTTCTTATCAGAGAGCAATACTCATCGAAAACCAGTCTTAGGAGATATGTCACAGGCTGTACCTGCCGGCCTACGGACCTCACCTTCCTCCTCCTCCTCCTCTTCTTCTTCTCTTTGGCCGCTTGGGCCTGCTTGTGCTCCCAAACCAGGTTAGTCAGATTGGCTACATACTCATCCGTCTGCTGCAAAAGGTAGGCTAGGCGTCTGTCTTTCTTTTGGTCGATGAGTTTCCTGTAGCCCTCTTCATCTTCAGCCTGTTCAGGAAGGAGGGGAGGATGGCAGTGTGATGCATAGACCCTCACAGCTGTGCTTCATACTCTCCTGTTTACAACCTGAGTCTGGTGGTGCCTGGGGCCAACAGGATGAGCCAGGCTGCACAAGATACCAGTGGAGTCTGCAAAATCTGGCAAAAATGGAGATGTGCAACACTCCTTGGGAGCATGGCTCTGAGGTTTTTAGCAGAACTACTGCACGAAGCCCCACGGTATGTGTGATATGACTATCTGAGTCAGCTCTTCCATCTTCTGTGCCTCTTGAACTATTCAAAATTAGCGCAAAATCAGATGCACTAAGTCACAAGCCTCCATGAGTGGAGATAAGTCTTTAGCCCCTGAAATCTGGTACCACTGAGTTATAAAACAAACCCCATAATTTCCCCCTCTCCCTCCCATTAAGCAGCATTAAAACCTCTCGATGTCCCCTGAGCCATTTACAGAGATATCTTTTAGGCTTCCCCAGTAAAAGAACATCCCAAAATATTTTTCTGTGATGCCTGGGTAAAAGGAGAGCACTGTACACTCTCTAAGAGGTAGCTCTGTCCCGGAAGAGCACAGGTACTCAGCTGTCGGGTGTCCCTCCAGCGCGTGCCAAACCGACAGCAGCTTCATCACTCAGCGTAGCTGCTGTCTGCCCCGGGAATGAGCATGAACTCAAATGCTATTATAACTCTAATTGCTTTTGGCTATGGTTGATCTCACTTGAAGAAAGAGTGATGAAAAACTTCAGTTTCTCTATTATCTGTATATTCCATCATTTAATTGCAAAAATTAATGATTTGCAAATGCCTAATCATTAGTGTCAAACCAATCTGTTGCTAGAGTTCTAATGCAGCTTTTCCTTCAGTTGAATCAGACAAATTTGCCTGTTGACTGCTCCGTTTACTGCACAGTAGTCTCCCTCACTAGGCAAAGACTCTTGACAGTATTCTCTGCGCCCCCCCCCCCCCCAATGGGAGAAAGGACAGAAAATGGTGGGATTCCAGAACACCACAAATGGTCTTTACCGTCTGGAACCTTCAAATTAATGAAATAAAACACCAACCAGCATCCCAGAAAGGACACTGTCTTTTCTAGAACTGTATTTATGGGTGAGGTTTATTCTGACCCACTTAGGAATTCTGTCCCACACAGAGCTTTGGGTCACTTACCACCTTTACAGATTAGCTGCTTCTCTAAATTTCATGGTGTGCTTTTTTTCCAGTTCCAGAAACAAATGGTCAATAAAACCCAATACCCAGGCCAGTGATAGAAACCTGCTTGTTCTGTGTCTGTATATTCACGAAAAGCCAACTGTGCAAAAATAACGGTGCAAAACAAACTTTGGGACAGCAGAGCTGTCACAAATAAACTTTAAAATTAACTTAAAAGTTGTTTTATAAATTTAAGAATAACTTAGTACATTTACATAATTAGTAAAAATTATTAATGCCAAATCAAAGGAGGAGAGGGAGTGAATATGAATCTTGGATTCAAAGATATGACCTTGTCATCTATTCATTTAAAAAAATCTAAAGTTGTTCATCTCAAAACATCATATATCTAATGGATTGCATTTGTCATTCTTCCAGATGTGATTATCAATCTCCTTCAAAACATAGCACTTGCCCTCCTTTGAGAAGCTATGCAAGTGGATGATGATGGTGACTTAGAGCACAAAACTACTAGGCTCATGTGTAATCCCAAATTATTAGATGCACTATGTAGAAAAGACAGAGTTCTCATTCTTCCCATCAGAGGTTCAGATACCAGTGAGTGAGTGAGTGAGTGAGTGAGTGAGTGAGTAGAGAACAGCTTTCCTTTCTTCTCTTGATGCTTCATGTCACATTCTAAATGCACAAAGATACAGAGTATCTTCCCACTGTCACGTGGGGCCCCTTACCATCAGCCTCCGCATTCTCTCCTTCTCAATCCTCTCCGTCTCCTTCTTCTGCTCCCTTTCAGTGTTGGCGTGCCAAGTCGCCACAGCTTTGGACAGCTTCTGGATCTTTCCAGCCACGGACCGATGATATTCCTTAAAATCTTTCGCATGTTGTAAAATACTGTTCAGGTATTCCTGAAGGATGCACAAGGGGGAGAGAATACACTTTCCAGTGAAGTACCTGCACATCAAAGAGGAGGCCGCATACCCTGACATCATTCAAAGCTCACAATCTATTGATGATCGGGTCCCTCCCTAGAGCCTCTCAAGTACGGGTTATAAGCTATGGTCTGGTGTGACCGGAAGACGAGAAAAAAGCGGCTGCTTTCGCTCCAGGGTATGGACATCCAAAACTGGGAAAAGGAAAGACTGGGCTATGAGCTAGTGGGAAGAAAGACTTCCATCAACTGTGCGTTGTAAGCCTAGGAAGAGACAGTGCCTTCACCTTGAAGGTGTGGTCATCTGAACCAGAAAGAGAAAGGACAAAGGCTGACCTATAAAAATGTCAATGAAAACATTTACAAGATGTTGTTCCATCACCCAGAAATAAACATGAGGGTTCTGGGCCTTTCCAATGAAAACCACATTTCTTCTGCTCCAACTTAAATTTAGAACCGTGATGCAAAATAAGTGTATGCAAAGCTGAAATTGCCATTTGTAATCCGAACTCACTTTTCACAAGGAGGGGAAATGCGCACCCTACTTGCACTAAAATCCGTAATTTTTTTTTCTTCAAAAGGAAACTAAGTTAGGCACCAAATGAAGCACAATAAAACAATCATGAGACAAAAATCACATCCTACATCAAATGGTTCCAGTGCCCTAGAAAGGAATGCTTTTGAATATCTGACCCTTTGAATCCTCCAGCTGGGCCCTTCAAAGAGTGCAGAATACCATATAAAAATAACTTCCTGCTGGGGACTGGAGAGCTGGCTCAGCAGTTAAGTGTGCTTCCTCATCTTATAGAAGGCCCTAGCACCCACCATCTGTAACTCTAGTTCCAGGGGAACCTGTAGCCTTCTTCTGTCCTCTGAGGGCATCAGGCACGCACATGGCACACAACCGTATACGTAGCAGGCAAAACACCAAAATCACTCTCTGCCCTTCTTTCCTTTTCCAAATTATCGCTCCCCAGAACTTTGCTCTAGGTCACTCACTCATGGGCCCCTTAGTCATCAGAGGTCCATAGAAGTCTAAGTATGACATCTGTTATGGGCTAAAGATGGCCCCAGTTCAGCGGGTCTCATCCTTCCCAGTGCTGTGATTCTTTAAGACAGCTCCTCATGTTGTGGTGAACCCCAACTTTAAAATGGTTTTTGTTGCTACTTTATTGCTGTAATTTTGCTATTGCTATGGATCGTAATGTAAATGTAAGGGTTTTCTGATGGTCTTAGGTGACCTCTGCGAAAGGATCATTCGACCCACACAGAGGCCTCAACCCACAGGTTAATAACTGCTGGCCCAGTTCATAATCTGATGCCCTCAACATAATGTGGTCAGGCAGCAGAGGACGGGATGGCAGCCCTTAGAAAGAGAACCCAGAGAGCTTTCTTCGTTCTGTTTCCTGCCTTGTGAGAACACAAGAAGTCGGCAACCCGAAACCTGGAAGAAGGTGTCACCCCAAGTTAGCCATGCTGGCATGCCGACTTGGCATTGCAGCCTCCAGGTCTCTGAAAAACAAACTCTTATTGTTGATAAACGACCCGATCTGGTGTTCTGTTAGAGCAACCTCAACTGACCACAACTGATTAGGTTTCGAGAGAGCTGGGTCTTCAGCTTTGTCTTGCTACAGACCTTGGGCAGGTCACAGAGTATCTCTGTCTTGACCTAATGTGACACTAACTAGAGTCACCTGGTAAGAAGGAAACCTCTGTTAAAGAACTGCCTCCCTCAGACTGGCCCGTGAGCATGTCTGCGGAGCATTTTCTTGACTGATGTGGGAGGTCCCACCCCATGGTGAGCGGTGCCACCCTGGGCAGGTGGTCCTGGTTGGTGTAAGAAAGCATATGAGCAAGTTCTGGAGAGAGAGAGAGAGCAAGCCAGTAAGCAGTGTTCCTTCTGTGGTCTCTGCTTCTGTTCCAGCCTTGAGTTCCCCTGATGATGGACTGTAACCTGCAGGTCAAATGAACCCTTTCCTCCGCAGGTGGTTTTATCACAGCAACTAAAAGCAAAGCAGGGCACCTTCTCATCTGTATTATACAAACTCCCAGTCACCTTTCTGTTCTAGGATCTACTCGCCACCAACTTTGCAAACACCCTGATCCAGACCACTTGAACCCGCCATGGGCCACCTCTGACCAGGAAGGGTATGCAAAGTTCTAAGGACCTGGTGCTTCTGCCGGCGTTTCCTCTCCTGCTCTATCTTCTGCTGCTTCTCCAGCTTCTCTGTCATGCGTGCCTCTCGCAGCGTCTGGCGCTTGCTCCGTTTGTAGGCTTTGGAGTTGAGAGCTGTCTCCAGGGTGGTATCCCTTCGCATGCAGGCCACCACCTCCTGTCTCAGCTATCAGGAGGGAAGAAACGGTTAGAGAATCCCCCAAACAGGAGCCAGGTCCCGAGCCCTGACCTCCTCGAGTTTCAAATTAATGGAACAGAAAGGGGACTGGATGCAAGCTTCTCAACCTAACTGCAGTTGGCCTACTACTAAAAGCAAGAACTGACATTGTAGCAAACTCACATGACAATTTTCAGGATGGTATAAATCTTCTTTCCACATAATTTATATTAAAAATAATTATAGTACTATAACAGTAAAAAAAATATGAAAACGCTATGCTAAGTTTGAAATAAAGTTTATTTACTCCACTTAATTATAGTAATGACATCACTTAGTCAATAAGTTAAGCTTTTAACTGTCATATTATCATTGTCTTGCTGATCTACAAGAACAGAAGAGTTACTGTCCATTCATGTTCCAAGCAACAACAGTAACTCCAACGATGTAAATTCACAACTTCAAATAAATAATAAAAATACCAGACTGCATTTCCTTCCTGTCCAGTAATGATATTCTTTAGTACTCAAAGGTTACCTTGTGCCATGGACTTGTTTTAGATTATCATCCTATGACAGGGTAACCATATCACATGAGGAATGGTGATAGGCAGTGGGAAATTGGGAGTCCACATGACAATGATCCTTCAACTAACCCTGGAATTGGTATCACTCACATGTACCCAGGAAGCTCTGTAGATAAAAGATTTTTCAGTAACATCAAACAAAAACTAGGGACACATGCCACTAACTGAATTCAGTTCGCCAACCTGTGTCAAACACTTCATTCATTAGTATGATAATGTTTCCTCTAATTAAGATGCAATGGAACCTGGAGACTTTTTCTTTTCCTTCTTCTTTTTAAATTTAACCTGAAATCCACTCTCTCAAAGCCCTGGCCAAGCAGAACCAATCTACAGAAGAGGGCCTTCATGTTCCCTTTGGTTTAGCCAGGCAATCTGTGGATGGAGACCAGAACACTTTGACAAAACTCAGCCAAGGGAGAAAAAGTTCTACTTCATTCCACTCCACGCCTACTGATTTAGAAATCAGAAAACAGATCATGATACCAGATCTCAACAGTGAGTTCTAGGAGGCAGTAACTCCCTATTAGTCAATGGTCCAACTCCCGCCAAGTCAAGTTCTGATGAATAATCAAGTTTCAAGACACGGGTGTGTATGTATGTGTGTGTATGTGTGCTTCTATAAGTGTGGGCTAGTGGTTAAAAGAGAGACTATCATCTTTTCTGTTTCTGGAGTCAGAGCTAGTTCTGTACATTCGAATTTGCCAGGAATACAACCACCTCTGTGGTTTTCCTTGGAGCCATGAAGGCAAGACACAGGTCTCCACAATCTGTTGTCATGTTTTCATCCACAGGACCAAAATGCAGTAAAACTAATTTTGTACATTATAGTACAGGAGGAAAAAAATGTATATGGAAGAAGGGAAGAATAAGTAGTCCATATTCCTTACTCTCAGCTATGAGCTGTCAGTCTAAAGACATGCTATTTTACCCAGTTCCTAGCTTTATAACAATATCGAGTAGTCTCGAGGAAGCACGCAGATCACACTTTAGGAACAATTACACTGATTTCTTACATCATGGATTCACTGGGGAAAAGGTATTACCTGACGCTGGAAATTGAGTAAGCGAAGTGCTTTCAGTTCCACGGTTGCTTTGGTTCGTAAATCTGGTGGCAAGGAGCCAGGGAGACTCTCCAGTTCTTGTATCCTGTGAGCTATGCGAGCCTGAAGTCTAGAAGGAAATGGTAAAGGGGGGGGGGGCAGGCAGAGAGCTACATTACAATGTAGTCTTCTGTGATCAACAGAGCTTTAGGTTACGTTCATGGTAAAAAATATTCCACATATTGAAGAGTCGGTTTCTGATGTCCAAGTAGGTTTTCTTTCTTTCTCTCATTCTCTCTCTCTCTCTTTTTTAAAGAAAAAGTTTACATTTACTTATTTATTGGGGAAGGAGACGCACATGCTACCGTGCGTGTACGGACATAAGAAGATGGCTTGTGACTGTCAGTCCTCCTGTGTATTTCAGAAGTCAAGACAACAGATGCCTAACGGCCCAGCTCTCTCATGGAGCCCCAACAGAATTTTCTAATGTTAATCTAGGGGGGAAAAAAAGCTACCTTTGATTTCTTGAAGGTAGACGTGTCATACTACACAACACCTTGAACTCTGTGGAGCTTCTCTCTAACGCCTAAAAAGGAATGTCATGCTACGTGGAGGGGAGAGGGGGCAGATGAAAAGTCCCTGCTTGCTCTCAACTGAGAGGGAACACAGAGGCAGCCTGGCTAGCTGCCCAACTCCCAGCCTGCCCCTGTGCACAGCTTAGGCCCTAGTTCTTCCTTCTGGGCTGAGACAACAGTGACTACAGCAGCTAAAGCGAAGTGGCCAAGTGCAGTTTTAGGAGGTGAGGCCACAGAGGCCAGTTAGCTCGAGACATTCCGAGAGCCCTGCCAACCACAACCACTTCCTCTCCGCAGTGCTTGTTTGAGAAGAGAAGGCAAAATGGGCATCTGCAAAAATCAGGGGCAGCAGTTGAATAGCATTTCCTGAAAAGGATGCTGGGGCTCTCATTTTAGACACCATCAAAAATATAATTGCAAGTACTTCCTCCTAATGAAGGCAGACTTCAGAATAAAAGACATCTCTCTTCAGTCTCTGGCTGCTATGGCTCTGACACATAAACTGGTTTCAAGCCTTACTTTTATAAATACACACCACTGAAATCTAGTTATAGAATAAGCCCCTCCCCTAGGTTTGGGACAAAACTGTCTGAGAAAGAACTGAAAGGAAAGAAATGTCAATAAAAGTAGTAATGGGTTAGCCCAGTAAATACTCACTGCACTAAGTGCATTTAATGAGCAATTTTGAATCCCCAACACACACACAGACACACACACACACACACACACACACACACACACACAAATACTTCAGTGGTCCCATCTTACTATTGAGAAAACTGGAGAAATATGTTGACATCTTATAGCTGGAAATGGAGGAATCCAAAATCAAAACCTACATTATTATCCAATAATACCTACAATAATCTAATGGGTTGGTATCCAGTTGTTTTTTTCCCATCTATCTGTGTAGCCCCAAGTGTCCAAATAGACAAAAGAAGCTATATCTAAACATTGAATATATGAAGAGAAACACACACACACAAACACTTAAAGGGAAAAAAAAAGTTAAACCAAAACAAATTTTTAACCTCTAAAACCACTGTTTTATAGTCTTATTATCAAGACCACACTAAAGGGAGTTAGGTATTAGAGCCGAAAGATGGTGTCACCCACAATTTTATTTTGTTCCCTTCTTGGTTCTGGACTCCACACTTTCTTTTCTCATTTAAATATCCTAGAACTTAAACTCCCCATGCATTCTGGTTCAGTAAGGCACAGCGAGCGAGTCAGGCACCAAACTCATGGAACGGTGGCTCCTGCCTCCGTCTTCCCAAGGGTAGGCTGTAGGACAGCACAAAGTGACCACAGGGCTCCTAGGCTGGCAGGGCCGGGACTAAGCCACACTGAGCTGGGTAGTGAGGAGGCCAGTAGTGTGGCTTTTCCGTAATGGAGTGTGAGTGCTTGGGGTACTGCAGCAGGCAGGTGCTAAAGGTGCACTTCTCCCTGCTATCTCCAAAGAAGTGATTTATTAGTGCATCTCAAGAGCTCCCAACACAAAAGATCTCTCTCTCTCTCTCTCTCTCTCTCTCTCTCTCTCTCTTTCATTAACTAGAAGAAAGGCATGAAGTACAAAGTGCAAACTCATGAAAAAGAGGAGGGAGAGATTTTTTACAGCAAAGTGATATGCACTCGATGGGGCCCACGGGGTGGGCCGCTAAGTTTTGGGAGGGGTAGAGGGGAGGGTAAGCATGGGGAAACTCTATCTCCGTTGTTGTGCTGAATAGAAATCTTCATTTTAAATAATGCTCTCCTCTCCAGACAATTTCATCTTCCCATCAACGGGATTCAGCAGGAAGTCCGATAAAGAGAGTCGGGATTCTAAACTTCCCAAAACAACAGCAAGATGTAATCCTGCCTGACGGCAGGAGACTCATTTAGTGCCCTCACGAGCACAGAAAATTGAAGCAGAATTAGGTCGCTCGGGTTTTTTCATGCAGACTGAAGAGTAAATCAAGAGGGTGACTGTTCTTGCCAAGGAAAAGAGTTCCATTAAAGGCAACAGATATTTGTTCAGGTCCAGGGGAGAAGTTTATGATTCCTGTAGGAGAGTTATTTGGACAGAAAATGACACTGGTACATTTTGTCCCTTCAAGGAGCCGAGTGACACTTTAAAGAGCAAGGGTGAGAGACAGGGAGCATGTGTGACCTTGGTGACTCTTCTGTTTGTTATTGGCAATTTTTAAGAAGTTTCCAGGCTTGTGATGGTGACAAGGGCAAGACAAGGAAACACACACTCTCGAACACACACACACACACACACACACACATGCACGCACACACATGCTCACACATACACACAGACACTGCCTTCCAGGTAAGCTATACATACATGTTTCCTTAACCTCCAAGCCATCTCCCCAGCCCACATACATGTATCCTAAAGCGTGCTTTCACACTCAAGTCTGTTTTGAGACAAGAGGCTTGACTTAATTCAAAAATGTCTTTTTATTAAAACCCTTCTAAGTGTGAAATTCGTCCTCCATGCAAATATTTGTTTCCACCAAACTAGCTTGCATGTCCGTGCGTTAAGTTCTCTTTGAATGTGGTAGGAAATGAAGTTGATTGGCTACAGTAAGCGTCAAGAATTTGTGCCCAAAGAAATGGGGCAGAGGGTGAGTGCAGCATGCAACACTGTCGGACACCAGAGAAAGAAGAATAAGTTTCCATGGGGAAAAAAATAAAGTGAGTCAAAAGGAAAGGAGATGAATATTTTCAGCCCCAGGGCTGGGCAGATCTGAGGCCAACGTGTCCACGAGTAGAAACTTCACCTAAACTGTGACCAAAAAAAAAAAAAAAGAAAGAAAAGAAAAAGGTCAATGTGTCAAAATTCTGAGTTTATGGCAAACCAGGAAGAGCAGCCAGCTGGCTTAAAGGAATGTAACATCCTAATAATTTCCTTTCAATTTCTGTCGACAAGGACTGTAGCCAAAAAAAAAAAATGAACTTCTGCTCTGAGAATTCTGTTGCACGATATTTTGCCTCATCGGAGCCTCATTGAAATCCCAAAAGAGATCTGCTCAGACCTTACTCAGATCTGCAGCCAGGTAAGAAAGGTGCAGAGTGACCAGGCAGAAATCTGGTGGGCTAGTTCATCACAGGGAGCAGAGAGAAAAGAATATCCTAACCGTCTTTTACGAGTGTGTAAGACACTTAATGTAACCCCTTTGACGATAAACTTAATCTCTGCGGTCGAACAATTGTGTCTTTCTACAGGCAGAAGCCAGCTATTGTTCCATGACTAAACAAGATAAGGCATGCCTCTGTAATGCAGCCAGCACAAGTTCCTTCTCCTCCAGGCGGCCACAGGGATATTCAGGCCAAAGGTTCCACCAGGCTTTTGGCAACCCCGAAACCATACAACATTATCTTTACAAAAGTGGATACGTTATCAAATAATAATAATACAAAAAAAAATTGACTATTTGACCGCATTCTGAAATGCACTTGATTTACAGTTGTTCTGTTTTTTATGAAATAGGGTCTCACTCTGTACCTAAGCTGGCCTTGGTATCATTACACCGTCTTCCATATCCTGAGATTGGGGGCATGCAGTAGTGCCATGTACCACCGTATAAAAGGTCCTGGTAGACGCAAGTTTTAGTAATATAGGAGAATGGTTTAGTGAAATGGCTTACTGAGGATAAAGGCACTGGCCACCAAACTTGCAACTCTGGGGACCACAACTCAGAAAGAAAAGGGAAAAAAAAAAAAAAAAAACAACCCATAGGTTGTCATCTGACCTCCATACCTGTGAGGAAGCCCAGATGTGCTATAATAAATAAATGAATGAATGAATAAATAAATAAATGGATAGATAAGTGATTAGAGGCAATAAAAACTTAATATAAGAAGATGATATAGGCTATAGACTTTTTGTATGTTGAAATAAGACAAACAGCATGACTTAAAACACTTTGGTCGACAACCCATTTAAACTCACACTTGTGAAAATGGCACTAAAATGAGATTATAGGGGAACCCTGTAATTAAAATTCTGGTTAACAATGACAAAACAAATTCAGGAGTCCACAAAGTGGACACACATGCCAAGTGCACATGCATGCACAAATACACACATGCACGCACACATACACACACACAGGCACACACACACACACACACACACACACACACACACACACGTGAGGCTGAGTAAGAGAAAGAAGGCCAGGTGTTACATAAAATGTGAAGGTGCAGAGAATGTCTCCTGAGGGTCGGTTGCATGAGCTAACAGAGCGTCTGGCATCTTTGCGCCTGCTGGGCAGGGCTAAAGCAAGTTAGAATTTCAGAATAACCACATAATCCTGCTCTTTCTTATAACTGACCTCCCCCCCCACACACACACACCCAGAAGTCACTTATGACTTTCTTTATTCAACAACGTAAAAAAGATATCACATCTGAAGAGTTTATCTGCCCGGGGTGTCCTTGCGTTTGACTTTATGTATTGACAAGTATTAATCCAAAAGACTCTGCCTGTCACTGAGGATGTATTCCTGGCCTGGTCCTCAGGTGCACATGACAAGCTGGGAATGACAAGAGAAATGCTCCCAATGATGGCCAGCAACAGAAATGAGAAAATAAAGTCATGTTTTCAATCCAAAAGGGGTGACCCACGTCTAATACCTGGTTCCGGGGAGGCCTCCAAAACAACTCTCCACACCGGTTAGTTCCTAACAACCTGTAATGCTTTTTAATGAAGGTTAGGACAATGCTTTTAAATAGAACCCAAATGCTGCTTACTAGCTAACAGTCTCTGTAATTTTTTTTTCTTTTTTGGTCTTTTGAGAAGGGTTTTTCTTTGTACCCTTTGCTGTCCTGGACTCACTTTGTAGACCAGGCTGGCCTTGAACTCACAGAGATCCACCTGCTTCTGCCTCCCTGGTACTGGGATTGCAGGCTGTGACACCGCACCCGGCTCTCTGTAATTTTTAGCATCTACTTTTCTTTAAATTCAAATAATACTGGGAAAATAGTTGACACCAATAGTACTGAAAGCTTCTAGAACTTTATGGAAAAAAAATACTATAATATTTTTAACACGTAAGTCATAGAAAAGTGATGTAACCTGCCCAAGACAACAGAGACGTAACGTCAGAGTGTGCTTTCCAGACAGGCTACAGAACTCAAATATTAGTTTCGTTTCATCTTAATCCTTACTTCACTCAGTTGTTCATGGTTGTTAACCATTTACTTGAAGGGTCTACTAACTAAAGCCTATGGGCCAAATCTTGTCTGTAGTTGCTTTTTCTAAATAAAGTTTTATTGGAACAAAGCCAAAGTACTGCAGTCTACGGGTGTTTTCCCACAAAAAGGAAAGAGCTGACTATCTGTGTCTAAGACATATGGCCCCGTAAAACATTAGATGTTTTCCATCTGGTACTCTACAGGAAAAGTTTCCCAATCCCTAGTTTAGATAGGACAGTGTCAAATCAGGTGACAAGTGCCTAGATTAAGAGTTTAACTCTTGGCTGGACTTTTGATCTATGTATTCCAAGCACCCGGCAGGTGGACGGAGTGGGTGATAAAAGGTTTCTGAAGGAATGAGACAGGAGTCACAGTTGGCCCTACTCAGCAACACCTAAGGATCCACCCAACAGCATGTGACTTTTCTCTACAACTGTTCTGAAACCACTGTCACAGCACGAGCCCTCTCTGTCCTCTTCTCAGCCCTCCCAGTGTCCAGTAGCGCAGGGATACTGGACCCATGAGACCCTTCAGCCCCTGGCCCTTTATCACAGGTGGTACCTGTACTCTCGTTCCTGCAGGATCTCCACGGGGTCCAGGCCTTGCGGTTTCTGGATGGGGCTGATCCGACTCTGTTTCTGCTGCAGCTGCAGGACTGGAGATGGCTGGCCAGGGGCAGGCTGCTGCACGGAGGGTCCAGGCACAGCCGTGGCTGTGGGCTGGGCAGCAGCAGGGGGTGCGGGCGAGGGCCGGCCGCTGGGTGCCGGTGCTGACAGCTTCTGAGGGATGCTCTGACCACTCAGCAGCAGTTCCTGCCCGGGGCCTACGAGACAAGAGGGACTTAGGCAGGATAGAAGGAAGGACACCTGCTGACCACACCTAGCTCCTCCACCCCTCAACCACCACCTAGGGACAAGGCCGCTAGGGTCTGAAACACCGGAGAGCTGCCTAATGGAGGGTAGAAAGGAAGAAAAGGAATAAAGGGTACAGGTGAAAAAGTAACTGAGAAGGTACCCCACAGGGAAATGGCATGCACTAATGAATATTGTCAAAAATATCCAAAAAAAAAAAAAAAAATGACTCTTGGTTGTAATAAATCAAGGAAATGACAAGCTGGCTTTTAATGTCACATTCTGTGGTGATTTGTTTTGTTTGGCTTTTAAGAATAGCAGGTGGACCCAAACTTCAGAAGAATTCTACAATGACCAGATGTAGTGGGTGTGGCCCTATCTGCAAACTGCTAAGTCCCTGCAAGGCAGGCCTCTGTCCCAAAAGCTGGTGCTGCCTATGGGATTCAGTGCCTAAGGTTAAAAGAGCTTACTGGCCTGCTGGAAACTAACAGAGGCTCTTGCTTTTCCTCAGCGTTTCTAAAAGCTTATTTCAGGCTTAGTTACAGTGAATCCCAGGAACTAAATCTCACTTTCACTACACAGTAGTAAAGTATTTCTAAAACTATTCACCATGAGAGGTAAAATACACTCATTTTCCCTAACAAAAATTAGCGAATATTAAGATTAAAGAAAGCATTTTTTTCCCTCTTATTCTCAGAGGACGGCATGCAATCTTTAACCTATCTTTGAAGCCTAGCATAATTACAGGTGCAGGCCTGTAAATCCAGCACTTCAAAGGGAGAGGCAGGGGAAGCAAGAGTTAGTGGCCAACCTGGGCTATAAGAGACCTTGTCCCCCCTCCCCCAAAACAAAACAAATCTTTAAGTAATGTTGAATTCAGTTTCAGCCATTTTTCTGCATTAAGCTTTGGGAATTTCAATTAACTGCTAGATACAAGTCTAAAATAAGAAGTGCTTCAACTCTCCTCCAGGTGAGTTCTGTTTCCTTAAAATTAAATAAGATTACTGAAGCTTCCAGATAACTTAGTAAAAAAAAAAAAAAAAAAAAAATCTTTAAATGAAGAATCTCAGTCAGCAGATGCTAAAACCACAAACAGGCATTCATCCAAGTATCTCCTATATCCTTCCTAAGGAAAAGAAAAATAAAGCCATTAAAGCACAATATTCATAGTCTAAAATTTCAGAGAGGCGAAATAATTAACCATACAAAGGCACACGTTATGGAAAAATGGAACACATTTCTTCAACTTCTGGTAAATGCCATTTAGAGGAGTTAAATGACAATCCAGAGAAAGCCGTAAGTAAACACTGTGACAGGAGAATTGTGAAAAATTACTGCAAAGTGCTTGGGGAAGGGTCAGAGTACCAGGTGTATGTACAGGTACCTTCATCCTAACTGCTGGCACAGGCTGTCATTCTTTCCTTTCCAAAATTTTCCCAAACACTATAGATGTATAAAATGTGCTCTTTGTGGTCCTCCCACCCGAGACAGGATTTCTCTGTGCAGCCTTGGCTGTCCTGGAACCAAGCTCTGTAGACCAGGCTGGCCTTAGACACAGAGAGAGGGCCGCCTGCCTCTGCCTCCCAAGTGCTGGGGTTAAAGACCTGTGCCAGCACTGCCTGGGTACAATTTTTTCTTAAGCTAATTTGTAGTACTGGTCTTGGGGATTGAGTAAAAAGTTTTGGGGTGAAATGTTTGGCCCATTATTTTTATATCCATGATGTAACATCATATTTTTTTTTTTCTCAACTAATTTTTTTTTTCTTGAGATAGGGTTTCTCTGTGTAGCCTTGGCTGTCCTGGACTCGATTTGTAGACCAGCCAGGCCTCAAACTCATAGAGATCCACCAGCCTCTGCCTCCCTGAGGGCTGGGATCACAGATGTGCGCCACTACGGCCAGCTTCCAACTTAATTCTTTTTGTTTTCTGAACGGGAGATTTTTTACAAAATACATGTATCTCCATTACATGTTTTATTTAGAACTTTTTTCATCCATATGTAAATTAAAGCCCAGGTTTGCTGAGACCTGGCCGGAGTTACGGAGAGTAGTTTTTAGAATACTTTTCCCTAGAGGTCTTGGAATTGGGGAATGTTTTTGCCTTTGCATTGTTTTATGTACGGCTAGTCAAATGACAGAAGACAGATTTCCAGCATTTAATTTTTAGATTTTTAATTACATTTATTCCTTTATGGGGGGGGGGGGAAAGGCAGGCACCCACAGGTGCCCGCGTAGCCATCAGAGGACAACCTGCAGGAGGCAGTTCCCTCCTTCCACCATGTGGCTTCTGGGACTCAAGCTCAGGCTAACTCAGGCTTCAGACTTGGTGGCAAGGGCTCTTACCACTGAGCAAGTTGAGTTAAATCTATCAAAAGCCACGGTCGAAGCATACCAAACTATGAGTCTACTACTTCTAGATTCTCAAAGTATGGATGCTTCTTCAAAGAAGCAAATCTGGTTGCTACTGGTAAAATGGCATCGCAATAACTCCTTTAAATTTCACCATCAAAGTCTTTTCCCTCTTTCCGAAGTTCAAAATAATAATAATAATCCCAAGAGTATGGCAACAGTACACACTCACTCGTTGCAGTCCTAACCACTTCAGCACTACACAGACCCCCTTCCACAGCAAGACTGCCTGGCAGTACAGAGGCACACATCTACAAGGCCTCGAGCTACTCTTTTAAAAGCCATATTTAACCAAAGAGAAGTACTGTCAGCTGGACATTTTCCTGCCTGTATAGCGCAAAGACGGCTCTGACATATCTGGTAGCCTTACCCAATTACTAAACATAAGTCATTGTAATCCGGTGGATTGGGCCTTAATATTGAGAAACGGAAACCCAACCACTGACTTACACATTCCAATGTCAGGGGCTGGAGGGCGCTTGCTCTTGCGGAGGGACCGGGGTTCAAATCCCCAGCACCTGCATGGCATCTCACAACCATCTGCGACTCCAGTTCCAGGGGATGTGACAACTCTACTGCCCTCCTCAGGCACCAGGCACATATGTGACACGCATGCATGCATGTAGGCCAAACACTCATACACATCAAATAAAATAACTCTTAAAACAGGTTGCCTTGGCTCTATCACCCACTAGCTGTGTACAACGAACCAAGTTACCAGGTCCTACGTCTGTTTCATCATCTGCAGAATGGGGAAGATAATAATACCTCTCTCTATTGATCAAGAACAGGGAGAGAAAAAGGCTAATTATTATACACCACACGACAGGAAACCCCATGACAAAAGAAAGCACTTCTGGAATTGGGGTACTATATTGGCTGCCAACTTGAGGAGTACCCTTTTCTGGTTCAATTTTCAAAACATTTTCTGTAGTTTCACACAGTGCGACACAGATGCTCCTCCGGTCAGCGGACTTGCCATGTGCATCCGGCCAGCTGCTATCAGGGCCACTTACAAGCTAGGCTAGTTCCTAGCTAAACACAAATGCATTTACCATGTGGGCCTGTTTTCTCCTCTGACTGACTGACTGTATGAACACTTTCATTTACAGAGACCAGGAAACTCAGTCTAGCTTCCTGCCCTTATATTCAGGATGTGAGCCCCATCTAGTAGGTTTACAGAACACACTGGACTGAGGCCACAGAAGGCACCCACTGTGCGCCAAACACCAGTGTGTGGCTACCTAAGGCCTTTCCCCACACTCTCAAACTGAACACAATCGGAACGTTTAACTTATCTCTTCCCCTCTCTCCAGCATGGTCAATTTCAGGCTTATGGTCAGTGTTCAAAATGCCTCCCTCGTCAGGCTTTACCAGAGGAGCCACGGTGGAATCTGTACTGCCTGGCTCTCCAGAATGTGGGCCAAACACTGCTTGGGGTGGATGGGATTGTCGGTGGAGACATCCCATTTCATCTGATATCAAGTAGTAGAGCGACACACTCGCTAAAACACCCACCCCTCACCTGCACAGAACCTCCGTGCGTGCATGCGTTCAGAGCCTGCTCAGCACACAGGGTGATTATGCAAATCACTGCTGCACTAAGCAAAAATGTAAGTGATTTCTACAGGTTGGAAAACAAAATTAAATGAAGCAAAGAATATTTAACCTGAGCATATCAAAAAGTTTCAGATGCTGCTCTCAAGAATCAGGAGTGAGGATATGAAGAAGAAAAAAAAACAACCCACTTTCCTTTTCTATCATCACACGGTTGTTCTCTCATCTTCCCCAAAACACAATGTTTTCAGTTCTCATTTTTATTCTGCCTTAATCCCTAAAAGGAAACAAGAATTAAAATAAAAAGAGAAACGTGTCTTGGGCTGCAGTGTTGCCCACAAGAGCAAGAACAAGGCTCTGCTTGAGAAGTGGCCAACAGCCGCTCCTATCCCCGTCCCCTGTCCCCTGCACCTCCTGTCCCCCCCCCCCCCACCTCACCCCCAGCCTTCTCCAGCACACACGCTCAATGTACAGCCGGCATCCTACTGTGCAACAATGTCACTTTCTGTGAGTTCTAGCTCTGGAGCAGGGCTGGGGAAGGCCAACCCAGCACTGTGCCACCATTCTCTTTGCTCATTAATTACACTGGGAAATGGGACTGAAGAATGATGGGAACAAATGTAACTAACTACCTTCAAGGAAGAGCATGTACTAAAATGTCTTTTTTTTTTTTTTTAATTCTCCCTGAAAGATTGGCAGGGTGTCTATGAGCAAATACAGTTGTTTGTTTGTTTGTTTGTTTGTTTTTTAAGGGGGGAGACTTAAAAGTTTAATATTGACTTAAAAGATCCTTTCCATTATTTAGGCTTATTCTAATTGCCTATTAAACATGCCTGTAATCCAATGAGGTTGTGTCCTTCTATGAAATCAGATTTCTGCACAAGTTTTACAGGATCAACACGCCTGTCAGCACCAGGAATGTGTCGCTCTACTAGAAAGAAGTTATTTCCTTTCCTCTTTCATCCATGTCCTCTTTCATCCCCCTTGCCCACTTGGCCAGAAAACAATATCTGCCCCAACATTTTCATTTCTTACTAAGCATAACAACTGCGCCATTCAGAAGATATAAAATCAAGTCCCTCTGTTGATAGGATGTGATAAGGCAGGAATAAGCAAAGAAGTGAATAATTAAGAAGGGCACCCCTTCTGTGGAAATGGCCCAGAGAACGCAGGCACAATTAGGTTCAGCAGACATGAAGCATTAGTTACATGCATGTTCTCGGATAACATAAACTTCATCCTTCGCCTTTCACTGCTTCATTCATCCCACTACTTGAACCTTGGATGGAAAGGTTTCTCATATAAGGAATCCACATCCCACCTTCCTTCATGCTGTGGAATGTTTTCCTGCTGAGTCAAGGTCATTTAAAAGCTAGTAATGCCTTTGGAGGCCTATGACCCCAAGACAGGCTTCATGTACCATGGATTATGGTCATATGACAAAATCCCACAATATTGCCTTTTGGGAATTTCACTTGGTTCCCTCTTCTCTGCCCAGCTGCCAGTTCTCTTGATGCAACCAGCTGGCCTCTGCGTAAAACCTGGTTGTTAAAACCACTCATGCACTAAGACGTGGGAAATAGAGATGACCAATTCTGCTAACAGTGTCCAGAGTAAGACTGAAAAGGATCCGTGACAGGAAGCCATGGTCTTCACTCTTTATGCACAAGAGGAAAGAGCTGAGGCACCCATACACTCTGCAGATGCTTTTGCTGGTCAGGAAGGTAGCCTCTGGGGGAAATCGTCATGCGTATGAGCGTTCATGTCACAACTGCTGGCATCTGGATCTGAATGCCCTCCATGAAGCAGAGATGGCGTATGCCAAGAACGTTCTGGAACAAGGGCAAGCAAGCAGCTTCCCAGTGAGCTTGAGCTACAGACACACAAATGTTTTCCGTCTATTTGGCCAAATTCTCCAGAGCTTTAGTTTTACAGTTTAAAAATCAACTTGTCCTCCCTGCATGGAGTTTGGGGTGCCCTTTACTGTGTTATACTGTTGGTCCCACAGGCTCCTCCATCTATTAGAAGGCTCCCTGTTAGCCACACAGAAATCTGGGTATGAAATATTTTTTTTTCTTTAAAAGCTCAACTGCTAAGCTGATAGTGATGGCACACTGGAGCATGCCTGTTAACCCAGAACTTAGACAGAGAAAGACAGAATGCTACAGGTGCAAGGCTACTCAGGGCTTCAAAGGAAGAACTTGTCTTAAAATTCTCTCTCTCTCTCTCTCTCTCTCTCTCACACACACACACACACATACACAAAAAGGAGAAAAGAAAAAAAAACACATTGCTATATTCTAAATGTCTGGGTCTCCCCCAAATTCCTATGTGGAATCCAGATCCCCAAGCAGACGGTATTAGGAGGTAGAGGAAATTAAGCCATGACGGAACGCTCTCGGGAATGAGATCAGTGACCATGTGAGGGGCCACAGAGAGTGTTCGCACCCCTTACGTGTGGGAGGGTAGAGTACAAGTGTGTTCTATGAACCGGAGAGCAGGGGCTCACCACATGCCAAAGCTCTGCTGACATCCTAATGCTGGAAGTCCCACGCCTTCAGAACGATGAGACACCAGTTTCTGTTGCTTTTGTTTTGGGCTTTAGTTTTATTATGATCTACAGTCTCAGGCAATCTAAGCTGGGATTCAAACTCACTATAGAGCTGAGGATGACAGTGACCTTTTGACCCTCCTACATCTACCTCCCAAGTGCTGGGATTAGACAGCTGTATGCCACAGCTGGTTTAAAACACCCATTACAAAATACTTATTTTTGTGTGTGTATGTGTGAAGTGTGCATGTGTGTGAGCATGTGGAGGTCAGAAGGAAACATGGGTATCCTGTTCTATCATTCTGTGCCTCATTCTCTTGAGACCTCCAAGTGAACGCAGAGCTTGGCTGGTGGCCAGCCAATGATCTTCCTGTCTCTCTATCAGTCTCCTACAGCTCCCAGATTAGAGGTGCACACAACCACACCTGATTTTTACATGGGCTCCAGGGACTTGAACTTAGGTCTTCCTGCTTGCACAGCAAGCACTCTTAACCATACAGCCATCTCCCTGGTGAAGAAACTCATTGCTAATGCCAAATCTACAACAACAAAAGTTCATCTGCCTGATATCGCTGTTTGAAGTTTATCAGAAAAGAAGCACAAATTCAAAACTTAAAATATTTAAAAAGAAAACCAAAAATACCAATCGGAATCCTTTCTCCTGACCCAAGCTCCTAAACCCAGGACGAATATCCCAGATTCACTGCTCTCACAGTGATTAGCCTGTTAGTTTGTCCAAGTGAGGGGAAGCCATTCATAGGAGATGCTATCAGTGTCTGGGGAGCATTACACTTGCAATCCAAAGCCCTCAGAGCTAAAGCATAAGCTGTTTTCACAGTTCTTTCTTAAAACTTGGTTGATTGATTGGTTGATTGACGATTGATTAGGGAAGGAGGTCGCCTGTGACACAGAAGGCATGTGCTTTATGGAGTCATTTCTCTCCTCCTTTTATGTAGGTCCTAGGGATGGAACTTGTGGTCCATCAGGCTTGTGGGATAACCATCTTTACCACGAGCTATCTTGAGATACAACTTTCAAAGATAAGCACTCTAAAGCCCCTTGTACCTGTGAGTTTCTAGCAACATGAAAAAGCCATGTCTCCAAAAGGCCACACAAAGGACTACATCAACACCACCTATTATGTAATCATAGCTTCTGATTCTTATCTCAGGGAGTGCAAGAAAAAGGCCATGTGGATCTGTTACCCCGCTACGAATAAATGTTTCTATCATGCAAAGCCTTTTGCAACAACAATAATAATAATGAAGATATGATAGTCAGGTTTCCATATCTGTGAGTCCCAACTCTGTGAATTCAATTAACCATAGAGAGGAAACACTCAGGGAAAAAATGCAGCTGCACTGAGTGGGTATGGACTCCTTTTTCTTGTCATTATTCTCTAAACAATACAGTGCATCGACTATTCTGATAGCATTCACGTTATAGTCAATATTTCTCCTAAACAATCTGAAGATGATAAAGTACACAGAAAGGACATGCATAGCTTAAATGCAAATGTAATACCACATTTCATATAAGGGACTTGAACATAACGGATCTTGGTATCCACTGGGGTCCAAGAAGCAATCTGCTTCCGACACCAAGGATGACTGTAATTTGAAAGATAATCACACCTGGGAGATCCACTTTATATTCTCATGCCAGAAACGGCATTGTGGCCGCTGAGAAATTGGGAAGCAACTTCCTTCTGAATGGTGAGAATTAGATACATGACCCCATCTCCTTGTGGCTCTGTCAGAACACTCAAGTCCTATTTGAAGCTCAGCCATTGCAACTGTAGGGGGCTATTGTGGCCTCCTCTATACCCCTGACCTGGATCCTTGCTTCTTTCAAAAAATTTCCCACATTTCTGCTTCTTTATTATATATATATATATATATATATATATATATATATATATATATATATTTTACAACAAGACTCACCAAATACACAAATGTTATATTGTGTATAACAGAAAAAGTAAGAAATAAATAAATCAACAAATACTGAAAGACTCAGTTGGGGGCCAATTTGAGCAGGGAGTTCTATAGCTAGATGCAAAGAATGCAGGGGTTCCTAACCTGGAGTATACTGATGGGCTTCCAGACAACCTTGTACCTCCTAAAAGAGAATGCAAGATCATGGGAGAATGTGCTTATGTGCTTTTGCCCTAGGTTCCCAGCTTTCAGGAGGGTCTCCGATAAGAAACACTGCTCTAGGATTCTTTAGAGCAGGAACCAGGAATCTCAGCCAATTTCAATAGAACAAGAAACGGTATGGAAAAGGGTTCCATCCGCCCCTGGCTTCTACAGCCTAGCGCTTCTGTGTGCGAGAGGCTGCTTATCCAAGCTGGACCAGAGTGCTATTCATTTGGTTGTGTATTAACCTACCAGATGGTCTATTGTAGCTAACAAGGGCTGGCTGCTGCTGCTGGGGCTGCGGCTGTGCCTGCTGCTGAGGCGGCTGGGGCTGCTGTTGTTGCTGCTGAGGCTGCTGCTGCTGCTGTTGCTGCTGCTGCTGCTGTTGCTGCTGCTGCATGCCAGGTAAGGTCCTTTTCCCCTGGACTGCAAGCTGCAGTGTTTCAGGGAGGGGCTGGCCCCTGGCCAGCATTTTATAAGCTAAAATCTGAGCTCGAAGCTGGTGCAGCTGGACAGGACTGAAAGGCGAGGGACCTCTGTTCGGCTGGTTCATGGCCTGCAGATCTCCAGGGATGAGTGGCCCCGGCTGGCTTGGTGGCATCTGGGGTGGTGTTGGACCTCCTCCAGATATAGGGCTGGAGACATGCTCTGGGGCTCCCAGAGGAGATGGATGTGGTGATATATAACCTAAAATAAAACACAAGATCAAAGCTGCAGCAGATGACCCTGAGAGAGAGAAGTAGTCTTGATTACACTAATAATTTTCTAGTGCAACACTGCATGATAGAAATTTAAGATAGCAATACATTAACAATTGCATATAATTTGGACATTTAGTCCATAACATAGTTTTTAATCTATAATTTAAAACTATCTAGTTGGTACATTAGAAAGATCAAAGAAACAAGTAAAGGTAATTTTATAACAGTTTATTTAACACCCACAAGATTAGTATTTCAAAAAAGAGCTATTTTGTATTCTTTTTTTTTTTTCCTCCATCATAGGTGTCTGCCATCCGGTATTTCATGCTCACAGAATATCTCAGTTTCTCTATCTACATCTCAAATGATCAATAGCCACTTGTAGCCTAGAAGGCAAACTGTTAGTGGTTGTTATACACCTGCGGGAACAACGAGGAAGGGCAGTATTCTACATTAGAAGTAGATCCAAGCTGCTCCACAAAACAGGAAGAGGTCTAACGTGGCTCCGTGCAGAATAAACAGGACTTTATGAAGAAATCAAGTAGTGTTTGGTTGATTATCATGCAAGCTGTGACTAACTGGCAATTACCGAGGGCCTAATGCTGCAGTCCCTGTACAGCGACTGCACGCAGCATCTCAACTGGGTCTGTCCAGAAACAGGCTGAAACAAGGACTGAGCATAGGTGATTTATAGGGGAGATGCAGGGGCACCGAGAGGACTATGGAGGGGTGATATATGGGAGGGAAGGTGGCCAATAAAAAAATGCATTACCAAGCCAGCTGTTGCAGCAGAATTAATCCACTGCAGAAGCTTTGGGATACAAGATAAATAAACTGCCTACAATTATTCCGGGGAAGGGATGAAGAAGCTGGGGTATTTAGACTCCTGCACTATCAGCCACTGGTTTAATCACTAGCTGTCACTAAATTTCCTAAGGGTCATCTGTGCTCAGAGGACTATTCTACTGTAGGCAAGGCAGCTGTCACCAGGCAAGAGTGAGCCCAGGTGACGTCGCCAGCCAATGCACATCAGGCAGGTACAGGCGCAGAAATGGCAGAAAACAGGAGTACTTAAAGGAAAGCATACCCTGCTGTATCAATCCTCAGGCCAGCCCTCTGAAGGCACACTGTTACCTCACATTCTAAGGTAAGGCTGTGGCGTCTCAGAGAGTGAGTTACTCACTCTCACACAAGGAAATCTTCACAGCTCAGGTTTTAAAGCAAGTCTGTCTGGCTCTAATGCATACACCCAATAATTTCTAAGGTACATTTTATTATGTCAAAATATGTCAAGTTATTTAAATTTTCAAAAATCTCCAGGCAAAACACTTAGGATATCACATAAAAATGGGTGGGTTTTAAAATGCCAACATGAGGAGATAAAGAATGTTTTTTTTTTCTGAAGGGGGAGAAAAGAACCCTCAAAACACACAGAACTTTCAAGGGGATTATTTCAGAAGGTGGTATATCCACAACATACGGCAGAGAGGGAAATCCAAGATGGAGAGAGGAACGGAGTGGCTTTTGCAATCAAACAGCTGCCTAAGTTCAAACAAAGTAGCAATTTTAATAAAGGGAAAGGAGTCCCTAGGCAGGACAGGACAAACGCAGGGGAAAAGAGCTGATCCTGTAATGAGTATGTGTATTTGACAGTTATCATAAAGGTCACCACAAGCTGTGGGTCTGAACCCATGTGAAGTCTCAACAAAAGTGCTGCACAGCCCCAGAGGTCCACAGGTGGGTGGCCCCTGAAGACCACCACCATTCTGAAGCCTGGAGAAAATAAATGATAGTTACTTCCACCTGTGGTTTTGCCATTTGGAGAGAGAAAACAAATGTAACATGATCCCCTGATTAAGAACTGGTGTACTTCTATTAATTACTAAGAACTGAAACACCGTGTGTGGAACCCCTAACCTGGATGGGGACTGCTATAGGTCTCAATACCCAAATCCCTACTTCATGGGGGAGCATACAACACCAGGATTGGGGATCTAGTCAATTGTCTATGTAAGTGAGGCAAGGAAAAATCCCTGAAGTCAGCCTGTTAAACTAGCATAAATATTCCAACACGTTCTTATTTATAACACTAGGTAGGGCATCAATAAGATACTGAACTTTTGCCTTTAGTAGTTTTCCTTGTTAATAAAGCTGATAGTCACCCTTTAATTGTAAGCTTGTACAAAATGGCTATTTGTTTATTAATGCCTCTCTTACCAATGCTGAGTCTACAACAAAAAGAAAGAACTCACATTTTCATAATAGGAAGGTATGACAAAGGGGGTTAAGATAAGTCACGAGTCTCCCGCTGTCAAGTGTAACTTCACCCACACGTCACAGAAAGCCTGATACAATGGTCTAAAATCCTGGATAAACTCAACTACACGTAACACAGCTTATCAAACGCTTCTTGTAAATCATGAAAAAGGCTTTGCTATGAGGTTGGGCTAAGAGCAAGAATATGTTACAAAGATGAGACAGTAGCACCAAAGAGATGAACTCAAAACTCTGAAAGCAAAACAAAATACCTCCAACCGACAGTTGCAGAATGTACTCCAAAGGCCTATGTGTTAGATGCAAGTTTGAGCCTCAGCTTGATACAACTGGGGACTAGTAAAACTTTGAAGATATGGTGTCCCCTGGAAGAAGCTAAAAATTAGGGTGTGCTACTGGAGGGGATATTAGGACCCCAACTCCTTCCTGTCTATCTATGTTCTCTGCTTCTGGGGTGCCGGTAGGTGAGCAGGCCTCCCCACCCTCCGCTCTTTTTATCAGGTACTTCGCCTTCTCAGGCCTAAGTTCACAGGTAGACTGAAACATTTGTAATAGAACCAAAATAAACTTTCCTTCTTTCTGGTGGCTTGCCTGGAATATTTTGTTAACAATAATACAAAGCTGACTAACATACCTGTCCACTAAGAAATCAATGCAGGAAAATATTCATAAGTTTGACAGGAAGGAAACTGACAGAATAAAATTCACACTGCAGGATGAATCAACATAGTAAGGAATTTTACGTCAAATTTGATAAAAAAAGAAGAAGAAGAAGCTGGGGGGTAGGAAGAAATTATTTCCCCAAATTTAAAGAAGATGTTAAAAGAATCATCCTGTCACTGTGACATTAAAAATGTGATAGTGGCTCAGCTACAGAAAGGGATTTTTTTTTTCTACATGAGTAGCATACCATAAAACTTGAGGAAAAACAGAATCTAAATGATGCATCGGCATAACATATTTTGGTAATTATCCTTAGTGGAGAAAACAGAGAAGAAATTGCCTCCGAGTGAATATACATTTGTGTGAAGATGACAATGTCGATGCACACAGCACTCTTTTGGAAGTTTTCTTTGATTTACTCATCCAAAAGGGTCACAAAATGCCAGTTTTCCATCACTGGTCTTCAAGAATCATTATCTCCCCAGTTTCACCTTGCCTTGGAGAGAAGCAATAAGCTGTCTCTTTCCTATTAATAATCGCAATTTTTAAGTACCAATTTTATAAGCACTTTCTTACATAAATAATATAAACATATTATACATATATATACATCTATATATATTTATACACACTATATATATACATATATACCTATAAAAAACCTTCTCGATCCACTATGTTAAAAATAATGTTACTATTAGGACCATGAGGTACACAAGTATTTACTGAGGGAAATGGTTTTGCCTTCCAAGCAATACCCTAAAGTCCCTTAGTATGTTCTGAATTAGTTAAAGCTGGCAGCCTTCTGATCAATACGGAACCTCTCTATAGTTGTGTGTTTAGAAAGAGGTTTCCACAATGGGATTTTTAAGATACAGACTATTACCAAGTCAAAATTCTTTTCAGAGCGCTACATGGATTAGAAATGCATTATAACAACACTGCTTTATTTTTTAAAAAAGAACTTTTAAATAATTCACTTCTCAGTCTACAGTATAGTTTACTATTTTATGGAATAATATTATATGCTGGTTCTCACTTCACTGACTGAAGGCCCTCCCATTTCCAAGTAATTAAAACTGATGTACTTCAGATAAACATAGATCTATTTTTAAATGTTGGCTGTTGAGTGTATGATTTGCCTCTGTATCTGATGGAACAGTTTACTGAGTGTGCATAGAATCTTACACTAGCTATCCTGCCAAGCAGAATAATCCATAGGTAAATAAATTATTCCTAAAGTGAGAAGGGAAGTCAAGCTATCAGGATTTTTAGGAGAAATAAATGTGAAACTGTTCTCAATGATAACATTCAGGTGTCTTCATTTGTTTGTTCAGGGGCTTACACATTGTCATTGCTAGAGGTATGGCAATGCAAGGAGCAGAAAAAGTTGAAGCATCTGACTTTAGGAGTTACTGCATGTAATTATGTAATTCATCCATACCTTCCAGGTACTAAAACTGAGGTCTCATTATCACTATGAGCACACATGGCACCCTAGAATTTAAATGATGAACCTAGAGGTGCCACTACCATTCATTCTCGGTCAAACTTCTCTCTAGCCTGCAAAATGCCTCAATCTTTCGAGTGTTTTTCTACAAGGTCAAGATTTCATGAGTCATCTGTGATAATTATGCTTGCCTACTACCAAGACTCCGATCAGACCCTGAGATGTTCAAGACTGCAGACAACAGCAAAGGGAGATGCTAATGTCAGCCTCCGTGACCTGCGTATTTATATTTCAGGAAGAAAACAACCATGAACATGTCTCTGTAAATCCTTACAGCGAAGTCTTTTCCATGGCGGATCCCATTGTAAAAGGAGGGAAAACTGAAGCACTCTTAATTACAGGAAGGTCTGTATGACATACAAACCACAGGGGTCCTGGAAGAAGGGCCACATTCCAGGGTCAGTTGGCACCAGACTAATGCACGTCCTTCATGGGCAAAAATAACCAAGTGGCGATTCTGAAATCAGGCTACAGTATATTTTAATGACTCTGAAGCAGCTAACATCTCTTCAATAGCAAAGGGAGGAAATATGACATGGATGCCATAAAGGAGTAAAGGAATTCACATATTGATTAGCTATGGTCAGGGGTCAAACTGTGTGTGTTGCTACCCACAGAAAAATACTGGCATCCTACCCTCTGTACACGTGAATGCTACCTCTTTTGGAAATAGGGTTGATGCAGGTATCACCAAATTAAAGTGAAATCATACTAGATTAGGGTCCACCTTGATCCAAATATCAAAGATGAAGAGCTGGATACAGAGACAGACAGTGAAAATGCCTTATGGTGACAAAGGTGGAAACTAGAGTGTTTACTGTATAAGTCTAGGAATGCCAAGGTTTACTGGCAACCACCAGAAAGTGGTAGGACTTTTCTGTGAAACCTTAAGAGACACCAGTCTCTCTTGACACCATGGCCATGAACTTTTAGCCTGCAGATCAGCAAAAGGATAAATTAGTTTCAGGCCACTAGGTTCATACTTACTTGCTACAGCAAGCCTAGGAGGCCTAAGAGTCACTGACCAGCAATGGCAGGTGGTTTTGCTGCCAGAAAAATGTCACTTTTGACCCAGGGAGTAAGCATCAATTCAAGAGATACTGGTGTTTGCTTCATCTTACTTTTGTATCTATGCTATTGGCGACAGAGATATCTAGATTCCTCGTTAACACTCAGCAATTACGAGCTATGTATACTCAGAGAAATAAGAAAAATCTCTAAACTTTAGGTTCCCCAAATTATCACAATAAAAAATTCCTAATAAATGACACGAAGCTCTGTGAAACAAAGGTGGATGCATTGAGTTGATAAAATTACTACAAATGTGGAAATAAAATTACCCAGATGAATAATAATATCTTTGGGTAAAGAGGGTGACATATTTCTATAGAGAAAAAAAGCTAACTGGATTTAAGTATCTTTAGACATGCACGTTACAGCTGTTATTAATTTACCATCAGGAAAGACTGATGTTTCTTTGGTATGGTAATAAAGACAAAATTAAATGTGCAGAGGACACAAACCTTGGCTGTGCTGATCCATTGGGCTCTGTGGAGGACCCATTCCTGGGTGTGGTGGACGCATGCTGGTGCCCTTCATGGATCCACAGTGGACATCTTCTACAATCCCCTTGTCATGTATCCCATCCATGGGCTGAAACATGGAAAGGGAACCCATTAGATACCTCTTTAAGGTTCAGTATTTCTAACAAGACTATCCATCAAGAGCTATCCCCAAAGTCCTTAAAGATATGACACAACCATTTACTATCCAGTCTCTAGTCCGATGTTTTTATACTTCCTGAGTGAAAACAGTAGGAAGGAAGATACAATAGGATCAGCAAAAACCATCTCTAAATCAAATAAGTCTCTAAAAACTGTTGAATTTCATTCTCTGGCCAATATCACAAGCTGCCAATTAAAAAATAAAAAACGATGTACTGTTCACAGGGTAAACAAATGGTACTCTCTCATACCTCTGTAAATGGTCCTGAAACCCGTCACATATTGAACTTATTCTGGAGTCCAAGTGAAGGCTATGTGAAATGTCTGAGGTGACCTATTTTCCCGGTGATTTTTCCTCACTGGAGGAATGAACTAAGGAAAGTTAAAAAGTTGAACCAGAAGGTTCCATGGCAGTTGGGAAGAGAAGAACATAAGGGGCAGAGAAGCGAAGGGGGTTGAGTACTGAAAGGGAGAAAGTCAAAAGCAGAGACAGATGATGCAGAGGGCAGGAGACCAGAGGGAGCTAAAGGCACAAGCTTAGAAACAAATAATAAGCACAAGGGCTGGACATCGGACCTGAGGCCCAGAGCGTGACAGGCATACAATAAACAGCTATTGAACTGATGCTAATCCAATCCAGAATCAGGCGATGGAGCACGTGTTCGGGAAAGGAAAGTCTATTCTTCCCCAAACTGTGATAGCAATTTTCAAAACAGCCTGAAAGGAACATTTCCAAGAGTTTATAAAAACCAAATGACTTCAAGCAAGAAAGTATGAGTGTTTGCAGTTTTGGAGAAAAGAAAGTTAATTTCTGCAGAGTCAAAAGCATGCACTTGAAAAGAGGGAAATTTTACCATAAAGAGGATGCTCAGAAGAAAAATGGGAAGAATCTGGTATAAAGAGTGTCACTGAGTCTGTTAAGTAGTAATAATAGAGAGGAAATCAAAGCTATGCAGCAGATGTATTTAGGCCATTTGTTTACTTATTTTCAGTGATGTTGAAAAGTGAAAAGCTGGAGCTCAGAGGGAGATGGAGAAGGAAGACAAGAAACACAGCCGCTTGAGAGAGAGCGAAGAAAGTGGAGGCATCTGGCCAGCAGGTGTGAGCTCTGAGGGTTCACCCAAGTCCTCACACAGAGAGCTATCTGAGGGGCTACAAGGGAGGGAGAGCGGGATGGCAAGATCTGCAAGGCTCAGAATGAAAAACTGCAAAGGTTACTCACAGGTATGAGAAACACCAAACAAAAAGGAGTACCCTTAAGTGTAGCGACTACGAAAGAGAGAAGTAAAGATTGTAGGAAAAAAAGCCATGGGTCAGAAAAGAAAACAATAAAACTGCCCAAAAGAAAAGCAGGACAGGACCAACCCTCACCCCCACACCTAACTTTTAAATGCCTCAATCAGAAAAGATTAACTAAGTATGTCCTCCGCATTTTTCCCTCAGGTCATCCTGAGGTTCTGTATCACAGAGTCTACAAGAGCAGAAGCAGATCTAGAGTACATCTCCAGGTTAACACAACATGAGATGATTCAATGACTTCTGTATGACATCTTGACATGATATGCTATGGAAAAAAGGAGCTTTAGTTTTGTAGATATTTGACAAGATCAACAGGCACTGAGGCACAGAGAAGGAAGGAGGACAGGAGTTCAAGGCCATTCTGGGCTACACAGTGATGCCAAGGCCAGCAAGACGTACATGAGACTCTATCTAAAGCAAACAAGGAAAAGGGGTGGGGAGATACAAACTTGGGGATACTGCAGAAATACATTATCAAATAAAAAGAGGATGTTTCAGAGTAATAAATAGAGATGGTATGTCTCTGTGATGAGAAAAAATAAAAAAATACCCCTGACTGCATAACTGTGCTGGCACTGTACTTTTACCAAATACTGTGGGGGCTAGGGAGCCATGGGACTAGGGGAAGCTGACCCTCCAGATCCAAAACCGAGGAAATCTCTTCCTGAGATCTCCCACTCTGCCCCAGGCCAGTAAGTCCCAGCACACACAGACCTGCGTCCCCCCCCCACCAACTGTCCCACACACCCCCAAACACACACCACAGGTCATGTAGCCTGGCAGCCAGGTAAAACTTCCTCTCCCCTTATAAGGGCATGACTGGCAGTCTGGCAGCATCTGGAACTTCTCCTTATGCAAATGAGGAATGCCCATTGCCCTGGCCCCTGCCAAAGAAAAAGATGTACACTCACCCCAAAAGCCCCTACCCACCCCCAAAGGTTTAAGTAGCCTTTGTTCCCCCAACTAAAAGGTCACAGCTGAGATCTCTCCCATTCTCAGCAATTCCTGACTCACTTCCCCATCTCAGGATCCACTGGTTGAGATGGAGGGCTGGGGAAGCAGACCTTGAACAGCAGAATATGGGAAAGACAAGATGTGGAATGCATGTATACTTGTTTCCTTGGGTAATCATCCCATTTATCTTGGTACTAATCCACTTTTCACGATAAGCATACCACTGTCTTGATTTGGAAATCATCATGAGAGACAGAAAGGGGGTGGATCCAGAAGGGAGAGAGGTGAAAAGAAGGAACTTGGAGGAGTAGAGGTAGGAGAAACCGGGTTATATTTTGTGAGGAAAAAAAAAATCTATTTTCTTTGTTTTAAAATAATTTTTAATTTTTTATATTAATCACAGGTTATTTACTTTGTATCCCAGCCATAGCCCCCTCCCTCATTCCCTCCCAATCCCACCCTCCCTCCCTCATCTCCTCCTTGCCCCTCTCTAAGTCCACTGATAGGGGAGGTCCTCCTCCTCTTTCATCTGACCCTAGTTTATCAGGTCTCATCAGGACTGGCTGCAATGTCCTCCTCTGTGGCCTAGCAAGGCTGCTCCTCTCTCGGGGGGGTGGGGGGGGTGTCAAAGAGCCAGCCACTGAGTTCATGTCAGAGACAGTCCCTGTTCCCCTTAATAGGGAACTCACTTGGACACTGAGCTGCCATGGGCTAAGTCTGAGCAGGGGTTCTAGGTTATATCCATGCATGGTCCTTGGTTGGAGAGTCAGTTTCAGAAATGAACCCTGTGCCCAGATATATTTGGTCCTTATGGTGCTCCTGTCCTCTCCAGGTCTTACTAACCCCCCTTCTTTCATATGATTCCCTGTACTCTGCCCAGGGTTTGGTTATGAGTCTCAGTATCTGCTTTGATGCACTACTAGGTAGTCTTTCAGAGGCCCTCTATGGGTAGGCTCCTGTCTTGTTCCTTGTTTTCTCCTACGTCCAATGTCTATTCTAACCTAGGCTGAGAGTTGACCTCCTGACCTTGACTAGGGCTTACAAGACTGACTTCTCTGATTCCCAGGCCTCTGGACTTGGATGGGAACTAAAGCCCTGGTTCCCCTGGGTTTCCATCCTGCTAACTCCAAACTGTGTGACTTCTCAGCCTCGAGAATCCCATAAACTAATTCCTCAGGATAAATCTCCTTATATCTCATTGGGTCTGTTTCTCCAAAGAACCTGGATGTAGCCACTGCATGTACCAGGGACAGCCCCACTAGCGATAACATCTACAGGGGCTTTCACCTGCACTTGTCTTGTGAGGCAAAGACCTTCGAGTAACACATGATGCCCTCTTTGGTTTTCTTTGATTCCGGCTAACCCTCAAAGCAAACAGTCAAAGAGGAGCTTTCTTCTGAAAGGCTGTCCTTAGCATCTCCTAGAAGGGCTCACTGCCAAATGGTACCCATGTGATCACCCTCACAGCAAATATCAAAGTCTCATACATAAAGGATCACTAGACAACAAGCAGGTCTTCTGAACTGAAGTAAGACTGCTCACTGCACAGGAACAGAGAATTCCCAAGATTCCCCACTGCAAGTCAAGCACCACAATGGAGACTGAGCAAGATTGCTGGGGCTCTCAGGCCAGCCCAAACTCTCTAAGCATCTCAACAAACCCATAAGGGAAGAATTCCCCAGAAGCTATTTAATTTTAATAAAGTCGCGAAAATATACTTTCTAAAAATGTATTTATTTGTCTATTTTCTCATTTATTTGTGTGTGCACGTGCACATGCTCACGACATATATGTGACACATGTGGGGTGCCTGTGGAGTCCTTTTCTGGACTTTTCAGGTCACTGGAGCTGCAGTTACAGGTAAGTGTGAGCTGCCCAATGTCAGTACTGCAAGTGCTGTTAACTGTTTAACTCTCTCTCTCTCCAGGCCCTGAAGTATCTTCAGAAAAAAAAAAAAAAAAAAAAAAAGATATTCCCTTTTACTCTTAAAGATCTAGTTTTATCAAATACATTTCAACATTTTTAGGGAAGCATAATCTTCACTATATTGATTTGTAGGTGATATAAATTACATGAGAGATGAGAGGAAAGTCTTATTTACTAATGCATTCGTTCACCAAGACAAAATGCCTTTAACCTGCTAATCCCCAAGCCTGTTCAAACTGAAAGGTGGACCTTTGTATTTTAAAGGAACATCTTTATTACTGGGCCGTCTGTAACAGTGAAAATATGGCAATAGAAGTGTGTTTTACATTACTTTGGGGATGGTTTTTGTTTCAGATTTGGCTTAGTTTTGGTTTGTTTTTGTTTTTTGAGACAGAATTTCCTTACATAGTCCAGGTTGGCAGCAAATGCATGATCCTCTTGCTTCAAGCTCCCAAGTACTGGGATTACAGGAATGTTTTTAATAACATGCAAATTAAGACAAATTTCTAGTGAGGTCCACATGTTAACAACAGGAGAAAGTTAGGGGAGTCGTCAGGAACACTACCCAGCCATGCTTGGGAAGACGGGTCAGGTGGGAGACAGTGCACAAAATCTTACCTTATGCAGTTGATGCATGCCTTCCTGCGGGAAGTCTGCTGAGCCGATTGTTGACATAGGGTGTGAGACACTGGGGGGTCCAGGACTGGGCCCCATCATGCTGTGCACAGAACCTGGGGATGGTCCTGGTCCTGGACTGGGCCCCAGAATTGGTCCAGGAGAGGGTCCAGGCCCTGGAGAGGGCCCAGGATGGGGCATTGCAGCTGGGTCTGTCGGTGTGGACATCTACTTCTCCCGGCCCTGCCAGTCAGCAGAGTGACACTAAGTTGGAAAGGAGGAAAAAAGGAAAGAAAAGAAGGAATGTTTTAAACATAACATTAAGATCCAAATAAAACAGTTGTTAGAATTTGATGGTACCATTTCTGTAACTAACATCAAACAGAACAGGGCTGTCTCCTCCAGATGTTTGAATGAATGTGATATATAACCCTGGGCTCCAGTCTTTATGAAGACCACTTGTTCTAAAAAACACATACTAAGTGATTCCCCCAATGATAAATCATCCCAGATACAGAGAGAATCACTGGAGCAACTGAAATTTAACACATAAGCAAAATCTAAACAAGCCTGAAATTTATTACTAAACACAACAGAAACTCTCCATTATAGACTGGCTTAGACATCTCAGAAGTCACTAAGCCCCTAGTCCTGAAACCACTGGAATAGAAAATCCTTTACAAGTAAGGATCCAAACAACAACCTTTTTTATAAGCCAACAGGCTAGTTCACAAAGAAGTCTAGATGGCTAACGGGGGAGAAGAGAAGTCCGTCAAATAATAATAAAAAGAGAAGTCCCAATTATAGAAAAGGAAGAAAGCCAGCATTTGCGGTGATACACTTTTAATCCCAGCACTTGGAAGGCAGAGGAAGGAGGATCTCTGTGAGTTTGAGGCCAGCCTGGTTGACAGAACAAGTTCCAGGACAGCCAGGACTACACAGAGAAACCCTGTCTCGGAAAACAAAACAACAACAAAAGAAGAAGAAAGAAGCTATAAGGAACCATACAAATATGTATTCAAATATACTTAGATACAATTACTAGGTGAGTTCTTATCTTGGTACTTAAGAGTCGGTTAACAATAATTGTAAAAAACAAAAACAAAACAAACAAACAAAAAAAACACAACAAAATCCAAAATTACTGCACAGCCTTATCTACCTATCACATCTACTGAGCCTGAAGTAATCAAAATGGACAAAGCTATGGTCCTCCTCCCTGGTAAGTAACAGAACCAAAACCACTTAGACTATTAAGGCCCATGATTTGTGTTATGCCCCTGGTCAAGGATGCCAGGGTGTAGCTGTCTGTGTCTGGGAGTGGACATTCTGTTTCTCCAGACTTAACAGAACAGTCCTCCATAACCCAGCCTCCAAGCCTTCCTGTCAATTCCCCCACTAGGTAATGATGGACTGACAGAGTCAGTACTTCCGGTAAGAAGTCAAAATGAGTAAGTAAGATGTTCTCCAAATTCCAGTAAGATCACGATCCCAGCAACATGGCTGAATGCCTCTATGACAATAATTGTTATGTGGTCAGGTGCTGTCCTGTAGGCACACATGCACCCAAGGAAACACTGTTGCTGTCAACATCACAAAACACAGAATGGCTCCCCTCTCAGTGACTCGCTTTCTTACCCTGTGATGGCAGAGATCCAGTAAGACTAGCAGCCTAGTCATCCAGAACAGAACTCCTTCACAGGGAAGTGGGAGGTGAAGGAAGGGAAAGTCCAAAGTGCCACATCAGCTCCACTTCTGTTCCCTTCGTGAATCTCTAGAGAGCACGGCCCATGATGGCAAAGCATTGCTCTTCACTCCCATGTTCCCAACACCTTCCAGCTGCATGCACTGCGGACCCAGAAAACACCCGATGATAGGCATGACAGATAGAAGCAGCTGGGAGACCGAGGAAGGATCACTGAGAATTCTAGGCCAGCCTGGGCTACAGTGAGGCTTTGTCACAAAACAAACACAAACAAAACCTCAGTGAATAAACAGCAGGCAAGATTTCAAGGGCCAGCAGATTCAGTTAATTTTGTGTATAAAAACTAAAGAGTTGGAGCTGTCTAAGGTATGTAAATAAATAAAGGATAAGCAGAATCATAGGCCACTCTGGTGAATAAACTGAAGTTTAAATGGGAACCCAATACAGTGCTTCTTCAAACAGAGAAGGAAGGGTTTGGGGTGAATTATAACCTTAAATACCCTGAGAAGCAAGTGTCATTGTTGCTGTTGGTATTTGTTGTTGGTATTTGTCTGCGATGAACAAAGCAGGTAGAAGTAACTTCTGCGTTTGCCTTCCACCTACCTCTCACATAAACACAAACATGTTCTGTCAGCATATTAAACTTAGGAAGCTGACGTCAATTTACGGACACTACAAGTTATAATGTTCTGCCGTGTGTATCAACAAACTGATACACCCCTTTATTTTTCAGTGAATTAGAGGAAATTACTTAGTTCCTGTTATGGTTTGTTGCGAAATCAGCTTCAATAGGTATTTTGGTAATATGGCACAAGTTTGAACAATGAAAACAGAAATATTCAAGTCAGCCTAATAGCTCTACCTCTTGTGTTTTACATTTTTAATATGTATAAATCCATGACTATATTCTGCATGTATTATTACTTTCATCTGGAATCTCTGAGAATGTAAAAAACATACAACCCCAGACAAATATTCTTCTTCTTCTTCTTTTTTTTTTTTAAGGAAACTAAAACTTCTTAAAGAGGAAAAATGTATTTGGAGGGAAATGAAAAGTTATGGAGCACATTAAGGAGAATGGTAATATAGGAATATGTTACATGGGAAACCACACAATAAGAGAACCCATAGACTCACACATGTAATGAATGCATAGGTCTAAGAGAAGCAGTCTAATTTAACCCTCGGTCATGTCTCTAGGGAATGATAAAGGTCTAGACTCTCCAGATGATGATGCCTGATCTCCAACTCAACTGAGAATACAGAGATGTGAGTTCTGTCTCAAGTCTACTACTCTGGTGCCCTGAAAACAAAACAAAACAAAACAAAACAAAACAAAACAAAAATCACTTTCTCTATGCATTCCCTTGGCTCTCTTTAGGCTTAGGATGGGAATATCTCAAAGGTCCCCTCCATCTATCTATCTATGACTTGGTGTCTACCATTATCCAAGAATCTCAAAGACCCCATCCATCCAGCGCTTTCTAGAGCTCTTGAATGGGCTTCTATGCAAAAACCAGGATTGGTCATCAAAGGTATACCCAGGAAGTACAAGTACTTCAGGAAGTACACATGGTAAGAAGGCCTAACAAAGTTGAGGCCAGTAGCCCTCATCTTATTCTTCTACATTTTTATTCTTTAGTCCAAATGCACAATGGCACAAATCAGGGATCACTCAAGGCAGGAAGTATGTTTTATCACTGACTCTGCAATGAGGGCTTCAAGCCTAGGCCAGCCACAACTCGGCTTTCTCCTGATGTCCATTCAAACCCTTGCCCTTCTTCCTTTCTCCAAGCACTAGATGGTGGAGATAAGGAGATGACCACAGGAGCCAGGAGTGTAGTGGGAGAGAAGCAGGGCTCATCCTGGGTAATATTTCTGTACAAGTGATGAAGCTAACAATCTATTTTCATTTTGGGTTGGGGGGGGGTCAGAGGGTTACCTTGTCTCAGAAGGGAACAACCTCTTCCACAATACTGTGGTTAGCACACTCAGGGAAATCTGCCTACAGGAGACCACAGCTGCCGCCCATACACAGGCTGGACAGTCCCCTCCCTCTCTGCCACGTTACCCTCTGCCTCAGACTAGGGCTCCTGAGGGCCAGGCCACTGTGTTCTTGGCAAGGATTCTTCAGCAGTACACCCTGTCTTCTTCACCCAGACATTCTTGCCTTTACAACTGGGGAGTGTGTGCTTTTAAAAATAAAAGGCCATGGCTGCACTTCCCACAATCCCCAAATCCCACAGTCAGCCCAAGTTTCCCTTTCCCCTGAAAAGCTGGGCACCAGCATCTGCATATTAAAAGGAGTCCAACTCCAAGGAATTTTAAGGGTCACCACTCCAACTATGACAACCCAGACAAAACTTAAGACTCCTGTCTCATGGCAATCCAGGAAATTCAGGGCCTACACGTGGGTAGTAGGACTTAAACACACCTGATGTGCTTCACAGTCATTCTGGTCACCTAATTTAAGGAGACTCCCATTGCAAAGGCGAAGGCAGGAAGGTGGAGCCGGGCTTGTCCAAATCACATGGGTCACAGGACCAAAACTCCAAATAGAACACTTGATCCTTTGACTCCCAGTGCACACACCAAGCTGGGTATCTCCCCGGGCAAGCCTACCACCACCCAATCAAGGCTGCTCTCCTTTCCTGCTGAGTTTAAGGAGCAGAGAAGGGCCAAGTGAGTGAAGTCCTGAGTGAATGGGACAGGCATGGCCATGTCAAATACACCATACTCCAGGCTCAGAGGGATAGCAAAGCCCTTCTCGGGGGTCCTAGTGCAAATATTGACAGTGTGCAGAAAATGTTCAACATAGCTTTCTCTCCCTCAGACCACTCCCCTTCAGGGACTGCTCCTACTGAGATTAACCAAGCCTGCCTCCTGGATTCAGCTTTATACCATAAACCCCCTCCTTGGTTTATCTGACTCTAATCTCACCTCAATGTCCAGCTGTATGCAACAGCCCCGCCTCTCTGTTCAACTCTATATAAGAAGCATGCTGATCAGCCGGGGGCATTGTGGTTTCTCCAGAAGAGAGCCCAGTCCATTCGATCCCAGCTTACTGTCCATATGTGTGTTCCTCGCCTCTGCATTCCCTTGTTGCCCCAGTTGGGTTCAAATCCCTGGGAGCCATGCAAGGATGGTCCACGTGAGCTCTGAGGCCCACTACCACAACCATCATGTCCATCTTCTCTTTACTGCTTTAGAGACAAAGGGAAGGAACAGGGACTCGTAGGGATGCAGCCAGGAGATCAGCTGGCCAATCTCCAGTCTTGACCACACTGATTTCAGGATAACACGCCTCAGCTTGAGCCTGGCACCTCTGCAATGTGTTCCATTGTTGGGCCAGACAGGGGTAGAGAGTGGAAGACAAAGAACAAAGATGGAAACAATGGCAGAGGTGTTTTGCAAGGGCTAGGACTTGGCTGGGACAGTATATTGACTTATCAAGTGATGAAGTAAAGAGTAGCCAAAGCCCTACAGAGATTCTGAGATGAAGACATCATTACCTGAAAAGGCCATGATGCCTAGTCAGTCCATCACCAAATGATCCCCT